TGTGAAGGGAGTGGGGGGGGGGTGACGAAATAACCGCAAGCCCTCGAAATAATTTATTACCGTTCAATCTCAAAGGGCTTCCCGCTCGCGAGCGCGTGTGTGTACATATCGTAGTGACATATATGGGGAGCGGCAGTAGCGGTTAGCGGTGAACCGAGTTTGATTCCCGTTCTCGGCCAACATCAGTGGCGATCATCTGAACGGGTCCAGGGCCTCCCCTAGGTCGACTCAGCCTAAAATGAATATCTGGTGTGGTGTGTAAAAACATTGCCACTGGGGCCGTGTTGCTGGCCACCCACCCACTCGTGTCCCGACCTTCGTAGGTGCTCGCTAACAACACTTGCCCCAATATTTTTCTAAGGCTAGACGAGGGATCTTTGTTTTTATATAGAGACAGACTCACATTTGGATACGGTATACTTCACAAGGTCAAGACCGCAGCATAGTCAAGGCCACTGAGACTGCTATAACTCGCCTTTAATTCCGTGAGACCCTGCATTTATTGCATAACCCACACCTGTCCTCCAGGCTCAGCTCTCACTCTCATCGCCACCTTGGTTGTAAGCCTCTGGGTGCCTATTTTACTTCCTCCTTTGGTTTCCCACCTCCATCCTGCTCTCGTGCTTCAACCCATCTCAACGTCCTCTTCTTTACGAAGACCACTGACTCGCAACAAGCTCGTGCCGCTCGTGTTATCGGCCCACCGAGAGAAAATGGGCCAAGTCGACACCGGACTTTGACTTAAAGACTCGCGACCTTTTTTTAAATCTAGAGTTGACTATATTCTTATGTTTTTTCGGTAAAGTCACGTAGGCAAAAATTTGTAATTAATATGAGTAAAATAAAATAAAACAAAATAAAAAATCACGACGTTTCGGAAGCAACACAAGCCTCCGTCTTCAGGTGGAACCGTCACAGCCACGACAGCTGTATCAAGTAAATGAGAGATCACAAGAAATACCACCCCGTATATATAATGGTTGAGGGGGGAAGGGCCAGGAACGGCACACTTTTTATTAATATGGTAATGTGAGGCTTGAGACTAAGAATAGACTGCATAACAAAGGACTGAGCCTTTGTTATGGAGAGGTGCGGTTTGTAACTAACACCGAGCATACATAACAAAAGTGTGAAAAAAGAAAGCAAGTAAAAACTAAAACTGGTAAAACAACAAACTGGCTGTCTATCAATAACCTGTAATTGTTGTCCGTCAAATAAGATGGTCCAAATAAGTGTAGTTACATCTTTTTTGCATGGTTAATCACATATTTCCAATGATTACTCAGTTTGTAAGCTTCAAATCTAGAATTAATGCCCTCTACGGGGAGGAATTCCACCTATCTGTTAGAGTTTTTTAACAGACAACGAGACAAGAAGTCACAGCTTCTCGAGACGCTGGCCTTCCTCAAGAGATGCCGAGATAACAAGGTAATACCCATCACTTTCACACTCACATCCGCTGCTGTGTCCTCACCGAACTCTAAACAGATCTTATTTAAAGCTAGCCTATCACTAATCTCGGAGAGAATAAGGTTACTCCGATCTGATCTCGATAATTTAGACAAGACTCTCTTACAAACACACACATTTAATGTTAACACAAAAAATGTCACCTTCCGATTGGAACCACGTTGATAACATGACTTCTGCTTCTGCTGACTCAATGTCAGCGAAATGCAAAGCTAACCTGATTTCTAAATTCAACCCTCCTATCTAAAAAGAAACCAGAGCCACACATTACAAAGCTGGATGTTAACAAGACCGTGATTAATCAGAGTAACATCCCAATTTCTGACAATCTAAAAACGGTACTGGCCAAAGGACTAAATTTCGCCATCACCCCTAAATATATACCAGTAGAGGATGTGATTTCTCAGATTGATGTAGCCCTCAGAGGCATAGGACACATCCATGCGGATGTAGCAAGAGCTGAAATAGCTACTATTCTTAAGAATGCTAAGAAACCCACTAGTAGCATCAGCAAAAACGAACGCTCTGAACTCGCGGACCTAAAAAAGAGAGATGATATAGTCATCCTCTCGGCAGACAAGGGCAATGCCACGGTCATCATGGATAAAGATTCATACAACAACAAAATCCTGGACCTACTTAATGATGGGAGTTACTCCAAAATTAAAAACGATCCCACTAAAAGCCTAACGACAAAAACCAACAGCATCATCACGAGTTCGAGTTCCCTAATCGAACCAAGCAAACGTCCCTCTCTAAAACCATCGGCGGCAAGACCTCCCAGACTCTATGGTCTTCCCAAGATCCATAAAGAAGGCACCCCGCTATGACCCATCGTGTCGACGATAAACTCCCCTACTTACAAATTAGCCCGTTTTCTATCAGATACTCTGCTCCCCTTCACAGGCAAGACCTCTTCGGCAGTACTCAACTCAACCCAATTAGTCTCTATGGTTAAGGACATGGTACTATCTCCTGATGACATCCTCGTCAGCTTTGATGTAGTATCTCTGTTTACCAAAGTCCCAGTACCGGACACCCTAACATTAATTGAGGACTTAGTCCAACATGGATTGAATACTGATGTACCTGTGCTGGTTAGGCATTGCCTCACCAACACCTATTTTACCTGGAATGGTACCTTCTACAAACAGAATGAGGGTACCCCTATGGGCTCCCCCTTGTCACCAGTGATAGCCAACATGTTAATGGAAAAGTTTGAATCAGACGCCATCCAGACATCCACCCTGCGTCCTTCCCTGTGGAAGAGGTATGTGGATGACACTTTCGTCATCTGGCCACATGGCCTCCCAGCATTGAACCACTTCTTGGACCACATAAATTCCAGACACCCATCCATCAGATTCACTATGGAAGTGGAGAAAGATGGTAAACTACCATTCTTGGATATTCTGTTTGAGAGGAGACCTGACAGATCCTTGGGACATTCTGTGTACAGAAAAGCCACCCACGCAGATTCCTACTTGAAACCGGATTCCCACCACCACCCATCTCTAAAGAATTCGCTCATCAAAACGCTATACCACAGAGCCCATGGCATTTCTGACCAACACCACCTGGCCGGTGAATTAAGACATATACATCGGACCCTCAGGATGAACGGATACTCTGACCGCACCATACGCAAAGCTGTTTCTCCCACCATACAGAAACAGCCACATGAAACTCCAACCAAAACTATCACGTTACCATACATAGCAGGCGTGACCAAAAAGATCTCCAAAATTCTAAACAAACATAAGATCCAAGTCCTATTCAGTACAATGCATAAAATCCGTGATCTGATTCCATCTATTAAGGATGTCGTTCCTGACTTACAGTATCCTGGAGTCTACAAACTGAGTTGCAGTTGTGGTGATTGCTACATTGGAGAAACGAAACGTCATGTTTCTGATCGTGTCTGCAAACACAAGTCAGATCTGAAACACGGCAGAACTGATTCTTCGGCTGTTGCCGATCACTGCTACAACTCTGTGGGCTCTCATGAAATTGTCTTTTCCGAGACCAAGGTGCTCTGCAAACCAACTGGCTACCATCAAAGGTTTGTACACGAAGCCATACAAATATACAAACACAGACATAATTTCACCCGTGATGAGGGTTACAAACTGAGTAATCATTGGAAAGATGTGATTAACCATGCAAAAAAGATGTAACTACACTTATTTGGACCATCTTATTTGACAGACAACTATTACAGGTTATTGATAGACAGCCAGTTTGTTGTTTTACCAGTTTTAGTTTTTACTTGCTTTCTTTTTTCACACTTTTGTTATGTATGCTAGGTGTTAGTTACAAACCGCACCTCTCCATAACAAAGGCTCAGTCTTTTGTTACACAGTCTATTCTTAGTCTTAAGCCTCACCTTACCATATTAATAAAAAGTGTGCCGTTCCTGGCCCTTCCCCCCTCAACCATTATATATACGGGGTGGTATTTCTTGTGATCTCTCATTTACTTGATACAGCTGTCGTGGCTGTGACGGTTCCACCTGAAGATGGAGGCTTGTGTTGCTTCCGAAACGTCGTGATTTTTTATTTTGTTTTATTTTATTTTACTTTTATTAATTTAAATTTTTTACCTACGTGACTTTACCGAAAAAACCTAAGAATATGAATCCTTGCAGTCACGAAAGCTTCAAATCTAGAATTAGAGTTGACTATCTCACCACTCCACCACCTCAAGTAAAGTTTCCACCTTCTTCACTGTATACCAAACCTGGACATGTTTCTCAGTCAACCTGGGTCTATCAAAACTGTGCAATAAACTGTAAAGCAAAGTTCCACGCACCACCACCAGATAAATCCCAGTTATAATCAATTCCTGTCACCTGAACACAGATGCCAATCTTCATACTGGGAGCTTCTTCAGGAGCTGAATCGGTTCAGTTTAATCGGTTGCCGAAGAGGCCCCCATTACGTGGAGCGAATCCTCGGAACGTCGTGCCGAACAATGCGCAGTGCAACATAAGGACACGTCAGAAAGTTGTACAGCAGGAAGCACTAAAACCCACGCAGTAGATTTCACACCCCTACAGCCGCATCTCTCTACTCGTGTTATCTCTCGCCGACTTGAACCGGTAGCCAGAGTGTGGAAGCTGATTGACTTGAGCATGTATGACTACACGTGGTCTGCTGCTCAAACGTTCTGCTTCTGGAGCGCCAGACACATCCTTAAGTTGTTACACATATATATTAAACGTGACATGGGGTGTTAATGAATTACCCCCGTACAGTCGCTATCTGTCTGTCGCCCAATGAAGCTATTTGACATTACTGGCAAAACGTCGTACTCAGATTGTAAATGTTGTGGATTTGCTTTTCAACACACCGGTGTGTTGTACGAGTAACGAATTTGCATGTTCTGTTTACGTGACAAACCTTAATAATTGGTTGTGTCGGGTGGTGGTGGGTTTAACGACACATTTATATCCACGCGATCTAACAAAAAACCCCTATATTACAGTCGTTATATAAACGCACGCATAAAAGGGGCGTTTTGCCACGTACTGCAATCCCTGGCAAGTGGAGATGGCCACAACGGAGAAGACGACTCCACGTATCTTCCCCTGGTAGTAGCAGTGCTCTCCACCCTGCAGCGCACAACGGGGCAATGCGTTTACACCGCGCAGAATAACAGAGAAGAGGAAACCGCACGACATATATTAAACTTAAAAAAAAACTAAACCCGTTGATTGATTAATGTCGGTCATATTAAGAAAACATAATTCCATGACACAAACCAACTGACTTCTCTGGGGGATATATTAGTTACAATGCGTTACAATACAATTTGTATTAATGTAGCGTTTAAAATTGATCACGTCTCGACTCTACAGAAACAGTGGGCATCTCTTTAAAGTGGCCTTCCCTATTTAGTATGCGCATTATACAGTTGAATTATTATTATTATACAGAGAGAGGCGAAAGCACGGATGGCTGGGGGCAGTTCCAGACCCTGGGGAATGAGTGACCCCCCACTGAGTCCCCTAATGTAAACCTTGATGTTGGTACAGCAAACGAGACTGCACGATCGAGACAGAGCAACAACAACAAAAACCCAATACAAACTAAATGGAAATACGAGGACAAAAAAAATACACATTCTTCAATGGGATCACAACCTTGATTTGTATAGATCATTCATTATTTTTTTTACCACACACACATACTTCCAAGCAGATTCTAGAAAAAGATAAGTGAATAGCAAACACCGCTATTCCTCGCATTTGTCAACAATGAAAAGGCATTGCATTGTAAAATGATGTAAACATCCAGGCGCTTACAAACTAAGAGCTTAACAAAAAAATGTACAGTATTAATCTAAACCATTTATAAAGACAGAAGAGCTACAATGACAGGTTGTATGAAGATACTAACAAAATACAAATCTGAAGAGGCTCAGGCGCAGGGATACATGGCCACCCAGGCTTATTCAAGGCGACATAAGAAGATATTGTCCAAAATACAGATTGGAGAAGGGACATTAGTATTATTAGATGTTATTTGCCATTGAGTTGCACATTCACACTTCAATAAAAATGGAATTGTTAGCATACATTTTAAGCCGTGAGACAGTGAGTTTGCCTCTGGGGGTTTATAAGGACTGCTTAAACATATTGTAATTTATTTTTAAATGTTAAAGTTTCGTGGCAATGTTTCTTTATAATCTACCATTGAGAAACAATCGTGTTTCCACCGTGTTGAAACTTTTGTGTCCGCTCCGGTATCGTTGGTCACTCAACTTAAAACATTTTTTTCCAAAGGTCAAGCGTAAACAAAAAAAACCCATCCACACCTGTGACATCACTTTGTGAAGTGTGTATTAAAAGCATAAAAATATATATATATTTCACTAGAATAATCACCTGGGATGGAACAGCTGGTGTCCAAGGTGGCAATCGACACATGCGTAATAGCAAACACGTATTGCGATCTCAATTAAAAAAATAAACTAACATTGATGACATCGTTTCTTACCTTCGACAGCAGTGATCTTCCTTCACCGTTAAAATGTTTTTCCATGTAATTTGACGAAAGCAGATCGCTACAAAACAATAACATTGGATAGACCTGTCATTAACCACTTTAATTCTCATGTGTCCCGACAATGGTTCAGGTTTTCATTATCAAACAAGATGCGTGCAATGCATGAACGCACGTCACTGATAATTCACGTCTACTGACATACATTCTTGAGAGAATGCATTTCAGCTGGCTTAACATGAAATGATAATCCATTGGCAGTCATTGTGACCGGAGTTAACACTGTTCTAACATTTAGATTAAAACCATAATTAAACGCTATTATTAACAGTGTTTTTTATTTATGTTGTGAAAATCTATTATCTTCTGAACTAATTCTTTTTACGAGATGATTGTCAAAAGGAATTGCGTGGTGCTCATTTTTGTTCACGATTTTGAGCAAGTGACTGCACGAGCATTCGTTAAACATGCTTTGTGCAGTCCACACAAGATCCGTAAGATCATTCCCAAATGGTCTTCTTCTCTACATAAACACACATAGGAGTAACACTTTAATGGCGTTACACATGGGCATCGTCAATTTACTTTGAAGAAGACGCTATTGATAGCTTGCGTTGACACTCGTATTAGAGCACAAGGGCAGACTAATGCATCGCGTATGCATTATTAATTAAGATCCGAAGAAACTGATTAATGCACATTTTAGAGGTCAACCAACCATAACAAGAAGTTGAATTAAGAAAAGGTTTCTCTACCATTGACCAAACACATACTATTATCAAGAAGATTGAATAGAAAAGATCAATGAGTGATGGATATCATTATGGCCGGCTTTTATTGATGATGAGGAGCCACGTTCGATTCAACAGAAACTGATTGCAGTTATACAGGTTCTCACAGACAAAGGCGTCATCACAAATAGACTTACATTCGCTCTCGTTTACAAAGAAGGAACCGCTGCATTGACATTGTATGAGCAGAGCCAGTCGCGGACTGGGATTAGAAATCGATCCAGGCTTTTGTAAACACACCGGGCCCAAATTTCTGTACGATCTCTAAGGTAACCTTTGGGCTGGTCCAAAAAACAAATGGACCGCTGAGGAAGTATCTTGGTGGCTGCTGAATATGGGTAGTTAATGTTAATTGAAAGTGTAAATAGGCAATGAAGCGTACACATTAGAGGTAATGAAATATTAAATGAAAAAATATTTTTTTTTACTTTGATCACATTTTCTATTTCCCCACACCTAACGACTTACCGGCCCTCGGAGTGAACCGACCCACTGGGCATTTGCCAGGGCCAGTCTGGGCCTGAATAGAGTAATGTAATACGGGTCCTAAGAGTTAAACAAGCAGTAAGCAGTGGTTGTCCTAACAGCTAAAACTAAACGAAACTATTTTTTTATTTTACCAGGTAGGGCTCACGGAGCAATATAGCTCTTTTTCACAAATAATATCTCAATGAAGTGGCTTATTGCGTGGAAATGTATAGCAGCCAAATACTCTAAACGCATTTTGATTCAAAATGTTGAGGGCAAAACCAGAGAACCCGGAGAAAAATCCACGCCACCACGGGGAGAACATGCAAATTCCAAAAATACAGGCGTCAGGGTCGGGACCGAACCCATGACCTCCTGTATACCAGGCAAGGTAGTTAACATCTTGCCACCGTGGCACCCAGCGGCTGCATGCTCTGTAGAGAAACTGACCCCTATAGCAATGCAGAATTTCCATCACTGGCTCAGGGCTGACCAATGCAAATTTTGTATCGCAATATGTTGACTGTAGAGAGAATAAACAAATACAAGCATTTGAGTTATCACTGTGATCTGTGCGATCTTCCAATCGTTCTCCATCATGAGCAGGTACCGAGTTGGTTTTAGGATCCAACAGCTAAAATTAGATGTGAATGGTAATAAAATGCAGTGTGTGTATATAACATGTTAAATAGGGGGTCACTTTTTCCTAGGAATAGTAGACTGCTGGATAAAGCAAAGCTGTGAATACTCACTGGTTTAGATGAACGTCCAGGATGAATGATAATCCAAACACATTGATGAGGAAGCTAGCTTGAGCAATGTGGAAGACCTGTAATATAATGACACACAAGCATTCAATCAATTATATAGGTTAAATATACTTTAAAAAAGAAGACGTATGCGTATATCAAGCAAATTATATCAAGGATATTCATTCCAACGTTTGGACTAAATGTGCTCTTTCACAGCCTCTCGTACTCAATTTGAGAGATTGCCACGATCATGATGTCGTGGTAGCTAAACGTTCTTAATCTATAGGGCAGGAAAACTACCAAAGGGATCGCGATACCGCCGTGCAGAGGAGCAGCCACTGTGGTATCGTCAGTGTTTTTCGACTTCGATACGGCGAAGGGACATGCACAACATGTAACGACCATGGGCAGCAAACACACACCATCCACACACAGACATGCATGGTTAGTACAGATACACGTGCACACATATTCACACAGTTGACACACACGCACGGTCAAACGCATATTTGCACAGTGCACACATCCACACGGTCAGCATACGTACAACAACCGCCGTTCGCCGCTAACTGGCGGTGACGACACCACGGCACTGCTGTGCCTTGATGCCACATGCAGTATCGAAGGCTGACTGAGAGCAAGTCATGGGACAGACCCAGGTGCCATGGGTTGACTGACTGAAATGACTCACAGATGCACCACCTATGCTCCCTACTGTGCCAACGTGCTGCGTTGAAGCTGCCCGGCGCACCACTCGTTCTTGCAACCATCGCTACTCTGCCCTCCGTTGTTGCTGGAGGGTGATTGCCTCCAACTGCCCAGGAGAGTCCCTCATGAACCTCCTCCATAGCGGTCTATCTCGACACAGCTGGTAACAGTAATTGGCAAGTCCACTCAGTTCAACATCCTGCCTGCAGGAGCTCACCGATGGAAATGTGTTCAAATTTTTCAAGGATCTGTGAGCTCCTCACAAGCGAGCATGAATGTTCCAAACCGGTGCAGATGTTCCTTGAGAGTGATTCAGTTTTCGCAAGCATAGAGAAGAGACGGCATTCATGTGGCCGGGAAGACCTGGAGCTTCGAATGGGGCGAGAAGCCAGGTAGCTTCCACACAGCGTTACACAGCCCATGAAAAGAGAATGCTGCTCGCCTTATTCGAAGTGAAACCTCTTCTACCAAACCGGAATTAGTAATTTGCACACTGTCCAGGTATAGAAACTCCTCCCACAACTGCATGTATGAATGTTGCACTTCTTTCGCACAGTAGGTAGCCAACCGTGCTAATCAGAGATGCGGGAAACTGCCCCATCACCCATGGGGTGGTGAGGGGCTGGAGTGTTTGATGACACAAAATACCCAGGCAGGTGCTTAGTTTTGGTGGGACTTAGGGTAAGACCTCACCTAACGAGCTTAGTTTGGTGTTTCCACGGTGGTGCTGGCAGCATACATAAACACAGGCACACAGCACACACATAATTGCATCCAAACATAAACTGCATAGACATGCAGTAATTGAATATTCGGGATATATGACCCAGCTAATGCTTCCTCGTCTGCTGAAGAAGTTAACTAAGGGGAACCATATTTACATTTTTCAAGAATCTGAGCTCTACACACTATCGAGCATGGTAAGAACCCAGTATGGAACTGAGATAGGCCTGTCTGAGTTTTTCAAGCAAGCACAGGTGTTCTGATAAAGGGGTCTACCATTCACAAGTGCACAGATGACAGGGTTAATCAGTCATCCTTGTTGCTTATTTATCCAGGAAAGCCACAGTAAATTGTAGGACTTTTCTCACGAAGATCCTGCATTTTTTGTATGTTTAAATATTTTCTGCTAATTAATGTTCATACATGTGGGAGGAAACCGGAGCACATGGAAAAATAACACGTGAGGGGACTACACTATCCCCGCACGAATGGAAATAGATAGCAATAAGTCCACTTGCTCTACTCCCTCCTCCTCCTGGCGAGCAAGGGTATGGCACCTCGACACCCTACGGGAAGGAAGGCTGGGGACATTTGTGCGATCCACCCACCCCTGCCTCCACAGTACTGGACTACAGGCGTGCACCACGACCGCCCGGGTTGAAAATACCACTGTTGAAAGACATAGAAGTCTCCTCAAACTACGCGGTCAAAAAAGATGGTAAATAATTTTGAGGTCAGAGAATATCCCTGTCGCATCCCAAGGTCAACAGGGAATGGCTGACTCCCGGTCACGCAGCTTTACGTGGGCCTGACCACCGTCACGAAGGTCCTTAATGATCGTGAGTAGAGGGTCATGGATCCTGAACGTATGAGTAACCCAGAGCCCAGTCCTCTTTATGGTATCACAGGCCTTAGCCAGGTCAATAAAGCAGAGGCGTAAGTCCTATTGAAATTTCCCATACCTCTTGTAGCAGACTGACAGATTATATGGCACCTGTGCAGAAGCGTCCCTGTCTTAATGTAAAGTGTTATTTTATGGTAGCGACATTCATGCAAATTGCATCTCACAAAGCTGTACTGTTTGTAACCCGTGCAGTTTTTGAACACAGAGGTGCGGGGAACCGCAGACAAGAGATTAGGCAGCCAGAACCGGAGCCAACAATGATGGCTCAAGCGATGCGATCTTCCAATAGAGGCCGATTCTTGCAATGCATAATCCAAATTTATTAATTTGTGGATGACCTTCTAATTTGGACTATGACAATGGCACACAATGGCCTACTCTTGCGATAGATGGCACGAGATCTTGAACGTCCACTTGAGATGCTCCAGTGGTTGCTACAATCTGTGCGGTCCTCCTAATAAAAGTGGCTACTGGGCATTTTCCTCATTCATTCTCACCATCTTCAGTACCCAACAGCTGAAAATGAGGGGTCATATAGCAACCTCTGCTCAGACGGTTTGCTCGAAGTGTGGAGATGCAAACTGACTTAGCGGTTCATTATCACAAATCACTGTTTATGACCTTAACATCAAAACTCATATGTACATACAAATACACACACAACTATCCATAAACACAGAGATTAAACATACTTACAACCATAGAGAAAATTAACACACTCAACCATGGACAATATCCCGCCAGTTTTCAGACTTGGAATATCACTTGAATTATTCATTACTCGAGGGCCTATGGACAGAGTAATGCTCAGCCAGTTAGCCCGCTCCTGCCCATTCACCCCCGCCCTTCTGCTAATCTATAAGTACAATGATGTACGTTACAAGTACAGTCCTGTATATGAGACGTGTAAAAACCATACCCTTCTCCCAGCGATTCTACGAGTTACTGAAATTCCACCTCACGATTTGATTCAACGTTGTTTTTCACATCGTCAATGTTGTGGCCTCCAGTGGCTGCCAGGGTCACATAAACGTTACATGCAGGTTATAAAGAACCACACACTCGGGGGCACGGGCTTGCACACATCACCTTCAGGGTTCTTCAGCTAAAGTTACATTTTGAAAATTTCACGTTGCAATTTAATTGGATATCGGAAGCTAAGCTGGTTTGAGTCTGGTGTTTAAATGGTTGATCACCAGTGCTTGCCAGGTGTTATAGGCATGGGGGCTAATTCGAGACCCAAACATTGCACCCTCTGGCTTTGACCACTGGTCTAACCATCAACCGCATCAGGACATCAACCGGCAAGTGCGCACATCTCTGTTCACGAATGGAAAATTAAAGACAGGCCGCAGTGTGACTGTAGCCATGCAACCCAAACTACTGACCATATAGTATACCACTGAAGTCTACGCTCCTTCAAAGGAGGAGGGATATCCACACATTACTCGAACTCCCCTGAAGCCCTCTCATGGCTAGCAAACCTTGACATTGGCATTTAACTCCTGCACATACTACTGTATCGCAAGAACAGAATAGGCATTGAGTTTGTGAGGTGACCAGATTACATTGCTGGGTGTTATCCCCTCGATTTTCTCCCTTGGAGCTCCAACTTTCTCTCACGTCGTTATTTAGATCTGTCAATTTTTTTTACCAATGTAGCGGGACTTCTGCTGCTGAAAAAAGCCTGGAGACTCGGCGAGGCTTTCCCGAGTAATTTGGCTTATGATCATAAGTGGTGATACGGTGGTTAACGCACTGTGCGGTTACATTTCTGACCACGGGTAACATCAGTGGCGATATCTGAACCAATACTGTGCTCTTCCCCGTGTCATTCGTCAATCCGGACTGACAAACAATCCCCATGACAGAATCAACATGTTTCATAATCGTATTTATACTGGAGGAATGTGATGATCTATAATGCTCTTTTTCACAGATGGCATGGAGAGGCCATCATCTAGCAAAGGACCGACACATGCTGTACTTAAACAAGATGCATATCATCATAAACAAACTTTCATCATTAGCTTATTTGTGATATGTATTATATGCTGCGTCAAATTGAGACCCCCATCTCGTAAAGATTGATTCAGTTATTGATCCAAGCGAACCTGCTGATGAGACATTGAATGTCAAAATCGGCCCAGTCCTGCTTGCCCTGAATCAAATGCTGCTACTATTATTGCACTCCCAGAGGGTCGTAAAAGCTGATGGGATGTGTTTAAAAAAAGGCTTTTTATGTTGTGGAGAGACGGTCACGTGAAGGGGGACATTGTCCGTTTGTTTTGCAACAAACTTGCACATGAGCGAGCTACTGTGATCATAGACACGGCACCGCGAGGCCCAGCCCCGGCCTCCCTCCCTGGGCCCCTGGGTAGCCCGGCCCAGGGGAGCCATGTAGAGCCTTGAGACAAAATAAAAAGGCTTCTTTTCGACCTATGAATGAAACAAAAACGGGCCAGTTTAGATGCATATTATAGACGCACGCTAGATGATAGAAGTAGCATTGATGAGGTTAGCTTAATTAAGATAAATTCAGTGTCTAATGAAACACCTGTATATCAGCACAAGCACCCAACTAAAGAACTCGGCCACATTTAATTTAGCGTTGCCACGGCAACCGCTTCTCTGGCCAATCAGAGAGCGCGATTCTTCGGGAGAGTTCCGATCGGTCAGTGACGGACAATATAAGTGTAATCTACGTGTCATCTAAGTGTAATCGAATCTAAGTGTAATCGAATCTAAGTGTAATCTAAGTGTAATGTAATCTATGTGTAATCTAATCTAAATGTAATCTAAGTGTAATATATATTTCTAAGTGTAATCTAATCGAAGTGTAATATAAGTGTAATTTATATTTCTCAGTAAACATTATAACCTCAAATAACTCTCATGGCATATATAAGCCTCTTATTATTACAGGTTCACTATGTCATGCTACGGTTGGCTACGTACAGTGCAAAAGAAGTTCAGCGTACATACAGTATGTTCTATAACGTGGCAGTTGTGTTCCTGAAAAACACGGCGTTATGGAAAAATCGCGTTATAGCAAAATAAAAGTAGGGTAAAGCACAGTCCGCGATAACACGTGAGATGCGTACGCAGGCTGAACAAAGCCTGAGGCGCGTGGGTAGCATCTAGAAGCATCCAGCAGCATCCCAATGCCTCGTGTGATGCTATGCCGAGGCCACCGCACAACTGCTTATCCCTACTCGCCCGACGTAGTTTTGTTCACTCAATCGTAGTTCTGTTCACTCAATAATTTTGCATCCGCGTTATATAAAATGTGTTCCCTAATATACATTGCGTTATATCCAATTCGTGTAATGAAAATACGTGGCGTTATAGGAGAATACACTGTACTTTAGATTTAAATTTTCATTGTGTTATAATTCGCAATACGAATGGAGTGATTTGGAATTCAATCAGTCCACAATACATCTATCTCTTCATGGCCTTGCCCCACCTTATCTCGCCGCTCTCGTCTCCCTCCATGTGCCCTCTCGTCCTCGTCGTTCCCAGTCTTCTCTCTGTCTCTCTCTCTCTCTGTCACTCCACCCTGTGCCCAATCCCGTTTTCAGTTCTCCCTCCTTGCACCACCCTTCCAATGGATTCAACTTCCTCCCCGTACGTTAAGCAGTCCTCGCCTCCATAACCACCTTCCGTTCCTCTCGTCAAGCCTCACTCCTCTTCTCCACCGCACATTCCCTTCCTCGTCCCTCCACTCGCTCCTCCACCCCTTACCGTCGCTCCCCTATCGCCCTTTCGTGATCCCCAATTACCCTGTCTATCGCTGTCACTCATTCCTCCAAACCTTGAAGCAACCCCCTTGCCAACTCCATCACACCATTTTGTGTCGCTGTTTTGTAAACTGTGTCATCAAGGGCCTCGAGTGAGGGCGCTCTCTACAAATATACATTTTACGAGATTCTATGGAAATATCCACAATGTGGTATTAAGTTGCACCAGTTTTGTTTCTATCAAGCACTTGGTTCACGTCGGCGCGGTGAGTAACAACTCTCGTTTGGCTGTCCCATGGTTAGCCCTCAGTCCACAGTAACCTCCCCACGTATAGATAACATACACAAACTCAACACGATGAGCATGGTTGGCTACGTACGGTAGGAAAGAAGTTTAAACTTACATAGAACAATGCCGTGGCCTAAAAAAGAAAGAGTATATAATAGCCCGGTAAGCATGCCAACGTTGTGTCAACTTTGACCCAACGTTGTGGTAGTGTGGTAGTAGTGTGCCTAAGAACAGGAGGCATGCAATTATTGATGAATACATTCGGTATGATGTTCGGGTCACGTTTCGATTCTACGCAATATATTTTTGTCACATTTTTTTGTATTCTCATTTTCGCTCTCTCAATCGCATCATTTTGTTATCTCCATTTGCAAATGGAATGCACCCAATAAACATTCCAACGTTGGGCCAACGTTGGACCGACGCTGCACATTTACTGGGTGCACACTGCAGCAAATCACCTATGATGGATTACTCACGTGTCCTACGCGTCTTCAATGCATTTATCAAGAGTACAATTAGGGGATGTACGGCTGTAGGTAAGGGCCCCTTGCTCTCTTGCGTGTGCCATCAACGGCCGATGTCACCGGCAGGGAATCTCCGCTGCTTAACGATGCACGGCTCGCGGAATCGCTCGCTGCAATTCGGCTGCACTGACCTTCACTTCATCAGACGGGGCGAATTCCATGTCAGCATGTTATTAAAAGCTCGCAATGCAGTCGTGCTTACATTGCGTACAAGAGGGAGGATATATATATATACTTTAACTCAATTGTAAAAGGGAACCCACCGTGAATACAGTGTTTATTGATTATGTTCTGTTTCAAATTCCTCCGAGATGTGTAGCGCCATAGCAACGTCTTTTTACCAACATGTTCCTCAGAACAGATTTTTTTTGTGCCACTTTGTAATTGGAAGTCGCCTCGCACCTTTACTGCTTCAGAATCAGCACATCAGAATATTTATTTAGACTGGAGGAATCCGATGAGCTGTAAAGCTCCTTTTCACGGATACGATACGAGTTCCAACGCCTCAGTTGCCCACAAAGACAAAGATACACACACGCGCACGCATACGCACGCACACGCACACACACGGAATGAGGTGTCTCTGATCAACCACAGTTGGGTACAGGCAAGACATTGGAGCAGCCCACCGTCGGGGTGAAGACGGCTGCAATTCAAATGAACACTGTCACGGCAAATACCATGCCAGTGACTTTCGTTGAGCTTGCTATAATTATCAGTGCCATGTACCGTGAAGACCACATGTTTATTCTGGAAGTCCGTACACAAAAGAACACCTTATACAGTAAACATTATTTATAGGAAGCCTTATGGAAAATTGTTCTCAGAAATGCAGCAAAACGATTTCCCTTTGTTAGGAGTCATTTGTAAAGAACTATAGCATGTTTATTCCTCCATTGACAGCGAAGATGTGCCCTGTGGCTCACTCTTGCCGGTTAGAGCCACAAACCTGGACCAGACCAGATGACTCTGTGTACAACCATTTTCATGAGATTCTTTGTGTGCGTGTTTTTTTTAAATCAGTCACCACTATTGGTGCTAGGAGCACAATCACACTCCTTGCAACTGAGATCCAATTTTATCTGCAGTGCGCCGCACTGCGCGCCCGCCACGGAGGACCTGGGCTGGGAGTGCTGTGTCAGTGTCTACTCGGCCTCCTCCTGCCTCTTCACAGGGCCATCGCTTTACCCCTTGCCACACGAGGACATGGAATGTTTCCCCGACACATTAAGACGGTTGGGGGTGTGGGGGGCTTTGACACGGGGAGAGGTGACAGCACACCTAATAACCTTGCATTTGTGACCAACGTAAAGAGTCCCACTGCAACGCGACGTCTTATGCTCGTCTCAGTCGTCACACTCAACTAAATCCCATTGACTTGTTTTAGAACGGGGACAAATTTGCCACCATTTGTTGTACTTATTAAGGAATGGCACCATTCCGTCACAGCAGAGCACACACAGTGTGTAGATAGGAGGTGGAGTCGTGGACCCAGCGAAAGCAGGCGGCGCGCAGCCTCACGCGTGCGGCAACATCTGCCGCACATCAATCGATCAATCGTAGGCGCTCGATCAAAATCAGTGGACGTTAAAGGCCCTCTGACGTTGTTAGAAACTAGCAAAGGCCATCGTCGCACTTGCACACCGGCGGCACGGTCCAAATTGGCCCAGTTCTAAAATGACCCGTAACAAAAAAACGACTCACTTGGGAGTGCACGTCACAGCGGCCACGGTCGCCCCCTACTGACAAACTAATGCCGCTTTTCAGGCCAGGTTTGCTCATAGCCAATCAACGTTGTTGCCGCACAAGGGCACTGGGGGGTGGGGGGGCTGGTAGCGTTTTTAAAATGTGTTGAAGATGAGATGCGATGTTAATCTCTGACTTATGATGATCACCATCATCGTCATCGCGTGTCAAGCGTTCTGAAACACGCGTCTGCAGTGAGGGGAGGGTGGCTGAACCCAGAACGCAGCGTCGCGCCGACCCCCCGCTTCGTGTACCTGCTGCTGGGCGCGCGCCGTCCTTTGGCGGATTTTTGTCGACAGCGCAGCCACGGCGGTCTCGTTGCCGTCTTCCATTCGCGTGACGAGCCGAAAGGGAGTGACTATCTCCTTGGAGACGAGGCTCTGGTGTCGGTGTACGCCACCGTCCCTGGGGTGCGCGCCGCCCAGACCTGCAGCCAGCAGGCGGGGCGGGGGGGGGGAGACGTGGGTCACCGTGGTCATGGTTAGTAGTCACGGCTAGAGGTCACGGCATCCCACGCCTCATTGTCAAGGACAAGGCTGGAGGAGGGCACGGCTCGCTCGTGGCTTGGGTGGCCGGATGGGGGGGGGGGGAGCTGACGGTCAGGGGCAGTGATTTTTTTCTTCTTCTTAAAAGGGCAAGGCTGCACGAGAGGCTGCTAGGCGCCAGCCTCATTAGGGTCTCCCTTTGGGGGGGAGGTGGACAAGGCGACTCCTGTAGCGTGCAAACACACGCTCGGCTAATGAGCCCCGACCGAAAGCCAGCAACGGTCTGCAGACATCGCGGCCAATGCTTTTGCCGAGCTTCTCGCTTTAGAGCAACGATTTTCCGCACGCCTCTGGCGCGTGAGCGGCAAGTCGCTGTCCAGGGTGCTGCCCAGCATCTTTACATCGTGACGCGGCGAGGCTCCGCAGTGCCCAGGATCTGTCTGGACGGCGAGCGCGATGGATGGACGGACGGACAGACAGACAGACAGATATACATACACCCCCTATGGATCATTCAGTGCCTCGTGTCTGCTGTGTCTGTGAGCTGCTGTGTCTGTGAGCTGCTGTGTGTGTGCTGTGTCTGTGAACGGTATCTATGAGCTGCTGTTTGTATGGGGTATCTGTGATCTTTGCCTTTGTATGCTGTACCTGTGAGCTGCTGTGTCTATGAGCTGCTGTTTCTGTGAGTCGCTGTGTGTACGAGACGTCTGTGAGCTGCTGTGTATGTGAGCCGCTGTGTGTACGAGACGTCTGTGAGTCGCTGTGTCTGTGAGCCGCCGTGTCTGCGCTGCGTCTCGGGATGTGTGCGGTTGCTGCTGTAGGCGCCGCTGCCGCTGCTGCTGCAGTGGCGCTGAAGCAGAGGAAGAGTCGCAGGGCGGAGCCCAGATTCGCAAAGAAAAGAGAACCACAGAGCGAGAAAACCACACACAAAGACAAAGATCCCCCGTGTAGCCTTGAGAGACTGTTGTATGCCGGGCCGGCCTTTACAAAGGCCGGCACGACACGCAAGGGGGAGAGTGGCCAATACCACGCCCGGCCGCCTTTGTCTCCCGAGTGGCGATGTTTACACATCGCACCAGGTATTCCATTTGAGGCTGAGTCGACCTAGGGAAGGCCCAGGAACGGTGTAGATAATCGTCACTGGTTTTGGCAGTGAGCGGGAATCGAACCCGGGTCGCCAGGTTCAAAGCGCAGCGCGCTAACCGCTACACTATCGCTCACACACTCACTCCCTCAGACAATCACGCTCTCATGCTTACGTACCCACTCACTCACGCTCCCAGATACTGGCACTCACCCTCTAAGACACTCACTCGAGCACGATCTCACACTCACTCACCCTTTAAGAATGATCTCACTCACGCACGCAGACACACACTCATGCTCTCAGATACTCACACTCATTCACTCTCTCAGACAACATAACGACAAAAGATCCCCCGTGTAGCCTTAACAGACTGCTTCTAGCGAGCACCCATGAAGACCCACACGGCACACGAAGGCCGGCACTCTCTCACGCACTCTCTCACACACTCACTTCCCCAGACACTCACTCTCTCACAAACTCACTCTCTCACACACTCACTCTCTCACTCACTCTCTCTCACACACTCACTCTCTCACACACTCACTCTCTCACACACTCACTCTCTCGCACACTCACTCTCTCACACACTCACCCTCTCATTTTCTCTCACACTCTCTGACTCACTCACACACTTACTCTTTAATTATCTCACACTCACTCTCTCACACACTCACTCTCTCACACACTGACCCTCTCACACACTTACTCTCTCATACACTCACTCTCTCACTTTCTCTCACACTCTCTGACTCACTCATACACTCACTTCCCCAGACACTCACTCTCTCGCACACTCACTCTCTCACACACTCTCTCACACTCACTCTCTCACTCACTCACTCACTCACACACTCACTCTCTCACTCTCTCACTCACCCTCTCACTCACTCTCTCACACTCTCTGACTCACTCACACACTTACTCTCTCTTTAATCATCTCACACTCACTCTCTCACACACTCATTCTCTCACACACTCACCCTCTCACACACTCACTCTCTCACACACTCACTCTCTCGCACACTCACTCTCTCACACACTCACTCTCTCGCACACTCACTCTCTCACACACTCACTCTCTCACTCACTCACTCACTCTCTCACACACTCACTCTCTCACACACTCACTCTCTCACTCACCCTCTCACTCTCTCACAATCTCTGACTCACTCACACACTTACTCTCTCTTTAATTATCTCAAACTCACTTTCTCACACACTCACTCTCCCATAAATTCACTCACTCTCTCACACACTCACTCTCTCACACACTCACTCTCTCACACACCCACTCACTCTTTCGCACACTCACTTTCTCACTTTCTCTCATACTCTCTGACTCACTCACACACTTACCCTCTCTTTAATTATCTCACACTCACTCTCTCACACACACACTCTCTCACTTTCTCACACACTCACTCTCTCACACACTCGCTCTCTCACTCTCTCACACACTCACTCTCTCACACACTCACTCTCTCACACACTCACTCTCTTACACACTCACACTCTCACACACTCACTCTATCACACACCCACTTACTCTCTCACACACCCACTCACTATCTCACACACTCACTCTCTCACTATCTTGGACACTTACTGACTCTCTCGGACACTCACCCTCTCACACACTCTCTTACTCACACACTCTCTCACAAACTCCCTCTCTCATACACTCACTCTATCATACACCCACTCATTATCTCACACACTCACTTTCTCACATACTCACTCTTTCACTCTCTCGGACACCCACTCTCTCACACACCCACTCACTCACTCTCTCACACACTCACTCTCTCACATACGCACACACCTACTCACTCTCTCACACACTCACCCTCTCACTCATTCTCTCACACACTCACTCCCTCATTCATTCTCTCAGAAACCTACTTTCACACACTCTCTCACACACTCACTCTCTCACACACTCTCTCACTCACTCTCACACACTCACCCTCTCACACACTCACCCTCTCACACACTCACTCTCTCACATACGCACACACCTACTCACTCTCTCACACACTCACCCTCTCACTCATTCTCTCACACACTCACTCCCTCATTCATTCTCTCAGAAACCTACTTTCACACACTCTCTCACACACTCACTCTCTCACACACTCTCTCACTCACTCTCACACACTCACCCTCTCACACACTCACTCTCTCACATACGCACACTCTCACTCATTCTCTCACACACTCACTCTGTCACACACTCACTCTCTCACTCATTCTCTCACACACTCACTCTCTCACACACTCACTCTCTCACCTACTCACTCTCTCACACACTCACTCTCTCACACACTCTCTTACTCACGCACTCTCTCATACACTCTCTTACTCACACACTCTCTCACACACTCACTCTCTCCGGCACCCTCTCTCTCTCTCACCCGCCCACGCTCTCACAACTCACCGGGCAGAGCGCCGCAGCTCCACGCCGCCAGGAGGAGGAGAGGCGTCATCTCGGCGCGAGTCCCGCACTGAGTCCCGCACCGAGTCCCGCACTGAGTCCCGCACTGAGTCCCGCACCGAGTCCCGCACCGAGTCCCGCACTGAGTCCCGCACTGAGTCTCGCACCGAGTCCCGCGGGATGGGGGTCGCGGGGGGAGACGGGGTCCGGGAATACGGGGGTTGGGGGGTCGGGAATACGGGGTTTGGGGGGTCGGGAATACGGGGTTTGGGGGGTCCGGGAATACGGGGTTTGAGGGTCGAAAATACGGGGTTTGGGGGGTACGGGAATACGGGGTTTGGGGGGTATGGGGAAACAGGGGGTTTAAGGGAGACGGGGTTTGAGGGTCCAGGCGGAAGGGCGTCTAAGGGAGATGGGGCGAGGGAACGGAGACCGGGGAGAAAGTGGTTCTGGGAGAAGGGGGATGAGGGATAGCGAGTGCCGGGAGACAGGGTTTAGTGGCACGGGGGTTAGGGGGAAAGGGTTCCGGGAGAAGGGGTTAAGGGAGACAGACGGAGGAGGTCGGGGTGCGGGTTCCGTCCGTGCAGGTGCCGAGCGAGGAGAGGCAGCAGCAGCAGCAGCCGCGGGGCCCGCGCCGTGCCGCAGTCCGCCAGGAGGAGGTGCTGATGATGATGCCGCTGCTGCTGCTGCTGAGATCCACCGTGCACGCGGGGCGCAGCTCGAGTTGGCGCGTCCGCGTGTTTTTGCTGAGTAATGCTTTTCCGCAGAATCACAGAGCTTGCAATTCACATCTTACACAGCGCGTACATCTCACACTGCTCACGTCTCACGCAGCTCACGTCTCACACCTCTCACAGCTCACACATCTCTCACAGCTCACACATCTCTCACAGCTCTCACATCTCACACATCTCTCACAGCTCACATCTCACACATCTCTCACATCTCAAACAGCTCACATCTCCTACATTTCACATCTCTCACACATCTAACACAGCCCACATCTCTCACTGTCGCCACCCTCATGACCGTGTTGCTAAGGATACGCTGCGGCGCCTCCGTGCCGTGAGCTGCCGCTGTGTCAGCACTCGGCATTGCCCCCCCGCCCCACCCTCGACCACTATCACCACCACCGTCGTCGTCACAGAGGCACGAGCAGGTCCACCCTCGCTGCAGTGAATCCCCGGGCCCCGCTCCACGTCGCCGCTGTGATCAGCACGCTGCAGGGTGAGCAGCAGAGTCTGCTCTCAAACGCCCGCAGTGGAACCGCAGCAACCGCACTCGCCAAGGCATTGTTTGCCTGCACTGAATAAGGGCCGTGCTTCGAAGCGTTATGAATGACAAATAACATCAGCAGCAGAAACAGCAGCCACGATCATGCGACTGCTGGAGGAAGGCCTATACCCAAGCCGGGTCTTGATCTCTCGCGATGTTTTCCACCTTGCACCTGTACACGGGATGTGTGTGTTTGTTTGCACGTTCACCACAAGTACGTGTGGTTAATGCAGACTTTATTCCTTGCAAAAGGCATCTGTTTGGCGTTTGGACGTCTTAACACCACCTATTTAATTGCCAGAAAGAATAAAAACCTATTGTTATTTTTTGACTTAAAACTTTCGTGACTGCAGGATTTCATATTCCATGGTTTTTTCGGTGAAGTCACGTAGATAGAAAAAATAATAACAATAATAAAATAATAAAAATAAAGTGAATCAATATACAGTGAGGGAAAAAAGTATTTGTTCCCCTGCTGATTTTGTACGTTTGCCCACTGACAAAGAAATGATCAGTCTATAATTTTAATGGTATGTTTACTTGAACAGTGAGAGACAGAATAACGACAACAACATCCAGAAAAACGCATTTTAATGAGGAAAATAAGTATTTGACCCCTCTGCAAAACATGACTTAGTACTTGGTGGCAAAACCCTTGTTGGCAATCACAGAGGTCAGACGTTTCTTGTAGTTAGCCAACAGGGTTGCACACATCTCAGGAGGGATTTTGTCCCACTCCTCTTTGCAGATCTTCTCCAAGTCATTAAGGGTTCGAGGCTGACGTTTGGCAACTCGAACCTTCAGCTCCCTCCACAGATTTTCTATGGGATTAAGGTCTGGAGACTGGCTAGGCCACTCCAGGACCTTAATGTGCTTCTTCTTGAGCGACTCCTTTGTTGCCTTGGCCGTGTGTTTTGGGTCATTGTCATGCTGGAATACCCATCCACGACCCATTTTCAATGCCCTGGCTGAGAGAAGGAGGTTTTCACCCAAGATTTGACGGTACATGGCCCCGTCCATCGTCCCTTTGATGCGGTGAAGTTGTCCTGTCCCCTTAGCAGAAAAACACCCCCAAAGCATAATGTTTCCACCTCCATGTTTGACGGTGGGGATGGTGTTCTTGGGGTCATAGGCAGCATTCCTCCTCCTCCAAACACGGCGAGTTGAGTTGATGCCAAAGAGCTCCATTTTGGTCTCATCTGACCACAACACTTTCACCCAGTTGTCCTCTAAATCATTCAGATGTTCATTGGCAAACTTCAGACGGGCATGTATATGTGCTTTCTTGAGCAGGGGGACCTTGCGGGCGCTGCAGGATTTCAGTCCTTCACGGCGTAGTGTGCTACCAACTGTTTTCTTGGTAACTATGGTCCCAGCTGCCTTGAGATTATTGACAAGATCCTCCCATGTAGTTCTGGGCTGATTCCTCACCGTTCTCATGATCATTGCAACTCCAAGAGGTGAGATCTTGCATGGAGCCCCAGGCCGAGGGAGATTGACAGTTATTTTGTGTTTTTTCCATTTGCGAATAATCGCACCAACTGTTGTCACCTTCTCACCAAGCTGTTTGGCGATGGTCTTGTAGCCCATTCCAGCCTTGTGTAGGTCTACAATCTTGTCCCTGACATCCTTGGAGAGCTCTTTGGTCTTGGCCATGGTGGAGAGTTTGGAATCTGATTGATTGATTTATTCTGTGTACAGGTGTCTTTTATACAGGTAACAAGCTGAGATTAGGAGCACTCCCTTTAAGAGTGTGCTCCTAATCTCAGCTCGTTACCTGTATAAAAGACACCTGGGAGCCAGAAATATTTTTTGATTGAGAGGGGGTCAACTACTTATTTCCCTCATTAAAATGCAAATCAATTTATAACAGTTTTGACATGCGTTTTTCTGGATTTTGTTTTTGTTATTCTGTCTCTCACTGTTCAAATAAACCTACCATTAAAATTATAGACTGATCATTTCTTTGTCAGTGGGCAAACGTACAAAATCAGCAGGGGATCAAATACTTTTTTCCCTCACTGTATTTAGGTTGGTGCCATGGTGGCGAGATGTTAACAACCCTGCCTGGTTTACAGGAGGTCGTGGGTTCTATTCCAACTCTGATGCCTGAATATTTATATCTTTATTTTGGAGCTTTCGTGACTGCAGGAATTATTCTTTGGTTCTTTCGGTAAAGTCACGTATAAAGATACAATAATAAATTAAATAATAGCATACTACGACGTTCAGGCCCCGTCACAGAGACGACCTCTCTCTTTGTGCCGATACGTGTTCTCTCTCTGTGTATCTTTATCATTTCTATAGTTTTCTGGTTAGATTTTTGTTGCTATTTCTTTTATACCTGATGATGATTGATTGCGTTGCAATCGAAACGTCGTAGTATGCTATTATTTAATTTATTATTTTATCTTTATACGTGACTTTACCGAAAGAACCAAAGAATGTATATTTATAGTTTTCATGTTCTCGCTGCGGTCGTGTGGATTTTTCTCCGGCTCCTGTTTTGTCCTTCCACATCTAGAAGCATGCGTTTAGATTATTTAGCTGCTATAAATTTCCACGCCATAAACCACTTCTTTTTGTGGCCAGATCGCTTCTGAAAAATAGCTACTAGCTCAGTGGGCTTTACCTGGTAAATAAAATAGTTTAGTTTTAGTTTAGATCGCTTTCTGTCCACTCGCGTGAAAGGGGCTCGTCTGGTCTCCGGTGACTTTATCTCTGTGAATGACGCTCGGACAATTCGCCTGGTCTCTAAGAGGAAGGTCAGATTTAAAAAGTCGATGGGTTTCATCACAAGAACACGTCCACGTGTGCTGGGATATAGCCTGGCATCGTGGCGGCGTGACACGTGGAGTGTAAGCCGGACCTATGCGTGCGTCCAGCTCGAGATTCTCATTCATATCTCATTCACCCGCACACCGGCCCCTCAACAGCCCATGTGCGGCACACTCAGCCCCAGCGCAAGAATAGATTTAATTTTCCTTTATGCTGTTTTGTTTCCGTGTTGGTTTAGTTTACTTAAAATGTTGTCCACTCGTTTAGCATCACTGGAACACGAGGACAATGCGGCTTAGCGGTAGAGCGAGCGACTCGCAATCAGAAGGTTGCAAGTTAAAAACCTGGTTGGGGGTAGACTCAACGCATCATCCATCCCAGGTCGATCAAATAAATACCACTTTGTGGGCAAGTCAACAGTGGTTGTCCTATGGATAGAATCGCCCCCGCCAAAGGAATGCCGAATTTCTAGCACTGGCTCAGATGAACACTGCTTCAATGCTCATTTGAGCAGGCAATCACTTTGCCTTTTGTCTTTAATGCGATTGCATCTCACGACGCCGTAGGCAGGCCAGTCTGAATGTTTCGAACCAGCGCAGTTGTTCCTTTAAAGGGGTCCACGTTTCGCAACCCATAGAGAAATTCCGGAGCTTCATATGGAGCAGATTCGATGGGTCTCCGTGACAATATGGATATCCATTTCTATGGAAGAGAGAGAGAGAGCGGTAGTCGCTCACAGGCAGAGGAAAATGAAATGACTTGATCCTGGACTTCAACAGAGACAGCGAGTCAACAGCAGGGACGACAGGGGGGTAGGACTTTCAAGCGTTGAAGTCAGCAGAAGAGAACGAGCGACCTCCCAATGCCAGCTGCAGGCTTCTCCAGAAGGCCTTGGTTGTTGGTTAAATAACAAGATGTGGAGGGGCCTTGATCCAGCAGTCGATTGATGAAGGGATGCACATGAAACATAAGCAACACGATGGCCAGTGGTATTCTACATGTAGCCACTTTGTAGCCGTGTGTTTGTGCTCTATTTTGTGTACAATCACAAATCACTATTGAATTAAATCGAAAGACTAAAAGTTATAGTGCCGCGCCGATTACCATCCCTTAAATGAAAGCGTGGTGATCTAGGAACAGGTTTGCATGTTTGCTGACCCTTTATGTGAGGCCTTGGAGGAAGCGGAAACCCCTCAGCTCAGACAAACATCACGGGGCAAGGTGGGGGTCGACCCTGCTGGGGCTGCAGTCCCTCGGATATCTTACGAAGTGAAGGGCGATCGGGAGCCAGAGACGAGTTGAAGCACCGGGCAGAGATGACCTCCAAAGTGAACTGCTGAAGGAGGGTGGTGATTGTGTTCAGGCTAGCCTATGTGACATCGTTAGAACTGTCTGGTCCACAGGATGGGTTCTGCAAGTTTGGAAAGAAGGGCGACCACGTTGATTGTAACAACTACCGGGGCATCTCCTACCTCAGTGTCCGTGAAAGTGCCTAGCAAGGATTCACTGTGGAACAAAACATTTTTTTGTTCCTGAGTAGTAAGTGTTATTTCCTATTTGCTTATGCCTCAAACAGTACAGAAATACTCTGGTTCTTTCGGTAAAGTCACGTAGGTATAAAATAAAATAGATTAAATCACGACGTTTCGATTGCAACACAAGAAATTATCATCAAGTACAGAAAATGGCCATTATTCCCCACAAATTTTGCTTTTGTGACCAGGATAGTGATATTTTGAAATTGACCTATTTTCAATCAGAAAACGTGTGCATTTGTGTCTTTCGTTCACATAAAGTCCTGGTCACAAAAGTAACATTTGTGGGAAATAATAGCCATTTTCTATACTTTTTAGGCATAAGCAATAAAAAAAATCACAATTAGTACCGGTACCCAGGAACAAAAATGGTGTTATATTGTGAATTATTCAACATCGCCATGGCAGGCACGCTCACGAGAGGATTGCGGAGCCCCGATGTTGATCTAAACCCGGGTGATCCTGCACGGATGCCATATTCTTTTGTCCTACTGCTACAGCAGAGGTGTAGGGCATTTCAACAAGACCTACAGTAACATCTTTGCTTAATTGCTATGGTCAACACCTAAAATGGCATCAATAGGCAACGGCTTTGGGGATTGTTATTTGTCGTGATTTTGGGGTCCCTGAACCTCTGCGCGTAATAATTATAAACCTTCATGATACTGGACAGGCCCAGGTAAATTTTCGTGGCCAGGAGTCAGGGCCATTTCCTGCCTAAGTGCAGTCAAGGGATGGCTCCCTACTTGTCAACCGTGCAGTGGATGACCCCAGTAATTTCTGCTTACGATGCCGAGTTAATGACTCTGCTGCTGAATCTGCAGCATACTCCTAAGAGACGGGGCTTTCCCATCAGCCCCACAAAAACAAAGCACCTGCCCGGGTAATTTATGGAATCAAAATACACCTCGAACTCCCCATGATTGATGGAGTTGTGAAGTGGAGGCGTTTTCATACGTGAGAGTGGCGCGCTTATGACCAGCTCCGATTTGGCAGCGCACGTGTCACTTCCACGTCATCCGAGCGGCATGTCTCTCGTCACCAGTGGCGTATCGCTGAGTTGGCGCAGAGGCGAGTACGGGTGAGGTGGTGCAATGTGCAGGGGGCCACGGGACAGATGACTGACAGACGTCAGTCATCTCAGTAAAGCCACTCGGCACAACAGTTAACCCGTGACACTTTGTCGCGTCTGTCCCGTGATCTCATGCCAACACTTCAAGCGACGGCATCACGGTGCACCTAGCCTGGTACAATCGCCGGGGTCACATCACCATCGCTGCGGGCTGTTTATGTTAAACTGTCGCTGTGTGCCGGCCGCCGGGAGCGGTGGCGAAGTGGTTAGCGCGCTGCGCCAGGCACCCGAGTGTGCGCGGTGTGCAGTAAACATCGCCAGTGGGGAGACAAAGGCGGCCCGGCGTGGTTCTGGCCACCCACCCCCTCGTGTGCCACAGTGCCGCACTTGGCAGCACTTGCCCCTTTAGTCTGTTCGAGGCTACACGGGAGACCTTTGTATGTGGCGCGTCGCATGGCGATGCAGATTCCGGGGCCACGCGCGCGGCTATGCCGAGTCTGGGGCCCTGCGCGCGGCTATGCAGATTCCGGGGCCACGCGCGCGGCTATGCAGATTCCGGGGCCCGCGCCGTGGGGATGCAGATTCCGGGGCCCCGCGCGCGGCTATGCAGGTTCAGGGCCCCCCGCGTGGCGATGCAGGTTCCGGGCCCCCCGCGTGTGGCGAGGATGGCGGCAGCGGCTGCGTGCACGTTGAGGCTGGCGCTGCGCAGGGACAGCTTCCTGAGCGTCCCCTCGAGCCTGGCGCACAGCCTGCACCTGCAGCAGGTGCGCCCGCAGCTGTGTGTCGCGCTGTGCGCTGTGCTGTGCGCGTGTGTGCGCCCAGCCTTCATGAGGTGCGCGCTATCAGCACTTGCCTCAACAGTCTGTGAAGGTTATACGGGGGATCTGTGTGTGTGGAGCTCTGTGTGTGTGGTTAGCACAGTCGGGGCACAGGTGGTGCATCAGCCAGTCATCTCGGTCATCTCAGTCGACCCGTGGCACGTGGGTCTGCCCCGTGGCACCTGGGTCTGCCCCGTGACCTGCCAGCGGGCGTTCGACACTTCACGTGGCCTCAACGTGCACATGGCCTGGCACAAGCGCCGTGGTGACGTCACCGAAACTTAATGGTGAACTGCGATTCTTGTGTGTGGATCTGGGAACATTTCCTTCCACCAGTGAGCACCGGCAGGCAAGGCTGGGTCACGTAGCCCACATGGCCAGCCACCGCATGAGCAATCGGCTGCATAGAGGGGGCTAAACGAGCACGATACGGGCTGGAAAAGAGACGGACCGCTGCGGTACGGGAGGATGTGAAGCTGAGTGGACTTGCCGAAGTCTGGGCAGTTTGAGGCCTTCACCTTCCACCCACTCCAACAACTCCAACAACACACGGGAGGGCAAGAGGAGCCACGCTCACAACAACGAGCCGAGCGCCGGGCAAAATAAATGCGGCAAGTTGGCACCGCCAATTAGCACGTGCGAAAGAAGTTCGACGTAGGTGCCACAGGTGTTTGCATCAGCCATCTGTACCAGTCAACCCATAGCGCATGGGTCTGTCCCTGGTGCCTTTTCAGCGAGCCTTCGACACTTCACGTGACATTGGAGTGCACCTGGCCTGGCACAGGCGCCATGGTGACATCACCGCCCCTCTTGTTGTGTGGAGCTGTGTAACAGTGTGGGGGCTCACTGACCTAATCGCTCCATACGAAGCACCAGCATTGGCGCGCCGTGACGCCGCGGTGCCTCGATGTAGACATGCGGATTTATCGGGAGTTAAATCGGCGGTTATTCGACCGAAACGAGTGCTGTGAGCTAGAGAGGTACAATTGCCAAGGTTGAGGGGGCCCTGATCGTCGGTTCGCGTGGAGCGCGATTGTCATTGACGTGGGTGCGATTGTGTTTATGCCGCGACTGTCAAATGAGGCGACCGATTGGGGGAGATGTAGACGGAGAGACATGAAGGACCCCAGGGGCTTATCCCTGGGGGACAGCTGCAGTGGACGTGACGACTTGGCTTGAGGACACCTGCCAGCCTGGACGTAAGAGACCTGTCAGAGAGAGATAAAGACGTGAGCCGCCGAAGGGCTCTGGGGCTGAATGCGAAATCAGGTTTTTCCACCACCGTTCAATTAACATTTTGTTGTTCACAAGTTTCAAAAGCAGCAGATATGCCGAGGGTGATTGAATCAACTATGAAAAAAGGAATCGATGAAAGCTAAAACGTTATCAAATAAACTTGACAAGTGCAGTTCTCGGTAGAATGGGCTGGTGGTAGGCGGACTGGAAAGGGGGAAACATTGGCGGATGGAGTGATGTAATCTTTGATTTTGATAAGCGCGAGGCACTCGAGAAGTTTGGAGATGGTTGATGAGTCAGTGATTGGGGGGGTGGGGGTGGTAGTTTGAAGGGTCATCGAGGTTGGAGCCAAGGTTTCATTAGTAGGAGCGTCACTTGGCCCGATTTAAGTGATGGAAGGTAACCACCGGACTAGAAGGAGCAATTGGCAAGATGAAAAACCAGAATTGCAAATGTATCAGAGCAATGCTTGAAAGCGCTGGCAGGTAAGAGGTCCACGGGAGAGGTTTTAGTTGTGGAGATTAGGATCACTGTGGAGAATCTCTTGGTATGTGGCAGGTAAGAGGAGAGTGTAGAGTGAAGGTCAAAAGAATGACAGCCGAAAGAGACATCCCGATGGTGCAGGAAATGCTGGTGAGTTCGTCTTAGAATATCTGTTACATTTGAGAGCAAGTGGAGGGTCGGCCATGCGCTTGCACGTGGCCACCACCGGTTTTTGATGGAAAACAGCATTTAAGTGCAGACCAGAGTTACCGTGGGTGGTTGGCTGCAGGGATGATGTGTTCATTGTTTTGTGAAGCGCATGAGGCTGCGATGACCTCATCGATGGCTTTGCTGAGTAGATGCAACTGCTGCAGCCGAGAGTCACATTGGTTGCCTATCAAATTACCCTCATGACCAACCAGCTTTGAATGGTTCTGCACCTTCCAATCGGATTGAGCGGCCCACGTCATCTCCCCATGTGATTGCTCACCAATGAGAGTCTTGCGCATGCTATTTGAACTCACAAGCAATCAGATCCTGTGGGCGTTTATTTATTTACTTATTAATAGGGGTTGCCTCTTGGTGAGTCCCTTACACATGTGATACATTTGTTTTACATGGATTGCTGTTTGCCACTAGACAGTTGTCCATTGTGGATGGAATTAATCGCACTCGCCGAAGCATTTGCTAATTGTGCATTTTGTGTGTTTTATTTTGTATTTTGTACTTTGAGCAGGGCCATGTGGTTGTGATGAGCTGGGGCACAGGACAGGAGGCCTTCCTGGGCTGGCTGTGCCAGGGCCTGGCAGCACAGCACGACCAGACGGTGGAAATCGGTACCACCGTGGCTTTCCACCTGAACCTACGTGACGGTCAAGAGGTAACTCTTCTCACCCTGTGATCTTAACATTTGCACACATCGTCTGCTCCGGGATGAATGAAGACATTGGGCCGGCCAAGGCTTTCCAAAAACGCCACGCCGCCTCGCCATCCCCGCGTGTGTGGGTCCCACTCCCGAGTCCACCAACCGCGTGTGGCCATCCCCACGCCTGTCTCTGTAACTTGCCCTCATGTTGATTGCACCTGTACCACAGCCGGCGCAACTCCCCTGCTCTTGATTATACCTACAACACTTTTTTGCCATGTTCATATTTCGAACGTGCAAAGTTGCTGCGTTCTTTGGCCGGCAATTTACTTACAATAAGAAAAATAATCGTAATAAATGAGTACATCGGGTATTCGTGACATTCTTATAGCGCTGCGCTATCAAGAAGGAAGGTGCTTTGCTTCACAGACATTCTGCAGTAATTACGTAGGGGGGTAGCGATGTTACCGTGTGTAATCCCAATTAAGTAATTTGCAGCTATTTTGTCATTTGGCAAATGTGGATCTTGAGGCCAGCACGCAATGGCCTCTCCTAATTTTGAATGATGTCACAGGATCTTTAATGTCCACTGTGAAGCAGACGTTGCGTAGTATTTTATGGTTAACGAGCAAATCGCACATCGTTTGGACGTGACCGTCTGTCCGTTTGTCCCTCCCTCCCAGCCAGCAAAACCTTTACTCTATATGGAGCCCTGTCTCTCTCCACCTTTCTCTTGCCTGCTGTGTATGCCAATTCATCTCGATATCTCACTTTCTCTCTGTTTCTATTTGTTTCTCGATTCCTCTGTCCCCTCTTCTACCTCTCCCTTCCTCTCCTCCCTGCACTATATCTAACCCACTTTCCGCCCCCATCTCTCTCCCTGTTTCTCTCTCTCACCTCTCAACCTCGCACTCCTCATCATTCCCACCTCTCCCTTTCCCGTCTGAATCTCTCTTGCTTTCCCTAATCTTCCCTCCTGCTGTTTGTCACTTTCCCTCGCTGTCCTCTTTCCATTTTGCTTTCTCGCTTTCCTCTCCGTTACACACTCTTTCACTCTCTTTTCCGCCCCTGTCCGCAATGTTCCTCTCGGTCTCTTCTTCCCTGCTCTATCTCCCTCCTATATATATCCGTCCCTCAACTCCCTCCTCTCTCTCCTCTGTCACATCTGTGTGGGATCCACGGCCGGGGTGGAGGGTGGGTGGTTGGGGGGAAGAGGCGTGGCATCAGCACAACTCACGGACGCGGCCACGGGGTATGCGTGGGCCATGGGGCGGGCATGGGCTAGGGGGAGGGCGTGGGCCATGGAGCGGGCGCGATGGGCACTGGAGCAGTGTAGGCCACGGGGCTCCACTGTACATGCGATCGCACCCCAGTTTGTTATTTTATTTTTAAACACAGTTGCTGACCCAAAACATCAAGCGGCTGGCAAAATCAGCACTTTAAAAGTTGCAATAGATAAGAGTGTGACACATTCCTTGATTTGAACAAGATTATTATGAGAGCTTGGGAACAGAAACTGGGAAGAAATTTCAAAATGTATAAGGTGGGGGAGAAGAAGCCAAAAGACAAGTGTTGTGACCTGCAGTGTCGTGAGTGAGTAAGTGAGTGATTGATAAGTGAGTGTGTGAATGGGTAAGTGGGTGAGTGAGTGTGTTGTTGTGGGGAGTGATAGTGTAGCGGTTAGCGCACTGCGCTCCGAATCCTTTGACCCGAGTTCGATTCCCGCTCACGGCCAACAACAGTGACGATTATCTGAACCGGTCCTGGGCCCGCCTAGATCGATTCGGCCTCAAATTAATATTTGGTGCGATTTGTTAAATCTTGCCACTAAGGAGCCAGGCAAGGTGTTGGCCACCCACCCTATCTCGGCCTCGCTGTGCGCTGCGTTGCACCGCTAGTCGAGTAGATAACCATGTGTTCAATAAACCCCCGGAGCCAGGATGACCGTCCAACTCCGATCGTCATTTATTGATTGTAACAGGTAAAACTGGTGAGAAAACACAGATACAGCATCTGTTATAATTCGGAAACACCCACACAATGAACACCACAGCATCAGAACATTGTCTCAGATAACAATAGATCCTGGAAGGACCAGGCCCCCACATTACCCCTGAACAACTAGACAAAGGCACAAGCTGATGCGTTGCATACAGGCACAGTGTATTCATCCCACTGCACCCCAAATGTACAGCATTACACTTAACACTAAACTGTGGATGAGATACTTCGTCATCACTCTCAGGATCGCAACATAGGCACAAGTCTGACTCGACCTACTAAATCACAAGTAACATCCACAATAAGGAAAGTCACAGGCTTCGTTACTAACTAGGCCTCGTATTTACTACAACAACTTAACGGCACCATAAAGACATTTACATTGCTATAACGGTCATTCCAACAATACAACAGCATTTCCAATATTAGAGGAATATAAACAACTTACAGATAATGCTTCTTAAGCTCCCACAATGGATAAGTGCGGCTGTGGTCTCACTGAGATGCGATGCGTGCCGCCATCTTGACTTATCTGAGTAATGGCTGAAGCCCGCGTGGTACAGTGGAAATCTAACATCGTCACTTCCTGGTCACGTGACCAACATTAGCATAAAAAAAACAGGAACTTCCTGTTAACGTACGCTCCCCATCTGCCGTGAGGCAAGACACACCCCCTCGTGTGCCATGCCAGCCTGCATAGGTGCTCACTAACAGCACGAGACCCAGCAGTCTTTTAAAGGCTATACAGATAATCTTTGTTGTGACCTGCAGTGTGATGGTAGTTGAACGCAATACAGTCAGTCTGGCAGTCCTCCACACGGGTAGTGCAACCAATGAGAGTGATGTTTTGCGGGAACATTAACCATGCAAAGTAGAGATAGCAGAGCCAATGTCGTTATCCGCGAATTTTGCTATTCACGAGCATCTCCGGAACGTATACGTCAACGAATAATAATGGGATACTGTACTGCATTTGTACATCTGTCATCGTTGCAAATACGGTTTTCCAATACGATACCACAAATGCCTTTTACTTATATTTTGAGGTCAATAAAGTAGTGCTCGGCTGTGGTGTTCAAATTGTGTGAAGGAACCATGCACGCTCTTACTTAATATTTAATTCCCAGTGTTGAGTAAAGATAAGACAAGAGAGCTCACAATCTGGGATGCATAAATTTAACAACACACGCACAAACACGTTCAACATCGTGACCCCACAATTCCGACTTGAGTCTATATTTGTAAAATATACTCACTATCGTTTTTGGAGACTCAACGTGCATTGCAGTGCATTTGTATATTGTCACCCGTCTTAGTTTTGCGTTGCTTTTTCTGCGTGGCTCAGCGGCAGAGCACGTGGGAAGGTTGTTCCTTCAAACCCTCGTTACTGGCGTTGACTTGGCCCATCAATCCCATGGGGTTGTTAAAACGAGTACCACTTTATGGGGAAGTCAACAGTGGTCGTCCTATGGATAATAGACGCCTCCGCCGTAGCAATGTGGACTTTGCACCATTGGCTCAGGGCTGTTAAACAAGACGATCACCAATGCCTCAATGCACTCGCAAATTGCTGACATGGTGTTGATGTACGTTTCCCGGTGTCTTCCCAGGTACTGCTGACAGTGCTCAGAGACGTCCCTTCCTGCCAGCAGGTTTTACTGGAGCCTTTAACCTTGGACGATTTTGAAATTTTGGTAAGTGAAGTTTAAATTTACAAATCGATTTGAAATGCACATAATGCAATGCAATGAAGTGTTTTTTTTTACAAACACTCATATTAGCCATCTTCTTGGTATGGCTGATGTTGACGTAGAGCAACGGCTGTGATTCTACATTGAAGTGCTTTAATGATCCAGATGATTGCAGCAGGAGTAGCTTCCCAGTGCATCGCTGTGACGACGCCTCCCGCTTGGTATTTGTGAATTTAGCGTTGAGTCGTTGTACGTTCCGTGGTTCTGTTCTGGGTGACCACAGTCTCCGCACACCGCAGAGTTTAAAATGTTCCATTTAGTGCATCGTGTCCGCATCTGCTGCCATGTAGCCATCATTGTCCTATTTCAGGCCACGTGCGGAGCCACCTCGTGCCTCATAGGGACGGTTGCCCCTTTAAAATGTGTTCAGACGTGATACCCTGGCATTAATAACTATACTGCAAAAACGAGGCTGCTCTCTGTCCCAGCATGGGACGTCTCTGTTGCTAATTCCACCTTTAACAGATGGTTTGGTGATGCAGCTGCATTGGCACAATTTCCAAAACGTTGCTCCGTTGCGTTTCCTCTTTAGACCGCCCAGTGTGATGGACGACCGTGTTGGCTTAACTTCACCTTTGTTGGCTCGTTGAGCCTTGGACACTTCCAGTGACTCCTCCTTGAGACGCGAAGAGCTCTGTCCGTCGAGCAGACGACCGCCTGCAATTCCGCTTTGTGCACGGCACTGCCACCCGCTCGACATCGCGACGCCGCTTGTTGTTGTCTCGCTGTCGATCTATGCTAGAATCATATTTGAAAACACCAGCGTTAATTTCGGTATTTACTTGTTACGTGGACATTCCCGTTTGGCCAGTTACCCTGCAAGTTTGCAAGGGAGATATGTGGTGAAATCGGCACTGAGCAGGAACAACTTCAGAGTGATCTTTATGGAGGAATGGGAAACATCGGAACAGAACGATCCTCCTTTACTCTTCACAGCCTCTACTCTCCACACTCTACTCGCCACAGCCTTCTCTACTCTCCACAATCTCCTCTACTCTCCACACTCCCCTCTACACTCCACATTCTACACTCCACAGCCTCCTCTATTTTCTACACTCAGAAAAAACGCCTTTAGCCAGATCGTTACCCTCACCCTAGTCGATTATGAGTTACAACTTGGGCTGTGAAGATCCATGTGCCAAGTTTGCTCTGAAGTGTTTCCTATCGCTTCGGCATTTGTCTCTGTGTTTTATTTGCTTAACTTTGGGTGATCATATCGATGAAGATGATCCCCGGAATGTGCAAGATCGCTGCTGCGAGAGCGAGACAGTGATGGGGGAAGAGAAGGCCTTTTTGGTTTGTGTTTACAGGAGCTCCATGCGGCAGAGCTGGAGGAACAGCTGCTCAATCAAGTTCGTGTGGTCTACGTCGGAATGACTTTATCCCTGTGGATCAATCAGTCCGTTCTGGTTAACACCCGAGTAGGTTGGTACCATCATTATTACTATTTAACTTTATACCATGCACAATTAGCGATACGGATCTCCACATGCAGACTGTTCTATAACGCGGTGGTAGTTGCGTTCCTAAAGAACACCGTGTTATGGAAAAATCGCGTTATAATCAATAATATATACTATAGGGTTAAGTACAGTCCGCAATAACACGTGAGATGCGTACGCAGGCTGAACAAAGACTGACGTGTGTGGGTAGCCTCTAGTAGCATCCAGCAGCATCCCAATGCCTTGTGTGATGCTACGCCGAGGCAGCCGTACAACTGCTTATTCCTACTCGCACGACTCAGTTCCGTTCATTCAATCGCGTTATATCCAATTCGCATCCGCGTTATAAAAATATCTTCCCTGATACATTCATCGCGTTATATCCAATTCGTGTTGTGAAAACATGCGGCGCTATAGGAGAACGGACTAGCACCGTCAGATATATTTTTTTGCGCCATCTTGGTTTGAAGTTTAAATTGTGAAGGTGCAGCTTTGTCACCCCGCGTCCGGCAGTGTCACTGATGCCCTTCAGTAACTACGGGAGGCTGGAGGTGGACACGAGGCTTCTGGTGGAGCCCAAGTATCGGCACGATGTGACGGAGCGAGACATGGGGACCTCGGCGATCGCGAACACCGGCGGCGCCGGCGGCGGGGCAGCGAGCGTCCGCGACGATACGTCGGTGGGGAGCGACGAAGCACGGTCGGGAAGGAGCTCCGCACACGTGGACTCGGCTTCCAAGAGCAACACGGAGGCAGGAGGTGGCGTGGCGGCGAGGAACCAGCCGGATCTGTGGAGCTCCATGTGGAGCTGGTTTACGAGTGCGCTCTGGCAGCGAGGTGACGCGTCGACTCTCGCAGGGGCGGCGGCCGAGGATAAAACGGTGTCCCGGTGGAGACCTTCGGATTTCGACGGCGTGTACCGGGTCACGAGGGTAGCGCCGGCGACTCCGGGCGAGCGCGGCCAACTGCAGGCGGCCAACGCGGTCGTTGTGTTTCCCTCCGGGGTGCGCGAGGGAAACGCGGCCACGTGGTTCGCCGAAATCTGCAGACTTGCGTCGCCAAAAGAGCGAAAGGAGAAGGCGAAGAAGAGAAGCGCGGCGTCAAAGGGCGATGGGAAAAAGTCGCCGAGCGAGGAGGAGGAGCGAGAGGACCGCGGTGCTGTGCCGTGCATCGTCAGGGCCACGGTGGCGCAGCCCGGCAACCGAGCAGGCGACTGTGAAGGATGCGATTCGTATTGGGCAAGCGAGCCCGGGAGTCGCTCGCAGCTACACACGGGAATGATATGGGTAAAGATCGTAAATATGATCAGAATCAAAATATGTATTTGTATTTATACTTGAGGAATCTGATGAGCTATAAAGCTCTTTTTTTCACAGATGTCTAGTCGGGGTGGGTAAGAATGTTACAACAACAAACAGTACAAAAACATGAGCGTGCTAAGTACCAGACAACTATTACAGGTTACTGATAGACAGCCAGTTCTGTTTTACCAGGTTTAGCTTTGTTTTTTCACACTTTTGTCATGTAGGCCAGGCTTAGTCACAAACCGAACCTCTCCATAATAAAGGCTCAGTCTTTTGTTATGTAGCCTATTACCATCTACATGACAGAGGCTCGGTCTCATTTGCAGCATTTGTTATGTAGGCTAGGCGTTAGTCACAAACCGCACCTCTCCATAACAAAGGCTCAGTCATTTGTTATGCAGTCTATTCTTAGTCTTAAGCCTCACCTTACCATATTAATAAAAAGTGTGCCGTTCCTGGCCCTGCCCCCCTCAACCATTATATATACGGAGTGGTATCTCCTGTAATCCCTCATTTACTTGATACAGCTGTCGGGCTGTGACGGTTCCACCTGAAGACGGAAGCTGGTGTTGCCTCCGAAACGTCGTGATTTTTATTTAACTTTTATTAATTTTAATTTTTTACCTACGTGACTTTACCGAAAAAACCTAAGAATATGAATCCTTGCAGTCACGAAAGCTTCAAATCTAGAACACTAAACCATTGCCATCCTACCAGGCAAAGGCCACTGAGGTATTAACTTCTTCTTTCAGAAGTGACCTGGCCACAAATGAAAGCTCAACAAAGTGGCTTATAATTGGGACATTTATAGCAGTAAATTAATCTAAATAATCTCAATGCATCTTTTTAAATGCGGAGGAAAAAATCGGAGGACCCGAATAAAAAATCCACGCAAAAAATTGTCGTTATTAAAATTTTTTTCTCAAACTCGAGTCATAAGATGGAGATATTTGTATTATTATTTTAAACTCTCTGCGTCGGATGAATTTTGTTGCCTAGACTGTAGTTCTTCATTTTAACAGTGACATCGTATCCAGTTTTTTCGGTTAACGTTTCGCCTCTCATAGTAACCCCATGGTTTCGACTAACGCTAACATTCTGACTAACGGTAACGTGTTTACGTTATGCACGCGGCGCCAATTTCGGACAATCTGCTCGTAAGTGGGCCTGACCCATGCCCTCAGCCAATCAGCAATGCCTATTCACGAACTTTTAGACTTCGACTGGCTTTGTTTATATTAGGCTTTCTGTTTTGGCAGTGGAAACAGCTCTCTTGCAGACTCAGTGATTTTTTAAAGTTCTTTTTCAACTTAAGTGAATTAGATTAACATAGTTTTAACAATAGTTTTCGCAGAACGAATTAAAAACATTAACCGAGGGACGATTGTACCAGATTTTTTGTAAATTCTCCACTGAAATATCCCAGCGGAGGTGGAATTTGAGTGGTTGACAGTGCTCAGTAGTAAACTCAGCTGCCATCGGAGGGGGCTTATCCCGTAGCCCCGAGGTGGGCGTGATCCTTCTTGAGTGTTGTAGCGTTTGTGGACACGTTCCGCAATTTTGTCAAGCCGCTGCTATTCCCCTCGTGGGGGTTATTTAGCCATACTTGACCATGCAGGTCAACATTAAACTATTAAGCTCTACAGAAAGGACCTGACCATCACAAATGATAGCTCTACGAAGTGGCTTATTGTGTGGAAATTTATAGCAGCCAATGTCAGGGAGCGTAGATGTTGGAGTAAGGTACAGTACAACAATAGATGTTGTCGAACTTATGCTGACAACATAGCTTCACAGCAGCCCATGACACCTCTTTAGTTTTTGCGGCGGTTGCCCATCCAAGCACTTTCCGAGTTCAAGCCCTGCTTGGCTTTCGAGGCCTAACGAACTCGGGCGCATTCCGGGTGATTTGCCCATGGGGAGTATCTTTCACTTGTTCTTGGTCGAATGTTTTGATTTTGAGTTCTGTCAAATTTACTTACATTAATGGAATAACAAAATATTAAACTTAGTACCCATGGCAAACCACGGAAGGGGGAGTAGAGTTAAGGTTATAATGCAATGGGCAAAGGAGCAGGAAAGAAATGGAAGAGAGAAGAGGAAGAATGGGGAATGAGAGGAAAAGGAACGGAAAACTGGGACCGAAGGGGAGGAGAGAGGAGAAGGATGCCAGGGATGAGAGTTTAATGATGATGAGAGGGGGAGAGGGATGAGAAAACAGGAAGGCACACGCAGTCGTGAGGAGCATGGAGCAGAAGGAAAGGGTCCAGAGTGGCGGTGGCCACACACAAGTCATGTGACTTACGGGAGGCTTGAGCTGATTTAGAGAGATATATAAACAAGAGTGGGGGCGCCACACAGAAGTCACGTGGTCTACAGGAGGCCTGAGCTGATTTCGATAAAGAGATGTAGGTCGCATGGGTAGAATGCACTTGTATGTTTAGTCGACGGTTTGTGTGATGTGGTTTTTGCACCACAGGTGCCAGAGCTGCTGAGGTGCAGGCTTCAGCTGGAGGCCTCTTCCACAGTCCAACTGAAAGCAGCCACATCCCAACCTGCAGTGGCTTTGGCTGTGGAGTTACAGCCACTTCTGCCTTTGGTAAGCAAAAAACATTTCACTCATTGCTGCAGTATACTCAGACCTGATAATAACAATAATGGTAATCATCATCACTTATTTAACCAAGGAAAGCCACACTGAGCTTGAACACCTTTTTTACAGGAGGGCCCAGCCCCATTGGTCTGTTTGACCGACACCAATTACATTGTATTGTTTTTTTCTGTAACTTATGGGAGGAAACCGGTGAAGCTGGAGAAAACACGTGCATAGCAGGGGGAGAACTCATGTCTTTAGAACTGTGCTCCGTTTATTGTCCACCCCCGCACCTCTTGCGAGCACACTTTTCTACGTACGGTGTGAAAGAAGTTCAACATACATACAGAATATAGAGACTCCATACAGAAAGGTGCCAGAGTCAGCCATCGAACTCGGTCACTTCTTGCTGTGAGGCATGAGTGTTATCACCATGCCTCCCTGCTGCCCTATTTACAGCTTGAATGTACATTTGACTAATATGAGCGTGAAACTACAGAATTCGGATTTTTAAAATGTATATTGGCACATCCACTAATACCATGTGGTCTTTCTCACTATCTGAAAATCAGACATGTTTTGCCATTTATAGTTGATCATCGGCGGACGATTATCCGGCTTCCAATATTATCCGGCGGTCCCGGGCCGATCTGGCGAAACCAGCAAAACCTCAATGTCCGGTTTCCTCCCACTTGTGTAATCACTCACTCATGGCGTTAGCTAAACATCCAAAAAGACTAAACTAAAACTATGAACTAAACTAATTATTTTTACTAGGTAAGGCCCACTGAGCCTTTTTGCTATTTTTCAAAAGTGACCTGGCCACAAATTATAGCTCAACAAAGTGGCTTATCATGTGAAAATTTACAGCAGCCAAATACTCTAAACACACGTTGATTCTGAAAGTGGAGGAAAAACCGGAGGATCTGGAAAAAAAATCCACACGACCACGGTGAGAGAGACATGCAAACTCCAAATATACAGGCGTGAGGGTGAATTTTTCTCCGGCTGATCCGGTTTCACCCTCCACATTTAGAAACGTTCTTTCGGTAAAGTCACGTAGGTAGAAAAATAATAGATCACGACGTTTCGATCGCAACACAAGCAATCGTCATCAGGTGGGACAACCACAGCAAGAAAAAACTGCTGTTTTTTGGCAGAGGACATTTCTAGACGGTTTGAGGGCCAATGGATGAGACTGGCGATGGAGCAACGGCTCAAGGGAGGAATGTTTTGAGGTGGATATCCTTTGTCGATGACCATATTGTGGAAAAAAAAGTGAATATTAAAGTTGACTGCGAAATTGTTATAATTGTGGACCTGTGCTCCGCAACTGTGATGGAAAAAAAATAGAGAATACGGGCAGTCCTCGGCTTACGAACGGGTTTCGTTCCTGAGATCCGTTCGTTAGTCGAACGTTCGCAAGTGCGGGCGTCCGTAGGTGTGGGCGTCCGTAAGTGTGGGCGTCCTTAAGTGCGGGTGTTGTAAGTGCGGGCGTCGTAAGTGCAGGTGTTCGTAAGTCGAGGACTGCCTGTATTGAGGAAACTGCCTCATATTTCATAAACAGTTTCCCGACATTTTGGTTATAAAATATCCAGAGTTGAAATTCCTGGACAAGACGTACTCATCCCTGTTTGTCAGGAGAATCAGGCTGTGACTGTGCCGCCGTGTTTTCAGGACGCGTCTGTGTGTGAAGACACCGTGTACCAGTCCTGGCTGTCCTGGCTTAAACTCTGCTGCATGGACACTCACGGCATTCCCACCGCGAAGTGCAGCGAAGTGGAGCTCAACATCTCAGGTTGTTCACCGGATTATTCTTCACAGTTACCATATTGCAACTTGGCGGTGCCAGCTGTGTCGTTCATAACGGCAATGTCTGGCGATCGCTGTTCATGTATATTAATTATGGTTGTTATCACGGCCTTGTTCTACTTCTGTTTTCATCACGCGAATTGGATATAACGGGATGCATGTATTAGGGATACACTTTTTTTTATATAATGCGGATGCGAACTGGATATAACGCGGTTAAGTGAACAGAACTGCGTCACACGAGTAGGGATAAGCAGTTGTACGGCTGCCTCGGCGAAGCATCGCACAAGGCATCGGGATGCTGCTGGATGCTTCTAGATGCTACCCACGTACCTCAGTCTTTGTTCAGCCTGCCTACGCATCTCACGTGTTATTGCGGACTTTGCTTTACCCTATATTAGATATCATTTATTATAACGTGATTTTTCCATAACGCCGTGTTCTTCAGGAATGCAACTACTACTGTGCTATCGGAGAACATGACTTTCGGTTTTTATGCATCACCGGTGATCACACAAACAAAATCGGTGAAAACCCGCTTTGCCGGTTTGCCGCACCAGTGGTGGGGGGGGGGGGCATTGTGACGCGGCCCAGCCGATGGCGAGTCAGCCGCTCCATGTCGAGGTTCACGGTTCGAATCCAGCAGCCACGCTGGTTATTACTGTCAGCGTTAAAGCTGTAACATTCACACCGCCTGCTTCACAATGGACGTTCAAAATCCCCTGACGTGATTCGCAAGAGGAAGGCCATTGTGTGCCGGTGTCATGGTCCAAATTTGTTAAACTTAGAATGTTTTTTAAAAGTTACCCAAGGTACTCAAATGGAATTATACACAGCAGCAATCGTCGCCCCCCTAACTGCGAAAACTTGGCAGGACCCTCCTGAAAAGGTCTTGAGACTTCGTGAGGCTTTCCTGGGTAAACAGTCTTCGTAATAATACAAATAGTGTATAGAAATGTCAAGAGCAATAAACGCAACCTTTTCAACTCAGAAATGAAGGGAGCTGCCACAGTGGTGTAACGGTTAGAACATTGAACTCATAATACAGAGGTTGCCGAGTCCATCTCCCGGCATAGTGGTTGAATCAGCGGTGCATGCCTTGCTCACATTGTCCTGGATTGAGTTCCCGGTTCCCAACTTTTGGAACGGTAAACGTTTCTGGTTACCGGTTTATCGGTTATCGTTTATCAACCCTCGTACGATCTGTACTTGACATCTCAACTGGGACGGATGATTTGCTTTGATTGCTTCTTAACCTTGGCCTTCTGTCTTTCTCAAGGTCATCGTTCCATCTGGACAGCACTAAAAATCATTCTCATGTAATCACTTTACTTATTGTCGATGTGCGGGGAAGTGGAGAAGTGTATTATTACAAGCTGACTATTCCAAAGCTGGTTAAAGAAAAAATATCTTAGATCTTGCCGTTGCTAACGATGAAATCGTTGTGTTAAGTAAGTGTTATTCTGTAATGTTTCAGGGCAACTGAAAACGTTTTCATTGGCTGTGGTGAAACACAAGAGGATATCAAGCGACCACGAGCCATCGTATTTCATTCTGTCGCACAAGTGTCTGTTTAGATCATCAGTCAAGGTGAGTTGTCGGCTTATGTATGTTGATGAAAAATAGGGGAATGGGCTTTACCCTTTTATGCAATAAAACAGGAGGTGTTATGATGTTCAAACACCAAATAGATACCGATTGCAAGGCATCAAGTCTGCTTTAACCATGCATACTTGTGGCTCAACATGCAAACAAACATGCTCCGATTATAATTAATCTATGCATTGTCTTTGAAACTGATTTGTCGACACCAGAGACAGCCTTCTTTATGGCCGAGTCTCACCAGTGTCATACCAGAGAACGCCAAACTGCGAGCAGTACAAAGGCAATGCACGTATCAAAGCATTAATAGCTCTGCGTTGAAAAAATAAGAATCTGGCAATTAAACAGGAGGTGTTATGATGTTCAAACATCATATTTTGTTGTTCATCGTCTCTACAGTGGTGCTGTTGTTGATGTTGTGTTATGTGCAGGAGACTTCTTCTTGTTTGTGGTGTTATTGGGGTGGGACCAAAATCACAGATCCTATTATCTGCGAGGTGGTCTGTGAGCTGACTCCTCCGCGGGGTAAAAAAAAAGAAATCACGGATTAACCAAACAAAGAATAGGGTAAATTTGCCACGCAAACTCCTATTACCAGCAAAAAATCTCAGATCCATAGGAATCAGCTTCACTGTGCATCATGGGTAGATCACGCTTGGGAACATCGTCCAGGCATCCGTCCGTCAGCGAGTCGGGTTAACAGCTCCAGTTTGGAGAAGCCACATCGGCTAGCAGAGGACACAACTCTTTGCTCCAGATGTCTGCGAGATGTCCAATTGCTTTTGCGTACGTTGGCAGTTGAATTTTTTTCACAAATACGACACACAACGCTGTTTGGTTCTACTCCAACGCTGTTTAGTTGCGCACGCGTACTTGTGTGTCCGTGCGACAGCCAGGCAGGCAGGAATCCAGCCAGGCAGCTATATAGCTGCCAAGCAGCTATATATATCTTTTTTGAAGCGATCTAGCCATAAATTATAGCTCAACGAAGTGGCTTATCATCTGGAAAGTTGTTGCAGCCAAATACTCTAAAACACGTGATATTGATTCTAAATGTCTAGGGAAAAACCAGAGGACCCAGAGAAAAATCCACGCGACTGCAGGGAGAGAAACATGCATATTACAAATATACATCTGTCAGAAGATTCCCCGTATAGATTCTACAGACTTTTGGGGCAAGTGCTGTTAGCGAGCACCAATGAAATCAGGCATGGCACATGAGGGGGTGAGTGGCCAGCACCATGCCCGGCCGCCTTTGTCTCCCTAGTGGAAATGTTTACACACTGCTCCAGGAACTAATTTGAGGCTGAGTCGACCTAGAGGAGGGCCAGGACTGGTTCATGTAATCGTCACTGTTGTTGGCCATAAGCGGGAATCGAACTTGGATTTCTGGGTTTGTAATGCAGTGCGCTACCTACTGCAACAACAACAGCCACCATTTCCACGAAGTGGAGATGACATCACCACAGCACTTGTGCCAGGCTAGGTGCACTTTGAGGCCTCGTAAAGTGTGACACCATGGGCACCAGTCATCTTCAAGTCCACTCGGCTGCAGATCCATCTGTGCCGCATCAGTCCATCTCTTCTCTATCCGCTGCCGTCCCCGTTTAGCCCCTTCTATGAGCAACACAGAAGCTGCTTGGCCATGCGTTGCCTGGGCACGCTTGCTACACGACGCGGCCAACGCAACCTCGCCTGCAGGAGGAGCTCACCAATGGGACAGAAACAGCTGATTGCTGCACTACCGCTCACACACACACTCCGAAGTGCCCTGGAGTAATAAAAAACGAATAATAAGGCTTCTCAGTTGAAGTACGTGCAGTATTTTTACGTGGTGGAAAGTCGTCCCTTCAGGGTTACTACGCGCCTGGTCCATCTTATTAATCACTGACTTGATCGCACCCGTGGGGAATAGCCCTCTGTGTGCTCGAGTCTGTTACCAAAGCTGTTAATGAGGACACGTGGCGTTGTGTCAGGAGGCAATACGGTCTGTTCTCCTATAACGCGCTATCGTAGTTGCGTTACTGAAGAACATCGTGTTATGGAAACATCAAACATCGCGTGATAATAAATCATATATAACATAGGGCAAAGCACAATCCGTGGTGACGCGTGGGTAGCATCTAGAAGCATCCAGCAGCATCCCAATGCCTTGTGTGATGCCTCGCCGAGGCAGCCGTACGACTTCCTATACCTACTCGCGTGATGCAGTTACGTTCACTCAATCGCGTTATATCCAATTCGCATCTTCAAAAAAAAATATGTGTTTCCCTTGAGTACATTTATCGCGTTATATCCAATTGCCGGTATGAAAACAACACGCGGCGTGATAGGAGAACAGACTGTAAATACCATCGTGGCAGCACACAACCCCCCCCATGGATATGACGTTGCTGTTGAAGCCTTTTCAGCGGGCTCGTGTCCAGTCGACACTCGGCGGTGGTGGAGTCCCCTTGGTTCCTGCCATAGCAACGCTGCCACCACTCCTGCTCTTTGTGTTTTTCCCTGCGTCATTTCGAGTGGTGAATTGGCAACGATTTCACTAAAACGCCACGGTTTGTTTCTTCGTAAGCAGCACCGTGCCAATCGAAATCACTCCGAATGCGCTCAATCTCATCGGACCTCGGAAGCTGAGCAGGTTTTGAGCCCCCGCGTGCTGCCTGGGTGGGTGACCGCCACGCATAAGACAGGCATTACAGGCTGCCATGGAGATACATTGTGGGCGGCAGAAGGAAGTGCAGCGTAATGTGTTGGATTGTGCTTCTATGCTCCCGTATCGGTGTTCCCAAACCTATAGAACAACCATTCAAACGGTGATGTTGCAGTGACAGTGGTGCACAAATAAAATAAAAACCGCAGCACTTTCGTTAGTCACACTGGCCTTGACAAAAAAAAAGATATAGTCGACAAACAAACACATAATAGCACGTGTGCTATAAAGAAGGCCCCTTTTTTCCCTCAAAGTATCCTGAACAAACGATGCAGGTGCACACAGAGGGCACAGTTGTGGAGTTAACACCGGTATCGACACAATAAGCACAACAATGATCACCGACGGATTTATTTATGTTGAACCCGTCTTATATGTTTCAATAGACTCTACATCCCTGGTGTTAACTTCCTTGACTCGGATAACGCCTCTAGGGGAAGGACCATGTGGGAGGAGAGGGAAGGGAGAGGGGTGGGGGGTGAAGGGTAGGGGTGGGGGTGCCGTGAATGCCGAATGAACGATTTTACAAATCAGTGGCCACTGGAGGAGAAGCCGTCAAGGGTTCCAAGTTTTGGTAATATGCTTCCCTCCCTGCCCCTTAATTTCTTGCGCTTGGATGTTCTAGAGCGGCTATTTTCGACAATTTATTAACCGATACCTGCAGTAATGAGGGGGTGGGCATGCTCTTCCCAGTTGTCTATAATGGTGCGTTTTGCCTTAACAACAAATGCAGTAGACTTGATTATCCGCATGCGGTTGATTTGATTTGTGGATTAACTGCGCACTTGAAGCTTTGACATGAATGAATAACTCATGGAATTTCCCTTAGCCCAAGATCCTTGGTTGGGAAATTCTCCAGTGTCCAAAATAGACGGCTGGGGAAGTTCCCCAAGGGAATTCACGAGGATAAAAGCAGGGCAAGAAAGGAAGTTCGAGGCTGTCGAGAGGAACTCGCGCCATCGTCGCTGTCTTCATGTCGTCGCTGTCTGCTCGGTCATACGACCTCCACGTCGGCATTATCTCATGACGACGTCTTCCTAAGCTACATTACGTGCAATACAGGAAACCTTTACAGCTCGAGTCCGGAGTCATTACACATGGTTATTCTTGGAAATGTTTACTACAAGTCACGTTCTTGAACCAAACAATATGTGTTCCAGTTTTTCCGAAATACACGTGATCGCCTCTACAGTACAGTTGTTGCATATCTTTACAACAGTGAAGCAGAGTTTGATTGATGTTGATTGGCATGGCTCTGCTGCTGTCCACTTAGTGGGCCGAGTCTTTTGCGCAGGAGCAGGAAAGTGTTATCTCTGAGCACGCTTCAATCGGTCAATCGTTAGTATTCGTTCTGATTTATACCTATATTAGTGTTTTTTAGCATAGAGATGCACGTAAAATGGATATCTTTGGATTATCCGCAATTTTTAATTATCCTCGGCCGCCCTCTCCCATCATTAGCGTGGATAATCGAGAGTCTACCGAATTTGTAATAATATCTTTGCCTCCCTGGGTAGACCTTGAGGTTTCAGCCCCAGTAGGGATGTTTCCGGGAAGGGCGAGATGTTCGTGTTGTGAAGAATGTGATTAAAGTAGCGACCGATCGTCCCGAAAAAAATAACTTGTTTAATATCAGGGCAGTCCCAGAAGGGCATGTCTGTAAGTTCGAGGGGTATCTGGGGGAACAGTTGCCTATTTGCTATTGATGCAATGTTTAGAGTTTTTTGTAATTTTTAAAATGGCCAGGAATGGCATCGACAATATCCTCGTGTTGACAAGCGCCGTCTCATTCCCTACACATGATGAACATGCCGGGCTTCACCGTGCAGTGCTGCTTAATTTACGTGTGAGCGCGGTGTACCACGGGTCAGGGTTTTTGTTTTGTTCTTTGTTATTTAGTTTTTTGTTATTTTCAGGTATCCCGTCTGGCTTATCCTGAATTCTGGCTTACCCGAGTCCAGCTTCGAAGGGTTTTACTGTAATGTAATGCAATTCGATAGCATAATGAAGGCTGATCATAATTGCTGTTTTAATGGGTTTATTTACTGTGAATGCTGACTGAGTTTAATGATTCGCTTGGTGTGTGCTTCACAGGTTACCCTGTGTCCAAGTGAGAAGGGCTGGGTTATCTGCAAGCAAACCGAAGACTTAGACCACCAACTCCCTTTCATTCCGCTGGAGCGTTTAGGGTAAATTTTTTGTTGAATATAAACGTGAAAACCATTTCAATTAACATTACCTAAGTGTCGTCATGCATGCACATTAGCTTTGGTATCTTTATTATTACAGTAGAACCCCTCTTAACGACCACTCCTGTTAACAACTAATCGCTTAACGACGGGCCTCCATAGACCCCAATGTGCAGTGTATAGTGGTGTAGTTGCCTCCATAGAGTCCAATGTGTCTGCTTACCGACCATTCCCCTGTAAACGACGGGCTGTTGTAGGCACAGTAAATATTAATTAATGCATTGATTAACCGTGTTCCATTTAATATTGTGACCAGTTTCATGGAACCAATGACCTTTGTTGAGAGAGGTTCTACTCTATTATTATCCCTTGTCATGTCCATCTTAGCTTAGCATCAGTTGGTGCCAAATTCCCACCCTAAGGTCTGCGGTCCTCTGTATATGAAGGAGTTTTCTGCCAATTATAAATTAATCTTTACATTTCATCGCTGAATCTCTGCGGTGGGTGGACGTTCCTGGCCTAGCATGTCCCCACGTATCTCACGTGGCGTGTAGCCGTTAGGCTGTGGCAATCCACCCACCCCCTCGTAACTCATGACCATTGTTTGACTCAAGTATCCACACCATGTTGTCATGTTTGTTTTGTTGGTAGTTTTTCTCGTCTCTTTTGTGCAGTTTTGTTCACTCCGTTACCCTGAATGCATCCTTCGTTTCTAATTTTCAAAAGATTAAATAATTGATTCCTGCACACTTTTTGATGCGTGCATTGTAAGCGAAGGCAATTTGTTTTAATCAATGCCTACCACTGCTGTGCAAAGCAGGATAACCTCGCGCTTGGCTGTAATTTTTTTAGATGCTCCACATTTAATTTTAAAACCAACTCTTTGGCATCATTATCATCCCAAGCGCCTGTTGGGTGCATTGCTTCCCCCTCTCCCACCTCTGAATGCCGAAGCCTTATCAAAGCCAAACAACTCCTGAATCTGCTTGCGCCACTCCTTATAACGTACTTCGCACCATTGCTACGAATGAACGAGATAAATGTATGTCTTTCCTTTCGCCCACCAGCCAAAGGGTGGTAATTTTTTACGGCTATGAAGAAAAGGACCCTCGCCCCAAACGTCCCCGATGTGGACGTTTCCAAGGGCGCCACGGTGTCTAAGAGCTGTTAACCACCTTGCCTATTATACAGGCAGTTGTGGGTTCGATCCCGACCCTGACGATGCCAGCTGTATATTTGTAGTTTGCATGTTCTCTCTTCCTGTTGTATGGATTTTTCTCCAGGTTTTTCCGTTTTTTTCCCTCCACACTTACAAACGTTCATTTAAGAGTATTTGGCCTATCAAATACTATCCTTTACGGCAGCCTGGAGGCTTCTGAAAAGAGAGCCATACGGATGAGTGGGCCTTACCTGGTAGAAATTAAAAGTATTTTTTTAAATGGTTTAGTTTTATTGTAGGGCCATGGGTGCTATTGACGAACATGCTGGTTTTTTTCTGATGCGCGCTTACGGTGCGGTTGTGTGCGTGCATGTGTGCTGCGTAGCGGCGTTGAGCAGGCGGGGAGACGGGGCGAGCTACACGTGCTGCAGAGCCTCGGGTGGGGCCACCTCTTCAGCTGCCTGGGGGCTCCGTGGGGACTTCACAATGGTGGGCTCCTCATCACGGGCCCCAAGGTAATCGCCGGCCACGTTTTCCCCCCGACGTTCGTTTCTCACGTAACGAGCGTGTTTGTTAGAATCGTCTGGAAGAATGATATGTACGTGTATATATGTGTGTATGTTGAACTTCTTTCGCAGCTTACGTTAGCCAACCACGGTAATCGGAGGTGCTGAAAAAGTTATTTCCCTGATCGAAGTGTTCGCTCGGAGTTGGCATTCATCTGCAGGTATCACGGTGGTGAGATGTTAAATACCTTGTCTGGTATACAGGAGGTCGTGAGTTCGATCCTGACCCTGACGCCTGCTGTATATTTGGAGTTTGGTGTTCTCCCCGTGGTTGTGTGGACTTTTCTCATGTGCCGTGCTGGACTTGACAGGTGCTCGCGAACATTCCGTTCCCCAAAAGTCTGTTCAGGCTGTACGGGGATCTTCTGATGCCTTTATATTTGGAGTTTGCGTGTTCTCCCCGTGGTCACGTAAATTTTTCACTGGGTCCTCCAGTTTTTCCATCTACATTTAGCATCAACATGCATTTAGAGTTTTTGGCTTCAAAATATTTCCACATGATAAGCCACTTCGTTGATCTATCATAACTGACCAGGTCGCTTCTGAAAAGAGCTGTATAGCTCAGTGGGGCTTACCTCGTAAAATACAAAAAGTTTATTTTTATTTTAGTGTTGTGGTGCAATTCATGACTGCGAGGCAGGTTGCTGTTAGGGGCTCACATCACGTTTATTTAAGGGCTCACGCCAGGTTGTTAAGGGCTTACGCCAGGTTGATAAGGGCTTACGCCAGGTTGATAAGGGCTTACGCCAGGTTGATAAGGGCTTACGCCAGGTTGATAAGGCTCACGCCGAATCAGCACCCCCCTAGCCAATAACTCCCCAGGAGACAGGGTACTGAGATCCCTACACCCCGGCTAACCCGGCTCTCCACTCTGCCCCGGCCCGGGACTACCCCCAACCTCGGCCGGTCGGGCGGAGTAGCCTCCCCTAGCCTCGTGTGAGGACCAACTACCCGAGTCCCCACTCCTACCCCTGACCAACCCCGGTTACATCCCGGGTCCCCCTTTAAATACCCCCCTGGGGGCATGACGTCACCGTCCTCCACGGCCCGCCTGACGTCACGTCCCGCGACGCCACTCTCTCAGAGGGCGCGCGTGACGTGATGTCACCCACTACACCTCTACATTAGTGTAATAAAAGACTTTGTCACACACTGCTGGTCTCCGTTCTTCTTGCTCGCACCCCACTGGTCCTGACAGCAGACCAGCGTCTCCTCGCGCGCGCCCCGTACGCGCTCCCTCATCAGTTCTACCGCTCCCCCACTCCGCACGCCGCTGGCCGACGGTGTGCCGAAGCTCCTCCAGCCACGTGGATGATGGCGCGGATCCCCTCCGGCCACCCAACGTGGTTCAGCTTCTTCACTCCAGAAACTGACCCGGAGCCCTTCCAGGCTCCCACCTATATCCCCTTCACCACGTGATCCTGACTCCTCCCCTTCCGGACCGTCAGATCTGGCCTTCCCATAGCGCCCTGCTGGCTCCACCCCCGTTCACCTCGCTTCTGATTGGACCCGAGGTGAATGACGGGCCCTCCCGTATGCCCCCCATACTGGGCTCCGCCCCCCAATACCCCGGGCCGTATGATTGGGCCAGAGCCCAGCAGCGAACCCCGTTTACGCTCGCATTACATTAGTATCAGTCTCCACTGATTCTGTTTGGCTCCACCCCCTGTCTTGTAGCTCCACCCCCTGCTCTGTAGCTCCACCCCTCTGTGCTGTAGCTCCACCCCCTGGGGAGTCCCAGCCAGGGACAAGCTCTCAGTGTTGCCCGGACTGCTGGAGTGGAGAGCGACTCAAGCGAGGCGTGGAACGCGACGTGGAGGCTGACTTCTTATGGCTTTTTGCAGTCTCCTAAGTTTATGAACAAACACCAAACAGTTGATCGCTTCCAGATCCTCTGTGTAACACTGCATACCCAGATCATTTGAGAGACTGGAGATAGACACAATGCAGAGCATCACAAGGTCTCCATCTGGGTATTCTAACCGGTAGAGAGGTAACAGACTGGCCACACTCATCAGCCTTGGTGACTTAATCGGGGCCATAGCTTTCGCTGTGCTCCACTGCATTAAAGCTTTTGACAATTTCCACGTTATGTTTTTTTCTCCCAATTTTCACTCGCGACGATCTTCTCAGCGATTCCAGTCGATAGCTGCACCTACCAGCTGTTGAAGCAGGGAGAGCAGTTTAGAGACAACACCCTTGGTTTGTCCAAAAGTATCCGTGGGTAATGTTTCAGGTGATGTTTCAAGAGGGGCTCTCTGCCTTCTGGGCCACACTGCAAGATTGACCCTCTGTGCATTGTGATGCGATTAAAACATTATTTTTGTCAGAGTTACTTTTGCTTACAAGTATTTGACATGTGTACGTGGTAAACGTGATCACGGCCTATCATAGCACGTATGTTTAATGCCGATCAAACTTCCAGGGCTCTGGCAAGACAGCCCTGGCGAGGGCCATCTGCAAGCAGGCTGCAGAGAGGCTTGATGGGCACCTGGAGATCATAAGCTGCAAGTCCCTGAGAGGTAAAACCATCTCTCGTGACTTCTCTCTTCACCGTTATACACATGCACACACACGTTTAATTTCCTGACCTCGTGCCCGCCGCAATATCTCTTCCTCAAAACGTATTGCATGAACTTAAAATATTGACTATGTTTTTTACGTGAATTGTCACAACTCACAAAGTCACCGCGAGCGGAAGCGATGTAACTAAAATGCCCTGTATTGTGTGCAATGCAATTTCTGAGACGAATTTAAGTGTTGTCATTCACTTAATTAACATGTTAGTCTGGGTGTAGTTCTGAAAAAACGCTTAAACCCCTAAGTCCCTCGGTGTCATCTTAGTTGTCCACTACAAGGCCCCTACACAGCCCATGAGCAGAGCTGCCCAGAGCCACACCGGGCCCTCTCCGCTTGGGAATCCTCTCCCATCGTCTCTTCCCTATGCCAAGCTCTTACAACTTTGCCCAATTCAAGAGACATATGAGCTGTTATCTATACAATTCTTTGATGGTGCTTTGTGTTGCTGGCTGCTTGGCATTTTGGGCCCTCGGGGGGCGGGTGGGTGGGCGGGGGCCAGTGTTCAGCAACTGCGTTCACCAATAAATAAAATCCGTGCATTGCTACCGATGTCTCCGGGTAGCTCGCCGTCTCCCCAAGGGGGGTGGACGAGGCCAGGGACTTGGGCCGCAATCGTCATGCCTCTCAGCTTTTCTGTGCCCCCAGGCCTTTAGACCTTGCTTGCATCCATTGCCTCAGACTACAAAGATTTGTTTTCACGCAAGTTACGCGTTGCGGTCTGCATACGCCAGTGCACGACGCTACGCCACGCCGGCTCTTCTCATAACACTAATCATCATCAGGGCCGTCCATAATGGGGTGGCAGTGCGGGGCCCGAGTCAAATCCCACCTTGTGGGCCCCCCTGCTGAAGCCTTCAAACTAAACCGGAAGTATTACTACGTCTGACACCAAGACGTTGAAGCGCGGGGTGCCCCCCAAAGCATGGGACCCTGGCCAGTTGCCCCAATTCGCTGAACCCGAGGGACGGCTCCGCTAAACACGAACACCGGCACTTTTCATAACAGTTTCTGTTCCTATACTATGACGGATCTACAGAGGGGAAAAGGAAAGTGAACTTGTGCTACAGGAATGCTTTTTTACGTTTAGTTTGTTGTCCTTCCCTCGCCCCCGCACCTCGAATGAGCACGGTTGGCTACTTCTGGTGCGAGAGAAGTTCAACATATGTACATAAAGGACAAATAGGTTTCTCACTTGTATATTCACAACTTTCCGGCCGCTGGTTACGCTTAATAAAAAAGAATTACAGACTTTCAAAATGGTTAGCCTGAAATGATTGGTGTTTTTATTTAGTTCCTTTGATTTAAAATGTATAAATAAAATAAATAAAATAATTCTACTCGTTGGTTCTTTCGGTAAAGTCACGTCGAAATAAAATAAAATTAATTATAGAATACGACGTTTCGATTGCAACACAAGCAACCCTCATCAGGTGTGAATGCAAGCTCGGAGAGAGACACAGACACAGAGAGAGAGAGACACCTTCACAGAGAGAGAGACACAGAGAGTGAGAGAGACACACAGAGAGACACACACGCACGTAATCAGCCAGGTAAAGTGTTAACTGTTGTGTTAGCCGACTCTGTGTTGCATTGCATTACATTTCTAAGTTTACTAGGTTTGTTTTCTTAAGCTTCCAATTTCTCTCCCCCTGCCGCTCTCATTGACATGCTAATTTTTCTGCCCCCCCCTCTCTCCCTATATAATACCTCATCACACAGGCGTTGTTTCTCTGTGTGTCTTTGTGTGTGCCTCTCTCTGCGTTGTGTCTCTCTGTGTCTATTTGTGTCTCTCTCTCTCTGTGTATGTGTCTCTCTCTCTATATATGTGTCTCTCTCCGAGTTTGCATTCACACCTGATGACGGTTGCTTGTGTTGCAATCGAAACGTCGTATTCTATTATTTTATTTATTTTCTTTCTACGTGACTTTACCGAAAGAACCAAAGAGTAATTCCTGCAGTCACGAAAGCTTAAAATCAAGTTAGAAAAGAACCCTTTACACAGATGGTAGAAGTGTGACTCCATAAACTGGCTCGGCCCAAGCGGAATGAGTCGCGTTCATAGTTGACATGTTGCAAGGGAAACACATTGTTGTTTGCTGATACTATGTTGGCAGTGGTGCACAAGCACAAATACAAACTCAACACAGTAGTCAATAACACTGCCAATGGCTCTTCATAATTGCACATCATTTACGTGCTCTGAAGAAAGGCCTGAAATGTTGCATATTATAAAAAAAATATATTCCCATTTAAGGCCAGATTGAAGAATGTGTCGAGTTTTGTTATTTGTGCTTTCAGAAAGAAAAAATCAACAACGCTTGGTCTATAACACCATGATCCTAAAAAGTGGGGAAAATATTCAGGCTATTCTACTAATAAAGCAGTAGTTGCTTTCCTAAAGAACACCGCATTATATAAAAATCGGGTTATAATAAATAATATCGGGTAAAGCACAGTCCGCGATAACACGTGAGATGCGTACGCAGGCTGAACAAAGACCGAGGCGCGTGGGTAGCATCTAGAAGCATCCAGCAGCATCCCAATGCCTCGTGCGATGCTACGCCGAGGCAGCCGTACGAGCGCTTATTCCAACGTCGCGCGACGTAGTTCCGTTCACTCAATCGCATTATATCCAATTCGCATCCGAGTAAAAAAAAAAGCATTCCCTGATACATTCATCACGTTATATCCAATTTGCATTATGAAAACAACACGCGTTATAGGAGAACAGAGTGTAAATATATAACAAGCGACGTTTCAGGCAATGGCCCTTGTTCAGAGCTAGGAAACTGTGCGAAACAGCGAGTTGGATGCATAACGGACATTGTGCATTGGATGTTTAACTTCGTGACGTTACTTCAGTCTGAGAAGTGAGGCGGGAACTGTCTTCCTGACGACAGGGAAAGCGACGGAGACGATCGCCGGCGTTTTGGAAGCGGCGATGAGAGAGGCGGTGTGGAGGCAGCCGTCGCTGCTGCTCCTGGACGACCTGCATCTCGTGCTGGGCTCAACCTCCAACTTCGGGCCCGAAAACAATCCGGAGGACAACCAGGCCCTGCAGCTGACGGAGGGTAGGTGGCCGCCGACGCGATACGCGCGCTTACCCCCTTGATCAGCAACTTCCAGCTGTGTCCATCATTATTACTGTTATTAATGTTATTGGCCAACACCAAGGGCATTGTACGGTTTTAGCTAAAGGGAGGAAAGTAGAGAACCCGCAGGGGAAGAACGTACAGCCTCCATGCACTCTCCCGCAAAGACAAAGATCCCCCCCCGTGTCGCCTGTTTATGGATTGTTGGGGCAAGTGTTGTTAGCGAACGTCTATTAAGGCCAGCACAGCACACGAGGGTTGGTCAATACCACACCCGGCCACCATTGTCTTCCTGCTGCTGATGTTTTTACATACCGCATCAGGTACTCGTTGAAGGCTGAATCGACCTAGGGGAGGCCTATAACCGGTTCAGATATTTGCTGGATGCGCTAACCACTGCACCACCACTCCCCTCACACACACTCTCACACACAAAAACAACATCAGCCTCCATTTGCCACGAAGTCACCAGTGCTTATGCACTTTCAGTCCACATGAAGTTTTGAAGGCTCGCTGACAGGGAGGTTACAGGACAAACCCAGGCGTTATAGCTTGACTGACTGATTTGACTGGCAGATGCAAAGACAGCACTTGCCTCAACAGACTTTTGAAGCAAGTGCTGCTTGTGAGCACCTATGAAGGCCAGAATGGCACACGAAGGGGTGGGTGGCCAGCATCACAACTGGCCCTCTTTGTCTCCCCAGGGGCGATGATTAAACACCGCACCAGATACTCATTAGAGGCTGAGTCGACCTAGGGAGCCCCAGGACCAGTTCACATAATCATCACTAGTGTTGGCCATGCGCGGGAATCGAACTCGGGTCGCCGGGTTCGTAGCGCAGCGCGTTAGCCACTACACTACTGCTACACACACACACCGCACGCTCTCACAACACTGCAGAATCATGGAAGAACATACAAACTCTACAGAGAGAGGCACCGCTTGAGGAATCAAACGCAGGCCCCACTTGCAGCGAGGCACGAGTTATTACCACAGGGCCACGCTGCTGCCCTTAATTTGTTAATCAATTCCGTCACCCCCCTCCCCCTGCCCCCCCTCCTCCTGCCCCCCCCCCCCCCACTAGTGTTCAAACAGCTGTTGTGCGCGGAGATGTCGCAGAGGAGCATGGTGGCACTGGTGTGCACCGCAGAGTCGGAGGGGGCGCTGCACCGCTCGCTCGTCTCCGCTCAGGGCCTCCACGTGTTCCAGCTGGGGCACGACGTGGCCCCCCTCACGCGGGTAGCCACTGCACTACATCGTTATGGCCACTGCCACAGAGAATGGAGGAATACCGCCGTCTGGTGTCCAACTGGCACCCGCTGCCCGAGTTAATTTCGAAAGTAAAGACACGTAGTTATCTACTCGCTGCAACGACGAATAGACAAGAGGCTCTGAGTGGTTTAGATTTTTCTTATCTCCTGCTTTAGTGCGAGAGCAGCCATTCCACTCTTGGCGTTGTGTAGTTTGGTTGAGTTTATTTTTGTTTACCCTCCGCCGGGGCAGGGCTCATTGAGTTAATGTGTTTTTTTTTATTCAAGGGTGTCCCGGAGGGGTGAGCGTTGTGGAGAAATGAAACCTCAGAAGGGCACATTTGATAATTGTGACAAATGACAACAGTGCCTTCTGAAAGCTCACTTCTCTACCATCGTGAAGCACTTAGACCAACGACTTGGTGTGATCTATTCACTCGAATTATATTGTCTTGTATAACACTTTTTTATTATTTGTTTTACTTATGGAGTTGACATTTTCACATGCGACTAGGTGGGTCTATAAGTGGGTGTGTGAGGGACCGAGTGATTTATCAGGTGGGTGGGTGGGTGAGTGAGTTGGTGAATGGGTGAGTAAGTCGGTGAGTCAGTGGGTGGGTGTGTGAGTAATTTAGTAAGTGGGTGAGTAGGGGAGTGCGTGAGTAGGTGAGTTAGTGGATGGATGGGTATGTGAGTGGGTGAGTGAGTAAATGAATGGGTTCGTGAGTGGGTCCGTATATGAGTGAGTGAGTGGGTGAGTTAGTGGGTGGATGGGTGAGTGAGTGGGTGTGTGAGTGGGATGTTCGAACGCTCACTGCGGTGGAGAGCCTGCCACTCTGTCGGGAGCTGGACCGGTACCTCCTGGATCTCTCTGGCATTCAGGAGGTCCGGTGGAGCGGCTCTGGCTCCTGCCACCATGAGGGGTGGACAGTCCTCTACTCGGGGCAGGAGACTACCAAACAACAAGGAGTGGCTCTTCTTCTGAACAAAAGAATGAAGGGGGCGTGGGAGCGTGGCGGTGAGGATGTGGGAAGCTGTACGCCCCAGGCTACTTTGGGCTCGCCTTCCCATCAACCGGAGGCGAGGAGTGGTGGTCGTGGTTACTTATGCCCCCACCGAAGACGAACATCCGTGGAGGGATGCAGGCAAGGCCAATGGGTCAGATGCCTTCTATTACCTCCTGTCACAGGTGCTAGCTAAAATGTCCCCTAGGGATAGAGTCATCTTGTTGGGTGACTTCAATGCCCGAGTTGGTCATGATGCTGGCACCTGGTCTGGAGTGATTGGAAGGCATGGGCCAGATCAGCTCAATAACAACGGTAGGAGGCTGCTAGATTTTTGTGCAGCTCATGGGCTTGTAATTACCAACACGCTGTTCCGGCATCGGCGCATCCACACAACATCATGATTGCATGCCGGGTCCAAGCAAGAACATCTGCTGGACTACATAGTGACGGAACAGCGGATGCGGGCCCATGTCCTTGATACCAGGAGCTGATCTGCCCTCTGACCATCGACTTGTCATCTGTAAGATGCGCCTGCCATTCTTCCACTCTGGTGGTGGGTGTACATCCAGGACCCTATTCCAACCTAAGGTGGCCTGGTCTCAGCTAGCTGATGAAAGTTGCAAGCGAGAATTTCATCATCACTTGCGGCTGGGGTTGACATCGTCCCCCATTCCTCCAGATGTCGAGGGTAAATGGGCGAGATTTAGGACTGTGACTCAGGCAGCTGCAATGGCTGCTTTGGGTACGCGGTCCAGACCTTCTCAGAGACCCTGGCTGACAGAGGTATGCAGGATGGCTGAGAAAAAGCGACAGGCCCACTCTAATCGTTTACAGCATCCCACGTCAGAGAATGAGGAGGCTTACTGCAGCCTTCGCTCGGAGGTTCGGAGAGCCGTGAGGCACTGCAAGGATGGGTGGTGGTCGTGGTTAGCTGAGGAGATAGAGTCTGCCTCAATGGCCCACAAATCCCTATTTAACTAAATCAAAAAAGTAACCTGCAGCGCCACACCTATTACCATCATTAGGGGAAAAAACGGTGATTCAATCTCCGACCCCCAGGAACAGGTTTGCAGATTTGCTGAGCATTTCTGTGAAGTCCTGGGGGAGCAGAAATCCCTCGACATGGAAAACATAATGGGACAAAGTGGGGATGACCCTGCTGAGGCTGCGGTGCCTCAAGTATTGGAAGAAGATGTCACCACCTGTGAGTGGCTGGCTGAGGTGCCATCTGTTGAGGAAGTATTAAAGGATATCCAGAGTCTGAGACCAGGAAAGGCACCGGGCAGAGATGATCTCCCAAGCGAAATGCTGAGGGATGGTGGCGTTTGTGCACAGACTGCCCTACATGACATCATAACAACAGTCTGGACCACTGGACGGGTTCCGCAGGATTGGAAGGATGCCCTTGTGGTCCCCCTCTTTAAGAAGGGGGACCACACAGACTGTAACAACTACAGGGGAATCTCACTTTTTCAGTGTGCCAGGAAAGGTCCTGTAAAGGATTATTCAACATCGCCTTGCCAGGCACGCTAAGGAGAGGCTTGCGGAGCCTCAATGTGGTTTCAAGAAAGAGCGGTCCTGCACAGATGTCATATTTTCTGCCCGTTTGCTACAGCAGTGGTGTAGGGAATTCCAACAAGACCTACATCTCTGCTTTATTGACCTGGTCAAGGCCGATGATACCATCAGTAGGCCTGGGTTCTGGGTTATTCTTTGTGCTTTTGGAGTCACTGACCATCTGCTCACAATCATTAAGGACCTTCTACGTGACCAGGAGTCGGAGCCATTCCCTGTTCACCTTTGGGTGCGACAGGGATGTCCTCTGGCTCCCACATTACTTAACATCTTTTTCGACCAAATAGTTTGTGAAGCCTTTGATGGCTGTACCAGAGGAATTTCCATCTGGTACAGATACAAGGGGAGGCTGATCGATGCCCGGGTGCGGTCAAGGGATGGCTCCCTATTGGTCAACAACATTATGTATGCTGATGATCTGGTAATTGCCGCTCACTCAGAGGAAGAGTTGGAGGCACTGCTGCTGAAACTGGAGCGTGCCACTAAGAGGTGGGGCCTTACCATCAGCCCCACCAAAACTAAGCACCTGCCTGGGTATTTTGTACCATCGGGCAACCCACCCCCACAACTCCCAATCGGTGATGGAGCAGTTGTGGAGAGAGTGGAGAGTTTCCTATACCTGGGCAGTGTGCTCATGACCTCCTCACGATGAGTACGCTCCAGTTTCACAGCAGAGGTCTCGCTCAGAATCAGCCGCGCGGCATTATCTTTTCATCGGTTGCGTAATGCTGTGTGGAAGCTACCTGGTCTGTCGCTTCGCATGAAGCTTCAAGTCTTCTAGGCCACGTTCATTCCTTCCCTTCTCTACGCTTGCGAAACGTGGACCCCCTCTAATGGAGCATCTTCGCCGATTTGAAACATCTTGGGTTTAACCAGGCTGGATTGTGTGAGGAGCTCACAAATCCTTGAAAGATCTTGGCAAAGTCCCATCGGTGAGCTCCTCCGGCACGCAAGGCTGCGTTGGCTGGGTCATGTAGCCCGCATGCCCAGTCACCGCATGCCTAAACAGCTTTTGTTCGGCCGGATAGAGGGGTCAAAACGGGTGCGGCACGGGCTAGAGAAGAAATGGAGTGATGTGGTACCGGAGGATGTGGAGCTGAGTAGACTTGCCGATGACTGGTACCAGCGGTGTTAAGATCGGCCCCTGTGGAGGAGGCTCGTGAAAGACGCTGCTGGGCAGTTGGAGGCAGTCGCCCTCCAACAACAATGGAGGGCGGAGGAGCGACGTTCACAACAACGAGCGGAGCGTCGGGTGGCTAAAGCACAGCAAGTTGGCACAGTAGGGGGCACATGTGGTGCATCAGCCAGTCATCTCGGTCAGTCGACCTGTGGCACCTGGGTTTGCCCCGTGACCTCCTTCCAGCGGGCGTTCGACACTTCACGTGGCCTCAAGGTGTACATAGCCTGGCACAAGCGTCGTGGTGACATCACCGCCACTTAGTGGCGAATGGCGGTTTTTATTGTTGATTGAGTGAGTGAGTGGGTGAGTGAGTGAGTGGGTGGCTGAGCGAGTGAGTAGATGGGTGGTTGAGCGAGTGTGTGAGTGATTGGGTGGGTGAGCGGGTGAGTGGGTAGATGAGTGAGTGGGTAGATGAGTGAGTGGGTAGATGAGTGAGTGGGTAGATGAGTGAGTGGGTAGATGAGTGAGTGGGTAGATGAGTGAGTGGGTAGATGAGTGAGTGGGTAGATGAGTGAGTGGGTGAGTCGGTGGGTGACTGAGTGTTTGACTGAGTTGGTGAGTGCGGCTGCCTCTGCAGGAGGACGGCCAAGAGCTCCTGGCGGCTGTCATTCGCAACAAGTCGAGCGTCTCTGCGCGGGGACTGAGTGGCGCAGAGCTGCAAGAGGTCGCCAAGCTCACCGGCGGCTTCCTCGCTCGGGACGTCGTGCAGCTCGTGGAGCGGGCAGTGCACGCCCACTTGCAGGCCAACGCGCCGCCCCACGGGGATGGCACGCCGCAAGGTAACGCTCGGCGTGAGGCCCCTCGCGGCTAGCGAATTGTTGTGTCGAGAGTCTGGCAGTATGGTGGCAGTATGGTGGCAGTGCCGGTGGAAGCACTCGTGCCTCACAGCGATAAAGGCCTGGGTTTAATTCCCAACTCGGTCCCCTTTTCTGTCTGGATTTTGTATATTCTCCTGTGCTGCATGAGGTTTCCTCCAGGGTTCTCCGGTTTACTTTCCTAGATACAAATCTTTTTTTTTATGTTACTGGTATTGGACAAAATATCCCAATGCTGAAAATTTTCCTGTAAATGATTTAGTTGGGATTACACCCAGCAGCAGCGACAACATAGCCCACGACTGCGAAAAACTTGGCAGAACCCTCCTGAAAACGATTCTTGAGACTCGGTAAGGCTTTCCTAGGTAAAGAAGCGCGATAATTTTTTAATTGCTGGATTTGGTTCCACAGAAATTCTATGACCCATTTATAAGTTTACACAAAGATTTCAACTCAGATATTCGACTCGTCATTGCAAGTGCCCAATCAACACAGCGTGCATCTTTTCACATGAAAGTCGCTGCTACCCCGCAATTAAACTCACTAGGTTAAGACTTTGCTGGGATTGTGAATTGTGTTTGTTGTCCCCCCCCCCCGACACCTCCAATTATCACGGTTGGCTACGTGCGGTGCGAAAGAAGTTCACCGTACGTGCAACCGCATGAAAAAAAACTGTAAAAACCAGTTAGCAGTTTTGGCACAGATCTTGAAATATCTTGAGCATTAGACATTAGTTTTCTCTTTTCAATTCAGAATCGAAGTGAACTGCCGCACTGCGGTGTAAGCGGTATCTCACTGGACACACGTGCGATGGATCGCATCGTTCTCCCTGTTACCAGCGGCAACGCACCGCGAGTGCTCACTCGCTGCATTATTCACGTTCCCGGGTACTGACGCTGGCTGGCCCCCTCCCTCGCTCGCGTGAATTGCAAACACTGCAGGAGGTGGCCCGGTGGCTCCGGGGGGCGGCATCTGCAGCAACACGAGCGGCTGAGCGGCGCCGCAGCAGCCGTTGCGTACTCATCGTGAGGAGATTGTTGCCGATGTTTCAACAATGCAGTAGTGCCGTGTTAACCCCGGAGGAGTATTTACCCCACATGGAGATCGGTTTATTGACAAATCAATTTAACACGTAGGCTTTCGCGACCAATATTATTCATAATAACGTTTTTTTTGGGTTAGATCGCGTTATTTATAAATGTGTCGTAACCCTCCACCACCCGACACGGCTAAACAGTAAAAAATGTGTCACGTTTACAAAAGACAAATAGTTCACTACTTTAGCCCACCGGTATGTTGAAGAGTGAATCAACATCATTTACAATTTTGAGTACGACGTTTCGCTGGTAATTACATCCAGCATCATCGAGCAGCAGGGTGACGTCATCTTTTAACTCAATCTGGTGCAGTGATTCGAGGCGAGGAGGGTATTGTAATTATATAATGGATTGGTAATCAGTCAATTGTTGTTCATTGGCATTTGTTTCCCCTATAAGAAATTGTATTATTAAATAAAATATATATTACAATAAAAAAATTTAAATGATATCTCACACACCGGTGGGCTAAAGTAGTGAACTATTTGAACTATTTGTCTTTTGTAAACGTGACACATTTTCTACTGTTTGGCAGTGTCGTGTGGTGGAGGGTTACGACACATTTATAAATAACGCGATCTAACCCAAAAAAAACCTTTATTATGAATGACAAATCAATGTAGGTCGACCCCTGAGTTGTGGGGTATGGGGTATGGTGGGTTGTACTACTAATTTTCCGAAGGGCGCGGTGGTGCAGGGCGGTGGAATTCCGTGAGCGGGAGTGCACACCATCGTTGAGACAATTAAAGGGAGGATTTATTCTTTGGGTCTTTCGGTAAAGTCACGTAGATAGGTTGAAAGAAAATAACAAAAAACTACGACGTTTCGATCACAACAAAGCGATTGCTTTGTTCGAAAGACCGAAAGAATATGAATTCCTGCAGTCACGAAAGCTTTAAGTCAAAAGGGAGGATAGTTTGATTTGGGGTTGTTTTTTAAATCGGCTTCTAAATTAAAATATGTGCGAGGCTATTTTATACTACAAATAACCAATATATTTACAGTAAACCCTTGTTAATTCAACACATATTGGGCTCTGGCCTTGCCGAATTATCCAATATTCCGAATTATGTACAATGATACTCTCCAGCGCCTCCTACTCCAATTTTTTTTTCTCCAAATTTGTTTTCCAAACTCTTCACACACCATACGCATCATTTATTTTCCAAAACTTTGGATTTGTCTCGCAGACTAAGGGATTTATACTTCAGTCCCTTTCTAGTACTTCTTGATGTGGGTGTAGACGACATTTCTGAGAGAGTTGGCTTGCACAGAGTGCATAAACAAGGTAAAGTTCAAAGCGACGGGTCTGCATTGACACTCACCATGCTTGCCGTCACCAGACTGAATCGTTGTTTTGGTTGTGGCGCGTGGCGTCGCTCCATGTGTATGCTGGAATTGGAACATTCGGTATGGCAATTCGGCTCATGGCGAATTACTAATACACAATTTTTCTGCCGAAAGTGCAGCCGTGCCAAATTATCCCCAATTACGAATGAACAAATACCGATATAACGAAGTTTTACTGTAAGCAGGAAATATTCCTCAACATATCTGTGTCGGCCTCCTGGTAGTATGTAATTTCACCAGCATTGGTTTCGACACGAGCAAAAACTCTGGAACCGGTTTTTACATTCACTGTCTCACCTGGGAATAGCATTAAAATGGCCGCGGCTCCTGTTCGTGAACCGAAGCGGAGTTCGTGAACCGGAGCATATTTTTATGAACTTTTCTGTTCGTGAACCGAGTTGTTCGTGAACAGAAGCGTTCGTGAACCGAGGTATCACTGTAAATAATAGATCGCAACCACAAGCGCTCGTCCTCAGGTGAAAGAGAGAAACCTGCCTCTGTGACGAGGCATTATAAAGAGGGGGAGGAGGGGAGGCTGCAAAGGGGCGAGAGGGTGGGGATAAAATTCAAAGAGGGCTTGGGTGAGAGAGAGAAAAGAAATGTGACAAAGAAGCCGAGATATCAAACTTAACATTAGGAAATGTAATGCTAACACAACAGTTAACACCCTACCTGGTTGATCCAATCCTTCAAAAGATTGCAAAATTTTGCATCCATCTTCTCGGTTGAAATTATGTCTGAGTTGTGTGGATAACCTCCCCGTCGAGGCGGTTCAATCTCGATTAGAAGCTTTTGTGACTGCAGGATTTCACACTCTTAGGTTCTTTCGGTAAAGTCACGTAGGTAGGAACATTTCTTTTCTCTCTTTCACCCAAGCTTTTTAATTGTATCCCCACCCTCTCGCCCCTTTGCGGCCTCCCCTCCCCCTCTTTATAATGCCTCCTCACAGAGACATGTTTCTCTCTTTCCCTCTTTCACCTGAGGACGACCGCTTGTTGCGACCGAAACGTCGTGATCTATTAGTTATTTATTTTACTATCTACGCGACGTTACCGTAAGAACCTAAGAGTATGAAATCCTGCAGTCACGAAAGCTTTTCATCAAGTTTGTTCTCATATGTTCTGCACAATGACGGAAATTATAATTTTGTAAGAGGTTAATAGTAGCATAGGTTTTCACAGCCAATATTTTGCCCAAATTTAGAATACATTAATTGGCATTGGTTAATATCTCGTCTAAATCTGCTTGGTTTTTCTGTGATGTCAGGACACCTGTTTATTCTGACTTCCTGGGTTCTAACCTAACGATGCTTGACACAGTTTCAAGTAGAACTTCGCATATCAAGCAGCTACATTTTGTCATGGGAATTCCTCCACAACTTACCAGTCAGTATGGTGAAAAAAGTTATAATTGGCCCGTTAAACAGTTGAACACTTGACAATTTAATTTGTTAGGCTGCGTCGGGTGGTGGAGGGTTAGATCATTATGTCGCCTAACCCAGGGGTCCTCAAACTACGGCCCGCGGGCCACATGCGGCCCGCCGAGGAGATTTATCCGGCCCATGGTCACTAATTGGGCTGCGCTTGTGAGCACTAATTGGGCTGCGCTGGTGAGCACTAATTGGGCTGCGCTGGTGAGCACTCATTGGGCTGTGGTGGTGGGCACTGATTGGGCTATGGTGGCGAGCACTGATTTGGCTGCGCTGGTGAGCACTGATTGAGCTGCGGCGGTGGGCACTGATTGAGCTGCGGCGGTGGGCACTCATTGGGCTGCGCTGGTGAATGGTTCAATGGGCCAATTGACTGGACTAGCCCCCCAGGCTTAAGGCTGCCAGCCCTCCCCTGGCTGCGTTTGACTGGCTCTCCCTCCCTCAGCTCCCTCACTTGCCCCTCGGCTCCACTCCCAGTGATATTCCTGTGTGCTGGGGATGTACTGCGATCTGTGAACAAAACTGCAGGTGTAATTAACTTTTTAATGGCACCCGCACCAGTGTGAGCCTGGGGTAAAAGCGGAGTTCCCCCAATCAGACTGCATTGATGGGCAGTGCAGTCTGTATGTCTCTGTGTGGGCAAAGTTATTGCTGGTGTATTGTTTTTGTAGCGCTGTATATATATTGGTATTTTACTAATAGCAATTTTGACTCCCTAGGAAACAATGATGTCAACAAAGAGAAAAATTGACTCGGAGTGTAGGATATTCAAAGAACAGTGGACTTATGATTACTTTTTCATGCAGTACAAGGAAAGAGCTGTGTGTCTGATATGCCAGAATATAGTGTCTGTGTTCAAAGAATACAATTTACGTCGACACTATGAAACTCAACATAAAGATAAATATGATTGTTTGGTCGGAGAAGTGAGAAAAGATAAAATATTAAAACTGAAAAATACATTAACAACTCAGCAAAATACTTTTGTGAAGCAGAAGCAGCTAAATATTTCATCACTGCGAGCAAGTTTTCAAGTTGCCAAGCTAATAGCGTGCACTGGTAGACCATTCGTGGAGGGAGAATTTGTTAAAGAATGCCTTCTTTCTGTTGCCAAAGAGATGTGTCCAGAGAAGGCCGATTTATTTAGTACAGTGAGTCTTTCAGGACCTACAATTACATGGAGGATTGAAGAAATGGGAGACAATTTGCATCAGCATTTGCAAAACTCCACAAAAAACACTTTCCTATTTTTCCTTGGCACTCGACGAAAGCAATGATGTTCGTGATTCTGCACAACTTCTAATTTTTATTCGTGGGACGAATGACTATTTCGAAGTCACAGAAGAGCTTGCTGCACTGCAAAGCATCAAAGGAACAACTACAGGAGAGGATATATATGAAAAAGTTTGCCAAACTGTGAATGGTTTGGAGCTGAACTGGGCTAAACTAGCCAGTGTGACAACTGATGGTGCTCCTAGCATGGTGGGGTCTAAGAAAGGAGTAATTGCTCGCATTAACCAAGAGTTGGACAAACATAACCATTCTCATCCAATAGCCATACACTGCCTCATCCACCAACAAGCGCTGTGTAGTAAATCACTGAAGTGGGACTCTGTTATGAAAATTGTGGTATCTTGTGTTAACTTCATTAGAGCTCATGCACTAAACCACAGACAATTTCAGGAATTTCTGTCTGAACTAAATGTTGACTATGAAGATGTTCTGTACCACACCGAAGTCCGTTGGCTGAGTCGAGGGAGAGTTTTGAAACGTTTTTATGACTTACTTCCACAGATTACAGCTTTTCTGCTTTCAAAAAACAAAGACGTACCAGAGCTCAATGATGCAGAATGGAAATGGCACCTTGCCTTTCTGACAGATGTAACAGAGCTACTCAACAGTTTCAATGTGCAACTTCAAGGAAAGGGGAAGCTCATCTGTGATATGCAATCACATGTCAAAGCATTTGAGGTAAAATTAGGTCTCCTCATCAAACAAGTTAAGGAGGAAAACTTCTGCCATCTCCCCACAACTCAAAATCTGTTAGCGGAAAAACCATTGGTTGCAATTCCCAAACAAAACATGTGTGGATTCACTGGAAAAATTGCAAAAGGAGTTCCAATTTAGATTTAAAGAGCTTCATCTCCATGAACAGGACATACAGCTTTTCCGTAACCTATTTTCTATTGACATTGAAAATGTGGATACAATTTACCAAATGGAACTGGCTGAACTGCAGAACTGTGAAAGACGCATTCAAGTCAAGCAGCCTTCATAATTTCTATGCATCTCTCCCCTCTGAGACATATCTTCATCTCAGGAACTATGCACTCAAAATGGCAACCATCTTTGGCAGCACTTATGTCTGTGAACAGACTTTTTCCAGAATGAAACATTTGAAATCTCCAACCAGATCTAGACTAACGGATGCACACTTGCATCACTTGTTACGACTAGCAGTGACAAATATGGAACCGGACATTGACCATCTCATTAGCCAGAAGCAGGCCCATAGTTCCCATTGAAATACTGGCAAGTTTGTTGATTTAACTTTACTTGTTCTTCATTTCAAATATTGTATTTGTTCCCGTTTTGTTTCTTCACTTCAAAATAAGATATATGCAGTGTGCATAGGAATTTGTTCATAGTTTTTTTTTAACTATAGTCCGGCCCTCCAACGGTCTGAGGGACAGTGAACTGGCCCCCTGTTTAAAAAGTTTGAGGACCCCTGGCCTAACCCAATGATCAATTACCAAATCACGTTTATAGCCATGCGTGCATTTGGCATTATTGATAAGTTGTGGAAAAATGATCATAACCAAGTTTATCAGATGTGCGACATTTTCCTTTTATAAGGTCGCACTCTTTACACACAAAGTGCTTACCACAAATGAACCACAACACCTCGCTGATCTCCTCAAGGAGCATCACGCAAACTCCAGTCATCCTCGCAGCGTCTTTTGGCTTGCCATTGAACAAAGCCAGTCACTGCATTTCGTCCTGTCAGATGCGCTTCTGCGGCCGTCTGGAACGCTCTTCTGATATTAGGAGGCCACTGGCGCTATACACTTTTAGATCTAGATTGGAAACTAATTTCTTTAAAACTGTTTTTTGTGTTTAGTTTGTTATCCTTCCCTGCACCTTCGATTAGCATGGTTGGCTACGTATGCTGCGAAATAAGTTAAATATTCACAAAATCAAAGATCCCCTGTATAGCCTGTAACAGACTGTTGGGGCAATTGCTGTTAGCGAGCACCTATGAAGGCCCGCACGGCACACGAGGGGGTGGGTGGCCAACACCACGCCCGGCCGCCTTTGTCTCCTGAGTGGTGATGATTACACACCACACCAGGTACTCATTTGAGGCTGAGTCGATCTAGGGGAGGCCCAGGAAAGATACAGATAGTCATCACTGGTATTAGCCCGAGCGGGAATCGAACTCGGCTTGCCAGGTTTGTAGCGCATCGCGATAACCGCTACTCTACCGCTCCCCACATTCACGCATTTAAACGCACACACGTACACACACACGTACACACGCACACTTACACACGCACACGTGCGTTGCAGGGCTAAATCTGAGCACAGAGGACTTGAGGGCAGCTCTGCGTGGCTTCACGCCGTCCTCCCTATGCAATGCGAATCTCCACGAGCCCTCGGGCCTCGGCTGGGACAGTGTGGGCGGCCTGGCCGCCGTCAAGCAGGTGCTCATGGACACTGTGCAGCTGCCGGCCAAGGTACGCGCGCGTGTGCGCGCGTGTGCGCGCGTGTGCGCGCGTGTGCGCGCGTGTGCGCGCGTGTGCGCGCGTGTGCGCTCGTGTGCGCGCGTGTGCGCGCGTGTGCGCGCGTGTGCGCGCGTGTGCGCGCGTGTGCGCACGTGTGCGCGTGTGTACACATTTAGAAATGTGTGAAGAGTATTTGGCTTCTACAAATTTCCACGTGATAGGCCACTTTGTTGAGCTATCATTTGTGATAGCCAGGTCGCTTCTGAAAAAGAGCTATAAAGCTCAGTGGGGGGGTCTTACCTGGTAAAATTAAAATAGTTTTAGTTATTTAGTATTGACACTCTCACTAAGGGAAGCCACATTAATCCAGTTACACACAGAGTCACGGGTGAATGTGTATTGGCTAAATCTCACATTAACCTTTGGTACCTTACAGAGGAAATGTGATCCACACCTTATATTGTAAGGAATGAAATCTGGAATAAGCAAACAAGTTAAGCTCCATCGCCACAGATAATGGGATTTGCCGATCGACTCTATTTATCCACAAAAATGTAGAGGATAATAGATAGCTGTTACGCAATGCAGTATGGGAAATAGACGGATGATCGCGGTTCGTAGTAAGAATAGTGGGGCGGATGATAGGATTTTCATTGACCCTTTAGGTCCTGCGGATAACAGTAGTCGCCGGTATAATATGGTTGCGGATAAGAAAAGTTGTGAATGTACTGGAGGAATCTGATGAGTTATAAAGTAATTTTTCACATATGTCCAGTAGAATGACGATAGAGTGGCAGGTTACTGTTTAAACGACTGCGTGCCACTGGGTGCAGTACCCTGCGCTGTTCGAGAGGCTCCCGATCAGACAGCAGACGGGGGTCCTGCTGTACGGCGCCCCCGGCACGGGGAAGACCCTCCTGGCCGCGGCGGTTGCTCATGAGAGTGGCATGAACTTCATCAGCATCAAGGTGAGGCGGCGGTACGGGCGCCTCGTGCGTTAAGGCACTTCGTCGTCACGCCTTTTAGAACGTATATTATATTTTACGTTCACGCATTCTAACCCAAAAACTTCTATTGTGGATAGTATTGGTCGCGAAAGCCGACGTGTTAAACTTGTAGATCATGTCGCCACGATCGCGTCCCCAGTCGCGGAAAATGCTGGACCATAATAAAATCGTGGCGTGTGCTGGTTATTGATATTTTTTTGCCGACAAATACGTAGGTGTTTGCGCGAGATGAGTACAATGTGAACGAATGCGGTGTTGTCCGGCACTGTGTGTGGGGTGTAACCAATCGGGTGTTGCCTCCCTGGCAGGGCCCAGAACTGCTGAATAAGTACGTGGGATCGAGCGAGCAGGCCGTCAGGGACGTTTTTAAGAGGTGAACAGAGACGCGTGGCTCTTGTATTTTTTTTATCAAATGCACAGTTCCTGAGCGCAGGCCCAAATGTCAAAAACGTCAAGTGGACAACACCCAACGGGCACTATTGAGGTCGCAAAAAACAATCCGGGTTAACGCGTACGTCACTTGACTTGAGCAATGTCATGGTAAAAGGGATGATCAGAGGTAAATCCCAAAGTGGAGTATTGTGAGGGAAGAAGCAGAAAGAGTCAGTAGGAGTGTTTTGAGCTGCAGTGGGGTGAGTGGGTGGCTGGGTGGCTGGGTGGCACACAGTGTGAATGGCACGAAATAGCTTGCCTGGTAGACCAAAGTCCTCCACACTGGTGGAGGACTCGATGAGTGAAGTCCACGAGAACGGTGACCATGGTAGTAGCGACAGGCGAGTGACAAGGAGGCGACTGGCTGGTGATGAGCGAGTCGGTGAGTGGTGGATCATCATTCGCTTCGACTGCTCTGCCTTGAATGTTGGCTGTGTGTTTACTTCACTGCTTTCCCATCAACACACGGGGGAAATACAGGGTCCAGGTTAAACGGTGAAGCTTGACGCTCATTCATAATGCAGCATCGTATAAATCATATGGACGTGGCACGCAGGGTTGTGTGCTCCGCGCGAAATGAAACCCCCAAATTTAAAGGTGAAACACTCCCGGCAATAAAAACAAATGTTACGTAACGTAGCGTAAAAAGTGGACAACGAGGAAAATATAAAATAAATGTCGATCCATTGGAATAAGCTCACCTTGCACGGTGAGTGCAAGGTGAGCTTGTCTGGCCGTGTGGCTGCATGTGCGTCGATGCTCAGCAGCTCAGTAGCTCGGCAGCTCGGCAGCTCGGCAGCTCAGCAGCGCGGCATTGCGGTAGCTCAGCAGCTCAGCAGCTCGTCGCGACTCAATGAGCCGAGAGCCCAGGAGCATTGCGCAAGCACTCCGCTACTTTTGAAGCCATTATCTTTCTCAACCAACCGCAATGTTAAATTATAGTTCTAGTTGTATTTTTTAATCGGGCTTTGAGTCCATTACACGTACCATGGTTCTGTTTTGGGTGACTGCAGTCGCACGTTGACGGAGAGTTTTAAATTTTCCATTTGTGCATCAGGTATCCGTGTCTGCTGCCGTGGTTTGTGTGGATGTGGTTTTGGGGTAGTGGCCCTGTAAGTTTCACGGACGATCAAAGCCAGGGTCTGTCACAAGATGTTGGTTTGTGACTTGTGACTTCTTGTGAACTCCATTTGGTTTTCCAAGCATCAACCAGGGTTGAAGTTGCATCGTTGAAGGTTAAGCGCGTATGCCACGGAATAATCTTACGATAGTGATTTGACAGAATCGTTACGTGGTCTAACCCGACACTCAGTAATGCATCTGTGTTCGGCACTGACGCTGTGTGGGTCTCGGAAACAAGACCTGGCCACAAATGACAGCTCAACGAAGTGGCTTATCGTGTGGAAATTTGTAGCAGCCAAATGCTTTTACAGTGTCAAGCCGCAGGATTGACGCTCTGCCCCCTCGTTGCATTTCGTCCGTCGCAGGGCCCAGGCCGCGAAGCCGTGCGTTCTGTTTTTTGACGAGTTTGATTCGCTTGCTCCTCGCCGCGGCCACGACAACACGGGCGTGACGGACCGCGTCGTTAACCAACTGCTCACCCAGCTGGACGGCGTGGAGGGACTGCATGGTGAGGGGGGTTGGCGGCTCCCTTGTTCACTCGCTAGACGGCCAGCGATGAAGTTCGCGTTGCGGCCTCTTTGCGGCACGCATCCTTCAGCAGGGCCATTACCCTCGTACAATGAACACCCTCTTCTTCCGGCCAGGGGGAAAGTGGAAACAAATGACGAAATGTGCAGTGGACACCGATGGGCTATTTGCCCATGGATCGTGACGATTATTATTTCATCCTATCAGCAGCCTCGTCTAAAATGCTATCACTTAAACGTAGCCGTTCTTCTTTTCTATTTTTTTTTTATCCACATGTAACTTCGTGAAGGCAATAAAATGTGTTTTTTTAAAGTTAGTTATTTCCCCCCAATTTTATGCCATTTGCTATTGGAGTCATGAGATGGAGAAATCCATTCGGATCCCTCGCAGATCAGCGCAACCCTTTGTGTTAGAGAACATTCCATGGAAGCGGATATCACCGAGCTACCTCTGAGGTCCGTTTAAGTGACTTCTGGCCCACACAGGTGAGGGAAGCACTTTCCCACCCACTCTGCATATGAGAGTAATGTCCATTGCATGACAGGCTGATATTTCATTCCAAGATATTTAATTTAGCCAAATACAGTCACTGGTGACCGGGCTGAAACCATTAATTCGCTACATTGAGAACCTGGTTTCATAATAGGTGACTGCCTGGGTTCGAACCAGGGATGTATGTATGTACGTTGAACTTCTTTCGCACCGTACATAGCCAACCATCTTATCCTTGCCAGCTCAGGGCTCTCACCTCTGAGCTTACCTTGTTTGTTTAGTGCACCAATTATATTCGGAGGTGGATTTATGATGAGCATTCCCGCTTGAATAAACGTGTTAATTATTTTACTCTAATTCCCACCTTTAGTTCATTCAGGGCCCTCCACAGTCCCCATTGCTTGTCGCCGTGTGGAGAGACTTAATCCTGACACAACGAGTGGTGGTGCTTCACAGACAACAGTTCGAAAATATTGTTGTCAGGCCAGTAGCGCAGCGATAGACCGAGCGGCTCAAAATCAGAAGGTTGCAAGTAACCATTCTAGTTGTTGGTTGACTCGGCCCATCATCCTTGCGGGGTCGTTAAAAGAAATAACCACTTTGTGTGGGAAGTCAATACTGGGTGTCCTATGGATAGACTCGCCCCCCCCACCATAGGGGCTCAGGGCTGTAAAGAGGAGTGCGCATCGCCTCATTGCCGTCTTGATTGGGGCGTGACGGTGGCAAGATGTTAACTACCTCACGTTTGCATACAGGAAGTCGCGGGTTCAATCCCGACCCTGACGCTAATATAGTTGGAGTTTGCATGATTTCCCCGTGGTCGCGTGGATTTTTCTAGAGGTTCTCCAGTTTTTCCCTCCACATTTAGAACCAACGTGCATTTGGAGTAATTGGCTGCTATAAATTTCCACACGATGATAAGCTACTTCGGTGAGCTATCATTTGTAATCGCCACATCACTTTTAGTAAAGAGCTATGAAGCTCATTGGGCCTTACACCTGGTAAAATAAAAAAAATATGTTTTATAGTTTACCTTCGATGCCCGTGTTTGGTGTGGTGAACATTCTTGCCGCAGGAGTGTATGTGCTGGCTGCCTCCAGCCGCCCGGACCTGATTGACCCGGCCCTGCTGCGTCCGGGCCGACTCGACCAAACGCTCTTCTGTCCACCTCCCTCACTGGTGAGCCATTGAGTCGTTGCGCCTTCGTCGCTGCCAGGAGAGCCGCCGGCCGGATGTTCCGCATAATGTACCATATACAGGGACTCCTCTACTTACGTTAGGTTCCAGAGGTCTGTTTGTAAGTCGATTTGTTCGTAAGTCCAACTTTACTGCTGTCAATTCCAAACATGTTGCACGGCACGTGCACGAAACACGGGGAATGGCTTTAAAAGTTGTATCATCTCCTGTAGATGTCACTGGTTCTTCACATTCTACAGATGTAGATGTCACCACCGCCATCTATTGCGTGGCGATTGAACTTACGACTCGAACAAGCAACTGGACATACGGACTGGTTTGTTCGTATCTTTAAACTTCATAAGTCGAATTTTCGTAAGTAGAGGAGTCCGTCTAGTAATTGTAATAATAATACTAATGTCAACTTGTATCGCATCGCACAGTTTTAGCTCACTGACGAACAGAGACAACGACTCAAGAGGCTCGAGAAGGAACCAGAGATAAATGCGACGGCAGCCACACGGTGAATTGCCCAAGCTCTGCGGTCCTCTACATATTTAGGCCAATTCATGAGTGTTTACATTTAGAGGAAACCTGAGCACCAGGAAGGAAAAACCCACGTATGCACGGGGGCAACACTCTTATCCTGTACAGATGGAACAGGTGGAGTCCACATTTTTGTTGTGGCGAGCCAGGGCACGGCTCCTCCTCAACGCCCACGGGAAGGGAGTTTCACAGCAACATTTGTGCGTCCACAGCGCTGGATTACAGGCGGCCACGGGCGGTAGCAGCGTAGCCACCACCGGCCGGCTAAGATGCCTTCTTTGCCGGTCGCCGTGCAGGAGGAGCGTCTGGAGATCCTTCACGTGCTGAGCCGGCCCCTGGTGTTGGCCGAGGACGCTTGCCTGCAGCCGGTGGCTGAGCAGACGGTGGGGTTCACGGGAGCTGACCTCAAGGCCCTGCTCTACAATGCCCAAATGGAGGCCATCAACAGCCTGCAGGCCGACGCCTTTGTCGTCAACAATAACAACAAGGTGACGGCGTCTCTCTTCCACGCAGTTTCTGAAACGATCCATACTCACAAGGGATGTGCAAATGTTAATATGTAGGATACTGCAACCGATGTTACGATTCGTAATCGACCTTTGGGTCGGGTCACGCGAGTAAAATGTGTGTCGTAAAGCCCTCCTCCACATTTGTGGCAACTGCCTGATGATGCCGGTTGTAACTTCCAGAGAAACCTCGAACCCTGTTGTTAACCCTTTCCCGTTCTGAGACGTCTGCAAGTTGCAGAGTGGGGTGTCCCGTTCACCGCTGAATCTCGGTACACGTAAGCTGTTAGCGTTAATTTTATTTGGAGAGGCATAGGGCCGTCGTTTTTAAAGACATTGTACTCACCGCAAATAACTGTAGCGACACGACCACTGCACTCTTTGATAGCTGGCATCAAACTGCTGCACGCCCTCCCGCATAGCCATGTGGGAGCCTCGGTACCAATAAAGTTATTTTATTATTTTTTCTTCCGATTCCATATGGATGACATACACATACGTCATGGCAATGGGAAAGGGTTAAATGTGTGGATCGCTCTCCAATGTTACACCGGTGGCGGCTGCTGAAGCAGTAATAAATTGCCACGTGTGTTTATGTGACAACTTTATTAATTGGCTGTCTCACGTGGAGGAGGGTGCACAACACACATTTTACTTACATGATCTGACCCAAAAATCAATGATGAATCATGGATATGCACTTCGCACCTTGCTAGTTGGACTCATATTTGCCACACATCTTTTAGCGGGTAATACTCATGCTTTCGAGTGTGGCCCTGTATAGTAGCGTAGTCGTTGGCGTGCTGCGCTACAAACCTGCCTGACACCAGTGACAAGTATCTGAACTGGTCCTGGGCCTCCTCTTGGTCGACTCAGCCTCAAATAAGTACGTGGTGCGATGTGTAACATGAGCACTGGGGAGAGAAAGGCGGCCGGGCACAGAGCTGGCCACTCACCCTCTCGTGTGACGTGCCGGCCTTCGTTGGTGCTCACTAACGGCACTTGCCCCAATATTATTATTATTATCTACATTTCCAGTGTTGCACAGGTTTCTCAAACGCTTCATGCCACACTAAACCGGTGTTTCTCAACCGGGGGGGGTACGCAGACCCCTGGGGGTCCGTGGCAATGTCCCAAGGGGTATGTGAGGCGATTTATAAATGTGTGAAAATATATCATACATTGGTGAATAATCATATATGAATCTGTCAATAGAAAATCACTATGATAACATTTTAAGCCATATGGTAGCCTAGAACGATATAAAGACCTTTCTAAATGCATGGATTGTAACAATGCGGGTTTCCAAGAGTAACCAGCGAGTGTAAACAGATTACGCCACGCACGTAGAGCGTCCGTTTACTTTTGTTATTCGCTTGCAGTTACTCGCTAGTTAGTTTAAAATATTGATGTTCATTATTACCCTTTGGTTCTTTTGGTAAAGTCACGTAGGTATAAAATAAAATAAATCGCGACGTTTCGATCGCAACACAAACGGTCGTCCTCAAGTGGAAAAAATATAATCCAGCAGTGGAACTGCTGGACAAGCGAGAGAGCAGTTACAACAAGAGGTTATATATGTGGCGATGGGCAAGCAAGCGGGGTCTGAGCTGGAAAGGAACTCCATCCACGAACGTAAGCACATCAAGAATGGTCATTATTTTTACATGTATTTCTCAGAATCATGTTGGTTCAGGCAAGGGGGTATACTCGGTTGAAACGAAATTCAACAAGGGGTAGGTACAGTAGCCAACGAAAGGTTGAAAACAACTGCACTAAAACGTATCCCAGCACACAGAAGCACGGGGTCTAGCTTCAAACTTAATGACGATGAAGATTATGATGCCGCTGCTGTTGTTTTGGAGTTCACCTGGCGGCTGGAATAATCTGAGTTGTTGCCGCAGCAGGAGGGCGCGGCGGGGAGCGAGACGGACAGCCTCTCCTCCATGCTATTCCCTGCGACGAGCGGCGGCTCCGAGGAGTCGGGGCCCGAGTCGGGCCTGGAGCCGTCGCTCACCTCGCTGGATGCCTGTGAGCTGCTGCCCGCCGCAGAGGAGCCGCCCCTCCCCGACGTCTGGAGGCTTTACTTTGGCAGCTCCTACGAGTCCGAAATGGGCAATGGACTCTCCTCGGAGCTGGTGGGTAATGTTTTGCCTTCTCGTGAATGAATAATAACCGAGGTGTTTGGCGTCGTACGTAGCATCGTTGTTGACGTCCGTCGTTCGTGCACATTGTGTCGTTTGCAATCACTAGGGAACCATTGCCGAGCTGGAAGGCAGCAGCCAGGCGGTTAGCAGGTGCTAGCTCAAGCTGTGCAATCTTCTGTGTATTAAAATGTGTTTAGCCAATTAATGAGTTTTGCCAATGAATGGGGCGCCGTGGTGGCGAGATGTTAAATACCTCACCTGGTACGCAGAAGTTCGTGGATTCGAAAACGACCCTGACGCCTGTATATTTGCAGTTTGCGTGTCCCTTTCCCCGTGGTCGCGTGGATTTTTCTCTGGGTCCTCCGGGTTTTCCCTCCACATTTTTAAATGTGCGTTTTTTGTATTTGCTGCTCTAAATTTCCACTTGATAAGCCACTTCATTAATTATATTATCATTTCTGTCCAGATCACTTTTGAAAAAGAGCTACATAACTCAGTGGGCCTTGCCTGATAAAATAAAAAGTTTAGTTTAGAGTTTTTATAAATCTTGAGAGGAAACTGGAGCACCTGGAGAAAACCCATGTATGCGAGGGGGCAACACTCTATCCCATGCAGAAGGGTCGAGATAAAATTAGTCCGCCTTCTGGTAAACCAGAGTATGGTGCCTCGATGCGCACGGGATAGGATTTTCATAATATTGTTGTGATCCACCGTTGACTCAGGCCACGCAGGAAGCATCCCTGAAGCAGCAGCTGCAGTGGGCGCTGGGCCAGTCGGTGCTGTACATGCCGTCCCTGCAGCAAGGCTTCTGTGAGCTGAGTCCAACGGAGACCGATTCCCGCCGTGCTGAGCTCTCTCTCATCGTCGAGAACGGACGCGCTGTCCACGGTGTGGACATAAAGGTGCGGTATGGCCACCCACATTCGTGTTTTTGCAATTTGAGCAGAGTACCATGCGTCTTTTTTCTCTCTTTTTTGGCGGCAGGGGGTAACAGTACCTCGCCTGGTATACAGGATGTCGTGGGTTCGATCCCGACCCTGACGCGTGCTGTATATTTGGAGTTGACATGTTCTCCCAGTAGTCACGTGGATTTTTCTCCGGGTTCTCTGGTTTTTCCCTCCACATAGAATCAACGTACTTTTAGTTTATTTGGCTGCTATAAATACTTCTACATAATACACCACTTGGTTGAGCTCTCATTTGTGGCCAGGTCGCTTATAAAAAAAAAGCTTTTAAAGCTCAGCGGGCCTTACACCTGATAAAATAAACAAATAGTTTAGTTAAACACACAGCAAGACGGTACCTGGGTTCGATTCCCGACAGGGGCGACCTTTCTGTGTTGAATTTGTGTGGACTCCCTCTGTTCTGCGTGGGTTTCCTCGGGGTTCTCCGGTTTCCTGCCACAGCTGACAAAAATCTGTTTCGCCTAAACATCCCAATTCTGAAAAATTACCTGCAAATAACTCAACTGGGCTTACAGACAGCAATATCACCACCCCCTGCCGTAGAAACCTGGCAGAACCGTCCTGTGAGGCTTTCCTCGATAAATAACCATAAATAAAACAAATACAAAATGTAATTAATGAGTATCCATGGATGTATGTATGTGTGTTTAGAACGGTGAAACCCAAGCTGATAATGAGAAGACAATGAAGAGACTGCAGATAAAGCAATCACATCTGCTGGCTGCGTTGGCGAGCACATGTCCATCTATCTCCAGTGAAGACTGGGCAGTATTTAACAAGCTGTGAGTGGCCCTGCTCGCAGTGCTGCTGCTGCCCTTCAACTAGCCGTGGTGGCGGAGTCGCTGCCATCACATCATGCGGCTCAGCGGTCGAGTGAGCGGCTCGCAATCGGAGGGTTGTGAGTTCGGATCCTGGTTAGGGGGTTTGACTCAGCCCGTCATCCATCCAAGGTTGATAAAATAAGCTCCATATTTTGGGGAAGGCAACAGTGGCTGTTCTACGGATAAACTCGCCCCCACCGTAGGAATGTAGAATGTACACCACTGGCTTATGGCAGTAAATTGGAGACGAGCACTGCCTTATTGCTCATTTGAGCAGCAGGAAGTCATTTGGCTTTGACTTGATCGTGTGCCAGCACGCACGGTGGTGTATTTCGGTGTGTGTGGTGGTGCACTCCGTTGAGTGTGATGGTTTTTGTGTTGTTGTAACTTTCTGACCCGCCCCTACTGTACATCTGTGAAGAAGAGCTTGATAGCTCTTCGGATTCTTCCAGGATAAAGAAATATTCTGATTGTGACTTGTTTGGAGTCTATTGTGACACTCGTGCGACCTCATTCTCACGGGGTGCCTTCTCTTCTCATTGCAGATACAAAAACATCAGAGGCTGCCAAGAGAACAGTGAAGGCGACAGGACCCGTTCCCCTCTCCAAAGAGTCACCCTCGCTTAACCGACGATGCTACACACTCGAGCGGTTGCATTGACGGTGGTGTTGGCACACAAGGCAAAGCACCCGTTATGACAGCCATCACATTCTAAATTGAGAACTAATTTCTTTAGAGCCACTTTTTGTGTTTAGTGTTGTTTTCCTTTCCTCGCACCTCTGATTAGCACGTTTGGCTACGTACGGTGCGAAAGAAGTTCAGCGTACATACGTATTAACACTGCCGGATAACAAAAATATCCTGACACGTAGGCCACGTAATGATCAACGTCGGATCTAATTGATTAATTTGGTTTTGAGAAATATTCTTCCAACTCATCGTTGGCATGTCGTCTATCGCTTGACCACCACGTGACAAGTCCTTAGGCTGTGTCAGGTGGCGGAGGGTGCTGTGGTAGAAACTTGGCCAGATCATCACACAGCCCCAAATCCAATAATCAATTTTGAAAAATCTCTTGGCTGCTCTTGGCTTTTTATGAGCGCAGAGGGGAAAGCAGAACATTTCTAGTTGTAGTTTTGAAACTGTGCTTTACAAGGTGTTGAATACGTTTTGGATAATTGCTGACAGTTTTCTATAAAATGTGAAAATTATTGGAACTATAAATCGGTTGAATGTGACGTTTTTAATCGCACCCGCTAAAATGTGTGGGACTGATTTTGACTGCTATTGCAGTTAGCCTTATTGTAATCGATCATTGATAGGGATGTGATGCGTGGAGCTCTTTCAGCTATGATTGTGCCACTATTTAGCAGAATGACGGGTCTGTTAATATATCAGCGGTTTAAAATTGCTCTCGTGTTTAAAACAAAATTGATTCACAATGCTCACGTTTCCCTTGCAATCTGCTCAATAAGAGCCATTACTTGAAACGGTGCTACGAGGTAGTATTAATGACAACGTTCAAAACAGACAAGCTGGGAAGGCTGCCAGGCGGTGAGCCGGCACCAATAATTGCTCTGCACTTTTCTATTAAGATAATTTTCAGCCAATATGTGGTGTTCATTATACATGTGGCAGCAATATGGAGCATTTGGAGAAATACCGCACATGTGAAGGGGCAACACCCTTTTTCCATACACCTCTGACGAGCACGGTTGGCTACGTAGGGTGCGAAAGAAGTTCAGCATAAATGCATACAATGTGCAGATGATATCGGTGTGCACGTTCCTGTGCTGCATCCTACTGGCGAGCCCAGGGTGCTTGCACCCGAAACCCACGGCAAGGGAGCCGCCTCCACAGTGCTGCATTACAAGCCACGTGGCGAGCCAACACTGCCAGGCGGTGTTGAGGTGCTCTTGAGTTTCGCTGACAAAACTCTCACAACCTGAACTGCCTCGGTGACGAGCATATGAAAGATAATAGGATGTCCGTGCCACACAAGCATGTACGCCAATATAGCATGGGTTCTATGTAATGTTTTAAAATTTTCTTTTAAAGTTGAACTGCAAGGCCAGGTAATTATTTTGAGAATTGTAAATAGTAAAACTCTGATTTGTACACTGTATTTAGTAATTTTCAGACGATATGATGTATCTGATATATTATCACGCATGTCTACAGATTTACATATAATTTAAACGTTTCGTTTACAATTTAATCTTCTCGAATGCACTGGTAATAAATCATTTTCAGTGATGGCTCATCTTCCATTCGTTTTATTATTGTACTGTTAATGTTAGCAGTGGATGCTTGTGCATCATTTGACTTGGAGGTAAAAACCTCGGATGCGGAGGTAAAACCTCTGATCTGAAAGTAAAATCTTCAGACGTGGAGGTAAAACCTCTGATCTGAAAGTAAAATCCGCAGACGTGGAGGTAAAACCTCTGATCTGAAAGTAAAATCCTCAGACGTGGAGGTAAAACCTCTGATCTGAAAGTAAAATCCGCAGACGTGGAGGTAAAACCTCTGATCTGAAAGTAAAATCCTCAGACGTGGAGGTAAAACCTCTGATCTGAAAGTAAAATCCTCAGACGTGGAGGTAAAACCTCTGATCTGGCGAGGGCGCTTCACGGCCCCCATTGCGGGCCCCGTCCCCATGGCGACGCGACGCGCGCGCGGGGCACGCCGGGAGCGCGGGGCCTGGGCGAGGTGAACGCGGCGCGGTGAGAGGCTCGAGAGCGAGAGACGCGGAGAGAGAGGGAGACACGGGGAGCGTGAGACACGGGGAGAGACACGGAGAGTGAGAGACACGGGGAGAGCGTGAGACACGGGGAGTGAGAGAGAGCGTGAGAGAGAGAGCGTGAGACGCGGATAGAGACACGGGGAGTGAGAGGGAGACACGGGGAGCGTGAGACACGGGGAGAGACACGGAGAGTGAGAGACACGGGGAGAGCGTGAGACACGGGGAGTGAGAGAGAGCGTGAGAGAGAGAGCGTGAGACGCGGATAGAGACACGGGGAGTGAGAGGGAGACACGGGGAGCGTGAGACACGGGGAGAGACACGGAGAGTGAGAGACACGGGGAGAGCGTGAGACACGGGGAGTGAGAGAGAGCGTGAGAGAGAGAGCGTGAGACGCGGATAGAGACACGGGGAGTGAGAGGGAGACACGGAGAGAGCGTGAGAGAGAGCGTGAGACACGGAGAGAGCGTGAGAGGCACGGCGTGAGAGCAGAGAGAGCGTGAGAGAGAGACGGAGAGCGTGAGAGAGAGTGCGTGAGACGGGGAGAGAGAGAGTGGGAGAGAGTGAGAGATAATGCGTGAGAGCAGAGAGGGAGAGCGTGAGACCGACAGCGAGAGACAACGTGTCTAAGTGAGATGTTGTAGAGTTCGGGAGTGGTTATGCGTGAGAATTCCAGGTGGCGGTTCAGGCTACATCCATGTAGATTGTCACATCTGTCTGGACTGTATTCTGTTTTTCTCGTAAGCTAATGACCTATCTTACAATTAAAATGTATCTTCGTATCCACATTGTGTCGCTTCAAGCTGATCCAATCTCCAAGTACATTGGAGACGTAACGTGCATCCGGGTAGTAAGACTTGCTGTGTCCTATCTGAACGTGTTAGAACTGATGCCTTATTAATACCACGACAGGTTACATCGACTCACCGAATCGATGCTGCCGAAATTTGCATGCGCAGAAGATCTTGTGGTTGATGTGAAGTGTCGCTATTCCACTCTCACTTTTGTTACGTGGAGGGGACAGATTGGTAAAGGAGATGCATTGTCAGCTTTTTTAACTTGTTAAGATGGAATGATAACAGCGGATATCCACGAAACTGACCATATACATGTGCTTAATATCAATTTGAAATAGAAGAATGCCAGCGAACCCAGTGGAAAGTCTGTAATAAATACCCAAACATCACGCCTCCTGGCTTTGCCATTCCTTGAAGACGCTGGTGCCTTCAGAACATCATCAGGCCGATGCGCACGTCTTCGTGCATGTAAAATTATAGACGAACCACAGTCGTACGATTGTGGCCATGACATCCAAACTGCAGACCGTAGAGTAAACCATTGGGGTGTCTGGACCCCTTCAATGGGAGGAATGGGCAAAACTACACAAAGTCTCCGCTGAAGCCCTCTTGCGGCGAGCAGACCTCGGCATTGGCATTTAGCTCCCGCATGTATTGCCATACGCAAGAATATGAATTACAAAGAATTGGTAAATAACGTGAACTTTGAATTGCATGTTTCAGCTCAGGTATGGCGGGAATGCGAGGTGAGCACATCATGCTGGTGCCCGAGGAGGAAGAGGAGGACCTCTACTCAGGCTACAATGAGTACAACCCCACCTACGATATTGAGGTGCAGCATTGCAATACGTGCACAGTGGTGTGTGAGTGCGTGTTGTGGCGAGATGTTAACTTACCTCGTCCTGAATGCAGGAGTTTGTGGGTTCGATCCCGTACCTGACGCCCGGATATTTGGAGTTTGCATGTCTCTCTCCCCGTGACCGTGTGGATTTTCTCCGGGTCCTCTGGTGTTTCCGTCTATATTTAGCTGCTATAAATTTCAACATGATAACCAACTTTGTTGAACTCTACAGTACATGGTACTCTACAGTGAATGGTACTCCTTAAGGATCCTCTTCTCATTCTTTGCAATATTGATGTATCTGTTGTTGTTGCTGCTGCTGTGCTCACGCACCACGGATTCCCCTTGTAAAACAGTCGTGCAACTGGCTAATTGGGACCATCCGTGTAACAAATCAAATAAACTCAAACTTATGTTAGTGTGTGCAGTGTACAGTCCAAATGATCACAATTGCGGTATATGTACAGTACAGTACTGTAGTTATGTCCTGGGACACTGCAGTGGCAAGATGTTAACTCTCTCACTTGATATGCAGGAGGTCGTGGGTTCGATCCTGACCCTGACGCCTGTATATTTGGAGTTTGCATGTCTCCCTATGGTCACGTGGATGTTTTTCCGGGTCCTCCAGTTTTTCCCTCCACATTTAAAAATATGCGTTTCGAGCATTTGGCTGCTGTAAATTCGCATGTGATAAGCCACTTCGTTGCGCTATTGTTTATGGCCGAGTCGCTTCTGAAAAATAGCTATATAGCTCAGTGGGCCTTACACGCAGTGGCGGCTCCTGCAAAATCTCTCAGGGGGGGCAAAAGAAAAAAGAAAAAAATAAATATAAAAATAAATATAAAAATAAAACATAATAAAACATGATAAAACATTAATAAAAGAATTGTTTTATTATGTTTTATTTTTATTATTTTATTACTTCCCTTCTACGTGACTTTACCGAAAGAACCAAGAAGGCAACTTCACTACTTTAATATTAATGAAAAATAAAGTGACTCTCACTATTATTACAATCCACTCAGTATCTTTTATTAAAGATTCCACTAGGTGGCGACAAATAATATTGTTGACTGAAACGTGCTTACGTATGATGACGTAAGCACGTTAGTGCGAGCCCTCCCGGAAGCCATAGAGAATGCATTTCAGCGCCCGCCGTTCGAAAAAAAACATCTTTGAATGTAAGTCTATGGGAACACTCTGGGCGATTCTCAGCCAGAGTGAAATCGCCCAAAAAGGGGCTGTACTCCACAGAACGTGACATGACGCTGATTGGACTATATCCAGAGGCACAGTAACGGCTGACATTGGTGGTGCGTCGCCCAATCGCCCTAATGAAGAAACCGCCCCTGCTTACATGGTAAAATAAAATTAGTAAATAGTTGTTGAGTGTGGGTGCCTCAAATATTGGAGGAAGTACCCACTCCCTGTGAGTAGTTGTCTGATGTGCCATGTGTTGAGGATGTGCGTAGGGCAATCCTGAGCTTGAAACCAGGTAAAGTGCTGGCTAGAGGTGATTTCTCAAGCAAGCTGCTGAGGGAGAGTGGTGTTTGTGTGCACATTGCCCTATGTGATAAATGGTCCCCATTTTTGGCTGTACCAGAGGAATTTCCATCTGGTATAGATACAATGGTAGGCTGATTGATGCCTGGATGCAATCGAGGGATGGCTCCCTATTGGTAACCATTTTACTGGTAGGAACGAAGTGAACCAGCCTACAATAGATTATATCGTCCGTCCGTCCGATGTCCGATTAGGTGTAGCAACATCGCCCCCTACTGCAAACACTTGGCAGGACCCTACAAAAACCTTTAAACTCAGTGAGGCTTTCCTGGTTAAACAAGTGTAACATTCCCTTATAATTCCCTGAGATAGCTTTTAATTAAAACATTTAAATTAAAAATTAACTCATAATTCCCTGAGATAGCTTTTAATTAAAACATTTAAATTAAAAATTAACTCACAGCGGCCTAAAGCCTACAGCTAGGCCTAAAGCCTAGAACTAGGCCTCAAACTCTCCCTTCGTATCGTACCCCCACGTGTGTGAAAGGGAGTTAATGTTTAACAATGTTACATTCCCTGATGTTTTTAAATAGAAACATTTAAATTTAAAGCTTTTACATAAATAATTAAAACATTTAAATTAAAAATTACTCACAGCGGCCTAAAGCCTACAGCTAGGCCTAAAGACTAGAACTAGGCCTCAAACTCTCCCTTCGTATTGTACCCCCGCGTGTGTGAAAGGGAGTTAATGTTTAACAATGTTACATTCCCTGATGTTTTTAAATAGAAACATTTAAATTTAAAGCTTTTACATTAATAATTAAAACATTTAAATTAAAAATTTATTATTAGAGACGTAATTGTACATTTGGGCCTTGAGAAATATTTAGATTTGTGGTGGTGATAGGATTGGAATTGGTGAGTAATATGTTATTGGAGTCGGCTGTAGATCCACCTTTTATAAGAGAATGAACAAAAGCAGTTTTCCATTTCTGGGGTACTGAGGTTTATTTGATCGATACATTTTACTTAAGAAATATTGATAAGAGGTTAATAGATTGTCACCCACTGCGAGCAAACCAAAGGAAGGTAGTTTATTTGCCGAGTGTCTTGAGTGAGGCTAGTTGGATTTGCACATCCAGCTCTGATAGTTTGGACATTAAAAGCTTGGGGTAGATCACCATTTCCATCTAGAAGTGGTGACGCTGGGATCATTCAGCTCATCAGAAACTAACGGCAACACGTGGGTGAGTCAATTCGCCTGTGTGAAAATTTTAGTATTGTCCCCTTGTGTGTCGGTTTTCTCTGGGTACTCGAAATTTCTACCACATTAAGGAAAGCGAGACTCGGAAAGGCTTTCCCGCGTACACAAATGCCATTGTTATTATTAATATTACCGATGTATTTCTTTATCAATATACAACATAAGTCTACAGATAATTGCAAGCAAATTACCAGGATCCATGCACCCATATGTGTCATGCAGTCTTTCCTCATCATATGGCAATTCAATATACGTAATTTCTCGATAATGTGCAATACTGTAATAATGTGCAAAAAGAAACCATAAAGCAATTGCCTTGAATGTAAGTGCTGTGTGGTATTTTTAGTTTTTCAACTTATTTTGAGTATACAGTATTAATATTTAATAAAATTATCTATTTTTCATGAAATATGTGCATTGGGGCCGGAATTTTTTCAGAAAGAACTCATAAAATGGAAGTCGATGGGAAAATAGGTTTCGATATACAGATGGAGAATATTACAGGAACGTATCTGTTTGCCATTGAGAGGGATGCGTGGATTCTCTGGTGTCCCACGTGCAGCTGCGTTGCCCGTGTTTACAGAGCTGAGCTGTGGATCTTCAGCTACTCGTATCGTTGCTTTATTGATTACAAAGGGGCCACTGAAACTTATGAGGTTTTCGATGATAATACCTCTGCGTGTGAACACAATAACCTCCCGAGAGGTTAGGCAGAAGCATATGACGCTCTGTGCATGTGTTCATGAGCGTCAGTGCAGCTATTAGTGCGCTGCACTACGAACCCGGCGAGCCAAGTTCGATTGTGACAATTATCTGAACCCGCCCTGGGCCTCCCCTAGGTCGACTCAACATCAAATGAGTACCTGGTGCGGTGTGTAAACATCGCCGCTGGGGCGCTTGCCACCCACCCCCTCGTGTGCCGTGCCGGCCTTCATAGGTGCTGCTCGCTAACAGCACTTGCCCCAACATTATGTTAAGCCTACACGGGGGATCTTTGTCTTTGTGTGTCCAGGAGCTGGAGAACGACCCAGGCTTTCAGCAAGCCGTGAAAACAAGTCATGGCCGCAGGCCACCGGTGAGTCAGAACCACTCGTGCTGCACGTTGTATGATGTCGCCTGCGGTGGGAACACATTCACCTTGATGCATGCTTGCAGCTCTGCATTGTTTTCATTTGCATGCAACGAAAGTACTTTCAAGTGTAACAAGAGACCTACAAGAGGGTTGGCAATAACAGTAAGGTCTTGATCTACGCGAGCCTAAGTGGGTAAAGGCGAGAAACAGAGCCGATAGTTTGAGAGCCGCAGCGAGCAGAGCGCACGTGGGATGCGGTCACAACACGTGTAGCAGCCCCTTGGGTTTCGATGCATCATTAGATGAGTACACGGAGTCAAACCCCAGCTACCTGGTCCACCGCTAACCTGGAATTCGCACTCAGCCGATGTTGCAGAGGACGACGGGGATGCATGCCACCTAATATATATTATTTTTACCATATATATTAAAGCCTTCTCCAAGTATGACAATGTTTTCATGGCACAACACTGTTGAATGAAGGTGTCCGACAGTGTAAGCGAAGGTGATATGTCCCCCCCTCACTTAGTCTACTGTGTACATTTATCTTATAGCATTGATAATGATGTCAAGTCATTTAAGTCTGCTCATACCACAGCCAAATGTTTGCGTCAGTTTTGAACACTCATATGCACACGTACTTATACAGGGTGCTTCAAAAAGATGGACCCGATTTGAAATCGCTATGTCTTTGAAATTGGGTCCATCTTTTTTAAGCACCCAGTATATAGATGTACACATAAGTATACATGTGTATTATATGCCAGTCACACGTGTATTTCCCATGCACACAATGTAACTGAGCTGCCATTGTTCCCTGACAATCCCATTTCCTCCTGACCTCATCCCTCCATGACACTGTTTACATGACTGTTAGCGCCATGCTAATGGAGCCAGTTGATATTAGTGGTGATCTAACTGTGTGTATCTGGTGCCGCAGATGACAGCCAAGATTCCAGGCACAGCAGCAGTGAGAGCTCCCGGAACTGCCATGATGGTGAGGGCAAAGAGTGGACATTGATTAAACTGCATATAAGATGTGGTGCCTCAGAGGTCAGAGTGCTGAGCTGGCACCTCTGGGATCCTCCGATCGAATCTGGGTGTCTGCCCGTAACTAAACTGCACTCTCAAATGTAGCCAGTTTATGGTCTCAACTCGGTTACCAATGACGACATGAAAACCATCCGATAAAATGTAGTTTTGTCTTTAATTTTCCTGAATAAGGACATTGATTTGACTATAGTGCAATGAGCATTTCTGTTTGTAGCAGGGCAGGTCGGGAAAGCTACATAAGATAAGAAAGTGCTGTCCCATAGCGTGGATAAGACATCACTTGATATTTCAGAAGCACTTGATAGCACCTTCCTTGGTTCATTCCATAACACAGGGTGATGCACTGCTCTGTGAGATTCATGGAAAAAATTTATACTTAAAATAATATAATACTGGAGATTTGTCTTTGTAATGAGTGACTGTTGGTGGTACCCATTTGAAAGTGCATTTATTCGGAATTATAATAAAATCTGTATAGGCCACAAGTTAGAAATTAATTTTTTAAATGTGTAGCTGCCTTTAAAATGTCTAAATCTTGCTTCTGTTGCCTGTTTTTATATATATTGAATGTATCTGCTGCACTTTATTGAATTCTATACATTTCATAAACCATGATGAAATATGTCTAACATTTTTTAAGTAGAATGTGTGAACCTTGACCAGTTTAAAATGTGTTCTGCTGTGTTCTGTAACCCACTTTAAACATTCTCATTATGAACAAATAGGACACGTCCTAGCTTTGTGAATATTTTTTTTTCTCTTGTGTGTGAAGATGAGAAATCGTCTGGTTTCATCCATAGGAGGACGACCCATTACTGGGGCTGTGCAGGTAACCACAGACACTGAAGCGCACACACACACATTAAACACACAGACGTTGTGAGGTTGCTGGGTGTTTCAAGAGGCTTATGCTCTGTGTTAAGAGCATTGATCAAGCACCATCATGAGCCCATGGTACAAATAATTCAAAGCTCCGACCTACTTTGTGCAAACGTTTGAAGTGTGGCTGAATTTGATGGTTTCTCCATGGTCACCAATTACCCCACAAAAAACATCTTAACAATCTGGATTTCAGCTTGATTGTTCAAGTGCATGTTATTATGGGCGCTGCGGTGGCGAGATGTTAACTCCCTCGCATGGTATACAGGAAGTCGTAGGTTTGATCCCGACCCTGACGTCTATATATTTGGAGTTTGCATTTTCTCCCCGTGGTCGCGTGGATTTTTCTCAGGGTCCTCCGGTTTTTCCCTCCACATTTAGAAGAATGTGTTAAGAGTATTTGGCTGAATCTTGATTTGAAGCTTTATAGCAGCCAGTATTTGGCTGCTATAAATTTCCACTTTATAAGCCACTTTGTTAAGCTATGATTTGCGGCCAGGTCGCTTCTGAAAAAGAGCTATACAGCTCAGTGCGCCTTACATGGTCAATTGTTTAGTTTCGCTTATTAGTCCATCACTGTGCAGGATAAGTTCGCGGATCATTCTTATATCACTACGTGCTGTGGCACTCCCAAGCTGGTGAGCTGCAAGGTGGTGAGGAGGAGGTGGTAGTGGCACATTCAATGGATCTGTGACCCGTGTGCCTGTGTGCAGGACGGTAGCCCCGGAGCCCGACCCTTGACAGCTGTACGAGCTGCTGGGTACAGCTCCATGGGCTCGAGAGGTAACTCGCTCCACCACAGTTATTTTCTGCTACTCTCTCACTTTGAGATGTATTCCCTCTGCTAGCGTTGCTCGTTTTAGGTGGTACAGGAAGCTGTGTCTATCTTTTATTTGGATGGCATCGTATTAAAAGTAGCTTTAATTTCTGTTACGTGTGAATTCAAAATGATATACACAGGATTTTGATGGGTGTTTCCAAAATGGTCAGCATTTTTTTTTAAAGGTGTGTTTACATTTCTGACTAAAATGAGTGGCAGAAGATGTAGGTGTTTTTCATTACTAACTTATGTGGTTGATCTAGCAGACAGACATCAGCTCGTCCACTTGCGCTCCATTCGTAACAAACATACTCCTGAACGTCACCTGTTTGGCTGACAGCTTTGGTACTCGAAAGGTTGATCCTGAACGGATTCGCTGTTTGCTGATGAGCAGGTTAATACGCATCAACTGAGTTACTTTGAAACATCTGTAAAGTAACACCGATGTGATGTGTGTGAGTCTACGTGTGAGATATGAGTTGCACATATTATTATGTTTTGGTCAGGCGCTGCATTTGACCCAATGGGCCAGTCCCGAGGACCAGCACCTCCACTGGAGACAAAAGGAGAGGACACGTGAGTTTGTGTGGCAAGTGACCTGTGCACGCATGACATGCAGTGGTTGGCTGTAACTATGTGTATTTGTTTTAATATCTAAATATTAAATGTCTACAGCTACTTTAATTATACGTTCTATGTTATGCCCCTTCGATAGAAACACATTTGGTCACCGTTGGCTTAGATGGTCAAACCATTGCTTCTTTTCTGCAACATCAGACTTTATTTCAGCTCGTAAGGCCCTTTGAGCTCAGCAGCTCTGTTACAAGGACAACTACAGCTCAAGACCGTCGGCAGTGGCAGCAGTTATGGACATTGCGGGGTGGGAATGTGTAAAATAACCAAAGCTAAAACAACAAATCTATATATATATACAAGTCAAACATTGTGTGTGGGTTTGTGGTGGGTTTGTGTGTGGGTTTGTGTGTGGTCGCGCGCTTGGCTCTCCAACGGTGGGGTTTTTGTAAATAAAAATCGCCAGGTACCACGCCGTAAGCCCTGCGGTGAGCAAGCGCTATTCCTTTTTCACATCCGTCAACTTTACATTAGTTTAATTAGCGCTATGTCCATGCCAAGTCACACGCCTTCGGTGGGAGTGAGGGGGACATTTTATTTGCGTAAAAAATGCTATATAAATGCACTAAACGCTCAGATAAATTCTTCACTGTGTGATGTCCCCCTCACCCCGATGCGTGCAGTTATTACAACTGTAATAAAAGGACTCGGACACTTCCTTCTGTCTTCGTGTCTTTTATTGGGTTCTCGTCCTCACCCACACGGCACTCTGTTATAACTCTGTATTTGTAGCCCCCGGCTATTCACTGCTATTATAGCTCCTTCTTCCCTCTGACTCTCTGCTTCATCTACTGTAACCTCCTCCCTGCAGACTCGCTGCTACCTCTATGCAGACTCCCGCTGCTACCCCTATGTGCAGACCCTCTGGCTGCTACCGTATGCAGACCCGCTGCTGACTCTGTATGCAGCCCCGCTGCTGACTGCAGCCTCCTCGCTGCTTCGGGTCGGTCACCGCTGGCCAACGGTGCCGATCCTCGCTCCCCCGTGTTCGTGGCGATCTCGCCACCCTCCGCTTCGCCCTTCGTGGCCTCTCTCTGTTCCTGGTTCCCCGTCACTCCCCGTCCTCTTCCGGTTCCCCTCCTTCTATAGCCTAACCCCTCACCCCCCCACGTGACCTAACTCCTCCCCTCCTGACGTCACCTCCGGAGGGCCGTTTACGCTCGCATTACACAACTATACAGTCGCTAGATGCTAGGCCGTAGATATTACTGCAGAGTGGCTGGGGAGATCGTGGCTGGTGGGGGGGGGGGGTAGCATATTTTTAAGAGTAGTTTTGAATTATTTTTAAGACCCGGGCAACGCCGGGTACTTCCCGCTAGTGATTTATATATGAAACCCATGCCAAAACGTATTTTAAACAAGATAATCAGCAATGTATGTATGTTGCACTTCTTTCGCACCGTACGTAGCCAGCAGTGATAATTGGAGGTACGGGAGAAGGACAAAAAACTAAACACACAAAGCAGTTCTTAAGAAATTAGTTCTGAATCTATATGATTTAAAAGCGCATCGCTCCAGTGGCTTCCTAATATCGGAAGGAAGAACATTCCAGATAGCTGCAGAAATGCATCTGAAAACGCACGATGCAGTGACTGTCTTTGTTCTTAAACACAAATCAAAAACAGTTAAAAAAAATTAGCATCACATAACACGTACCTCAGACAACAATGAAGTTAGTTATAGCATTCGCAATAGCGGCAGATGTAATCCTGCAGCATGGCCTTAAAACATGAGATTAAGAAGGTAAATGTTGAATATTAAGATTGGTAATGAGGACAGGTTTAATTAATGTGTTGCCATACCCAATGAGCCATGCTTATTTGGTCTCGTTTTTCAAGCTTAAAAAGCCTGATAATACTGCATTATTTTTTACTCTTTCATTGAATAATGGGACAATATTTTATATTGAAACGCTGTGTTTTATTTATGAAATTGACGAGTTGTCACATGTTGTAGCGTTTTACACCTGCAGTTCTGTATTATCTAATTGGCTCACTTTGCTGACAAACAAGGTTTGTTGAATAATGTATGGCTTCTGTTTTAGATGGCTGAGTACAGTATTCCCAAAGGTGTTGGATAGCCCAGAGTATCTTTGCGATGGGTAACTGCTTTTATCTATGGTCATAGAAGCAGCTCATATGGTAATAAGAGTTTGAAATATCTTTATAGGGCAGGGCTTGATGATGCAACATATAACAGGCAATGGAAGCTTCAGGCCCGCTGGCTACTTTGTGGAACTTACACTCTGCATGGTAGTTTCAAAAGCTGCTGGCAACAAAGGCGTGTATCACGAAAAAATAGTCAATCTGGCATTGCGGAGTGCATATACTGCACGCACTTTCCTCCCAACACCACTGCTGGAGAGGTATTAACTGTTAAGTAGTAATCAATAATACTATATTTATTCATGTTTATATTGTCAGGAATTAACACTTTTATATTTTTACTTTAGAGTATCATGTTTTTCTTTACCATAGCAAGCATATGTTGCTCATGGCTCATGCGTTAATTTATACCCATATATGCACATATCCATGTGTGTTAACGTGTGTGTGGCGTGTGTTTATATTAATGTGTGTGTGAATGTGGGTGCATATAATGTGCGTGTGGGTATGTGTGGGTGCACCTGGCCTGGCACAGGCGCCATGGTGACGTCACTTAGTGGCGAATGGCGGGTATTGGTATTAGTATTGGTGTGGGTGCATATATGTGGAGCGTTGGCGCCATTGGTTAGACCACTGCACTACAAACCTAGCTACCTGAGTTTGATTCCTGCTCATGACCAACACCAGTGGCGATTATCTGAACTCGTCCTATGCCACCGAGGTCGACTCAGCCTCAAATGAGTACCTGGTGTGGTGTGCATTCAACATCTCCACTGGGGAGACAAAGGCAGTAGGGCATGGTGCGGGCCACCAACTCTCTCCTGTACCGTGCCGGCCTTTATAGGTGCTCGCTAACAGGACTGGTCCCAATAGTCTGTGAAGGCTCGAAGGGGGGATCTTTCTCTTTTACAAATGTGTGTGGGTGCATATGTGTGTGTGTGGGGGTGTGTATGAATGTGTGTGGGGAGCGATAGTGTAGTGGTAAGCACGCTGCATTATGGACCTGGCGACCCGGGTTCGATTCCCGCTCACGGCCAACACCAGTGACGGTTATCCTTTATTGGGCCTCCCCTAGGTTGACTTAGCTTCAAATGAGTACCTGGTGTGGTGTGTAAATATCGTCGCTGGGGATACAAAGGTGGCCGGGCATGCTGTACCGTGCCACCCATCCCCTCGTGTGCCCAAAAGTCTGTTAAGTTTATCTAGGGGATCTTTGTCTTTATATTAATGTCTGTGTGTGTCACTGCATTTGAATCTGTCGGACCAATTTTCTGTTCACCTTGGGGTGCGAAAGGGATGTCCTCTGGCCCCAACACTATTGAACATCATCTTTGACCATGTTGTTCGAGAAGCTTTCCGTGCATGTGCAGTGAGGGAAAAAGTATTTGATCCCCTGCTGATTTTGTATGTTTGCCCACTGGCAAAGAAATGATCAGTCTATAATTTTAATGGTAGGTTTATTTGAACAGTGAGAGACAGAATAACAACAACAAAATCCAGAAAAACGCATATCAAAAATGTTATAAATTGATTGGCATTTTAATGAGGGAAATAAGTATTTGACCCCCTATCAATCAGAAAGATTTCTGGCTCCCAGGTGTCTTTTATACAGGTAAGAGTGTGCTCCTAATCTCAGCTTGTTACCTGTATAAAAGACACCTGTTCACAGAAGAAATCAATCAATCAGATTTCAAACTCTCCACCATGGCCAAGACCAAAGAGCTCTCCAAGGATGTCAGGGACAAGATTGTAGACCTACGCAAGGCTGGAATGGGCTACAAGACCATCGCCAAGCAGCTTGGTGAGAAGGTGACAACAGTTGGTGCGATTATTCGCAAATGGAAGAAACACAAAAGAACTGTCAATCTCCCTCGGCCTGGGGCTCTATGCAAGATCTCACCTCGTGGAGTTGCAATGATCATGAGAACGGTGAGGAATCAGCCCAGAACTACACGGGAGGATCTTGTCAATGATCTCAAGGCATTAATATTCTTAGGATTTTTCAGTAAAGTCACGTAGGTAAAAATTCTAATTAATAATAGTAAACTAAAAATAAAATAAAAATCACCACGTTTCGGAGGCAACACAAGCTTCCGTCTTCAGGTGGAACCGTCACAGCACGATTGCTGTATCAAGTAAGAGAAATTCCAAGAAAACCGTCCTTGTATATATACTGGTTGAGGGTGGGAGGAGCCAAGGCAGGCCCCTGGATATTATTATTATTGTGAAGTTGGTGCGGCTAAAGCCGCTGCTAGGAATGAGCCTTTGTTGTGTAGACTGGTTGAACTTGGAAGTTCCAAGAGTTGTTAAGGTACGGCTGATGTAAAGGTGCGGCTGCTGTAAATGTGACTGAACTTTTGTTATGTAGAGGTGGTGTGGCTGAAACCGCTGCTAGGAATGAGCCTTTGTTGTGTAGACTGGTTAAACTGGGAGGTTCCAAGAGTTGTTAAGGTGCAGCTGCTGTAAATGGGACTGAGCCTTTGTTATGTAGATGAAACAGCACTTTGCTACGTTGCTGGGATTAATTCTAGATTTGCCAAATATGTGTGGTAAAACTTAAAGCAGGAAACCAGTGTGTGAAAAAAATAAGAAGAAACTATACGGTAACTGAAGAATAGTGCCTGTAAAATAAGATGGTCCAAATATGTGTAGTTAAATCTTTTTTGCATGGTTAATAACATCTTTCCAATGCTATGGGGACCTCATTTGCCAGTAAAAATATGATAATTGGTTCTTTACCCTTCTATCTGGCAACAAAACTGACACCTTTTTGCAAGGAGTCATGTTTGCATAGACCGCAATACCTGCAGTCATAATACAAACAAAAGAACATAACTCTGATAATGTGCACTGTCCTTGAAGTTGATTGGTCCACACCAGAGACAGCTTTCCTTCGAGCCTAGTCTCATATGGGTTGGACCAGATGACGCCAAAAGGCGCACGTGCGCCTTTTGGCGTCAGGTATTGCGGTCTATGCAAACATGACTCCTTGCAAAAAGGTGTCAGTTTTGTTGCCAGATAGAAGGGTAAAGAACCAATTATCATCTTTCCAATGATTACTAAGTTTGTACCCATCATCACGGTTGAAATTATGCCTGTGTTTGTATATTTGATTGGCTTCAAGGCAGCTGGGACCATAGTCACCAAGAAAACAGTTGGTAACACACTACGATGTGAAGGACTGAAATCCTGCAGCGCCCGCAAGGTCGCCCTGCTCAAGAAAGCACATATACATGCCCGTCTGAAGTTTGCCAATGAACATCTGAATGATTCAGAGGACAACTGGGTGAAAGTGTTGTGGTCAGATGAGACCAAAATGGAGCTCTTTGGCATCAACTCAATTCGCCGTGTTTGGAGGAGGAGGAATGCTGCCTATGACCCCAAGAACACCATCCCCACCGTCAAACATGGAGGTGGAAACATTATGCTTTGGGGGTGTTTTTCTGCTAAGGGGACCGGACAACTTCACCGCATCAAAGGGACGATGGACGGAGCCATGTACCGTCAAATCTTGGGTGAGAACCTCCTTCCCTCAGCCAGGGCATTGAAAATGGGTCGTGGATGACAATGACCCAAAAGACACGGCCAAGGCAACAAAGGAGTGGCTCAAGAAGAAGCACATTAAGGTCCTGGAGTGGCTTAGCCAGTCTCCAGACCTTAATCCCATAGAAAATCTGTGGAGGGAGCTGAAGGTTCGAGTTGCCAAACGTCAGCCTCGAAACCTTAATAACTTGGAGAAGATCTGCAAAGAGGAGTGGGACAAAATCCCTCCTGAGATGTGTGCAAACCTGGTGGGCAACTACAAGTAACGTCTGACCCCTGTGATTGTCAACAAGGGGTTTGCCACCAAGTACTAAGTCATGTTTTGCAGAGGGGTCAAATACTTATTTCCCTCATTAAAATGCAAATCAATTTATACAATTTTTGACATGCGTTTTTATGGATTTTGTTGTTGTTATTCTGTATCTCACTGTTCAAATAAACCTACCATTAAAATTATAGACTGATCATTTCTTTGTCAGTGGGCAAACGTACAAAATCAGCAGGGGATCAAATACTTTTTTCCCTCACTGTACCGGTGAAATTTCCACCTGGTATAGATACAATAGGAGGCTGATTGAAGTCCAGGGATGGCGCCCTATTGGTCATGTATGTGGATGATGTGGTGATTGCTGCCCACTCTGAGAAGGAGTTGTAAATGCTACTGCTGAACCTGGAGAATGCTACTAAGTGATGGGGCCTTACCATTAGCCCTATAAAAAATCCCCTCTCTCAACTCCCCATCAGTGATGGGGCATTTGTGGAGAGTGGAGAAGAGTCTTTACTTAGGCAGTATGCATATGTCCAGCTCCGATTTGACAGCCGAGGTCTCACTCCAAATCAGTCGAGCGGAATTATCTTTTCATCAGCTGCGTAACATTGTGTGTAAGCTACATGGCCTGTCGCTCTATACAAAGCTCCAGGTCTTATCAGCCACAGTCATTCCCTGCCTTCTCTATGCTTGGGAAACGTGGAGGCCCCCTATAAAGGAACATCGGCACTGGTTTGAAACATTCAGGCCAGCCTGCGTACGATCCATCCTGGGTTTAAGCAGACTGGATTGTGTGAGGAGTTCACAGAGCCTTGAAAGATTGGACACATTTCCATCAGTGAGCTCCTCCAGAAAATCGAGGCTGCATTGGGTGGGTCATGTTGCCCGCATGCCCAGCCACCGCATGCCCAAGCAGTTTCTGTTTGGCTGGATGAGGCTAAATGGAGCGGCAAGGGCTCGAGAAGAGATAGTCTGATGTGGTATAGAAGGCTGTGCAGCTGACTGGACTTACAGATGACTGGTACCAGCAGTGTCAAGATCAGCCTCTGTGGTGGAGGTTAGTGAAGGACCCTGCTGGGGAGTTGGAAGCAGAGGAGCGACGCTCACAACAACCGAGCATAGTGCCGGGTGGTTAAAACGTAGAAAGTTGATAGTTGGTAGCACAGTTGATGCATCTTTCAGTCATCTCAGTCAGTCAACCCATGGCACCTGGGTCTGTTCCATGATCTCCTGCCAACGGTCCTTTGACACATTACGTGACCTCAAAGTGCACCTGGCCTGGCACAGGCGCAGTGGGGACGTCATTTTCACTTGGTGGCGAACGGTGGTTGTTGTTGCAGGCCGGAGGAGAAGCTGAAGCAAATGGAGAAGAAGGTGATGCTGCTGGTGGAGGAGAGCGTCATGGCAGGCAGCCGTGGGGATCTGACCCTGGTTAGCACCGTACATGCATTTCCACTGCACACTTTATGATGGCGAAATTACTCGTTATCATTAATCTCTCATCAACACTGCACAACGATACCACAATGCTCACTTGCTGGAGGTGGCATATTCCTTTGTACACAGCTATTGAACTGTATACACATTGCGTAATTTTTGTTTGGAATGTATTTTATTGTCTGCATTTTTCCAAAAAAATATTACTACATTCGCAGTTATTTTATTCATAGGTGCAGTACGTTAATGGTTTCAATGGAATAGAACTTAGTTGTCACAAACATACAAAAATGCTTGTTTCTGTCACGTACAAACCAGAGTAAGCTTACTCTTAGGTTTTTTCGGTAAAGTCACGTAGGTAAAAAATAAAATTAAAATTAATAAAAGGTAAGCCCCAAGCAGTATATATACAAAGTCGGGTCTCTTAGAATTTCTCTTTACTTGATACAGCAATCGTGCTGTGACGGTTCCACCTGAAGACGGAAGCTTGTGTTGCCTCCGAAACGTCGTGATTTTTATTTTACTTTTATTAATTTTAATTTTATTTTTTACCTACGTGACTTTACCGAAAAAACCTAAGAGTATAAATCCTTGCAGTCACGAAAGCTTTAAATCATGTTGGAGCAGGAAATCAGGATCGCTAAATTCAAGGGGTTCGAATCCACACAACGACCCAGGTTCACACGTGCAGCATGTGGATTGGACTCAGCCTGGTCGCAAATATTTATGTCACAACTAATTTGGCTTAAGCCAGTGCCAAGGGATAGACTTTTACTAAACGCAACCCAGCTCACAGATGTCCAGTAGTTTTCACAGGTGTCTCAACAAGGTTATATAATTCAGCTCCTGGTTGAATAAAGCATAGTTACTGACTGTGTAAAAGTGTGTAATGTGGTATTGATTATATTCTGGGAAACACTCAATATAGCATGCAAGTGCTCATCTGGTACTGGATGGAGTGCCTCTTGAAGTGATACTATGAGTAGAGTACGTCTGTGATATCATCTGCCAGAACTGTCTGCTAGCATCCTGCTTTGTCAGCAAGGCACATTTAAGTCCTGATAGAATGTTATTTTCACTCATGACATAACTATTGGAACAATTGTGATACTATCGGTGTAAAAACATACGTGCTAGGTGCCGCACATGTAAACTTTAGTCTTTGGGTACGATTACGCATTTATTAAAACACACAGACCTGTACATGTAGGGAACAGAAAAGGTAACGCGTGCACCTGCAAGCTGGAAAATTCTGTAGATTGTGTGGCATCACAGCGCATGTTGCGTGCATGACTTAACAATCTTGCCAGGAGGAGAATTGACAGTGGGTGTTGGTGAGAATCAGCACCAATATGGCACTCTCTTGGTGAAAGCAAACATCAAACTTGAGCCATTACTGTGGCCAGGGCAGCTTGGGGCTTACCGACGTGCGTTTGCTGCACCTCTAGACAGATTCACATGCGCACTGCACCCTCTCTGTAAACGTATGGAATGTCCCAGTAGTCTGGTACTTGCAGAAAATAATACTGGTGGGCAACAGACTAAACTAAACTATTTTTTATGTTACCAGTTAAGGCCCACCGAGCTATACAGCTCTTTTTCAGAAATGATATCTCAGCGAAGTGGCTTATCATGTGGAAATTTGTAGCAGCCAAATACTTTTAAAGGCATGTTTCTAAATTTGGAGGGAAAAATCGGAGGACTCGGAGAAAAATCCACGCGACCACAGGGAGAGAGCCATGAAAGCTCCGAATATACAGGCGTCAGGCTCAGGATCGAACCCATGCTTTCCTGGTCGTGGGTTCGATGGCGTCGCACCGGCACGGCCATCAAGCTCACCGTACGTGCCACTGATGTGCCTCTGAGCGTACCCAATGGATACGGCCTCTCCTAAGGGGGTGACTGCTTGATTTCTATGTTTAGACTTAAAACTTTCGTGACTAACGGAGTTCATCTTCTTGGTTCTTTCAGTGAAGTCATGTAGATAGAAAACAAAAATTAAAAGCAAAAAACCCACGACGTTTCGATCGCAACACAAGCGGTCTTTTTCAGGTGGAGAGAAAAGAGGGGGCAAACCTCCAAATGTAGCTGCGTATAAGGGCTCCGGAGTGAGTGGGCGGGGGAAAGGGCTGCGTAAGAGACAGGGGGAGAGAGAGGGGGTGGGGAAGAGATAGGGGAGGGGAGGAGAGAGGGGTAGAGATGGGGGAGGGAGGAATTGCACCTCGGTACACCCATTAGACAATGGGGGGGGGGGGGGGCGGGTAAGGAATGGGAGATAAACAAATTCAAGTGCTCCACTTCCAATTTGATTTCGCTGCTCGGTCCCTCCAACAGTGGACGGCAGCAAGAATCGGTGGGATGCATTGAGGGGAACATGAAGCTCAGCCGCACGCTTCCATCAGCCAATCACGTGGCTTTGGCCAAGACGGGCGATCGCTGGCACTTTTATCGGTTCCCCCTGATGTCATTGGCTTATCGTGTAATTAACAGCTTAGCTCTGCCGGCTTAATCATACGTTCTATATTTACCTGACCTGAATGCGATGGTGAGCAATTGCTGGAGGTCACAGGCAACTCATCTTATTTTGGGCAATGTGTCTCAGCAGTGCTTGGAATCTCAGTAACTCTGCCTGAACTTCAGTGTTGCAGACCGTGGAATGCTTTCATTACATCCGCCTCTCCCTTAATGACTCTTGCATCACTAGGGAAGTTTGTTTCTTTCTGAGAATAATTGTAAGCCTCAAACATGCACTAAATCAACGTTTTTAATTATTAAACTATTTAAAATATGCAATGTGTTTCAAGGGTATTAAAAGTTGAACATTTTTGTAAATATTAAGTATTATTAATTTAAATTTTTTTTATGTAGACCACAGACAACATATTTAATAACATTGCACAAATACACGTGGATGATCAGAATGGGAAAGGGTTACTAGTCAATATGATATCTCTAACTGAAATGTTCTGATCAAAGTGTTCACTTTGATCAGAACATTTCACTTCTACGGGGAAGTTTTAAGTTAGTTTTTTCTCTCTCTCTCTGGATTTTTTCGTTGTCTCTCTCTGCTTGTGTATCGGTCTTCGTGTCTGTGTTTTTTCAAATTTCACACGTAACTTCTAATTTAGCAATCTTTGGAAGAACGTAATCAACCAGGCTATGCGTAAATTGTGTGTTGACCGACCCTCTGTGTTGCATTGCATTACATTTCGAAATTTTTGCTAGGTTAGTTAATTTAGTGTGTCTCTCTCCCTGCCTCCTAATTTTTTCAAGCTTTCGTACCGTACCACTCATCGTACTACTCATTGACATGATAATTTCTCTAACCCCTCTCTCTCCGCCCCTGCCCCCCTCTCTCAAGCTTTTTACACCTTGCCACTCACCATTTCCACTCATGGACATGCTAATTTCTCTAACCCCTCCCTCTCTCTCCGCCCCCTGCCCCCCCCTTTCTCTATTTAAGGCCTCGACACAGAGGCGTAGTGTCTCTTTGTGCCTATGTTTGCTCTCTCTCTATGTATCTCTGTGATATCTGTCTGCTTATATGTCTGTCTATGTTTCTGGTTCTGTGTTTAATCTCTCTCTCAAATTTAGCATTCTCAGGAAGAACGTAATCAACCAGATAGGGTGTTGACTGTTATGTTATCCGACTCTCTGTTGTATTACATTAGATTTCTAAGTATACTAGATTTGTGTTTCTATTTAATTTATACCTGATGATGATTGCTTGTGTTGCAATCGAAACGTTGTATGCTAGTATTTAATTTAATTTATTATTTTATCTTTATACGTGACTTTACCGAAAGAACCAAAGAATAATTCCTGCAGTCACGAAAGCTCCAAATCATTGTATTGTTTGTTGTAACGTTCTGACCTGCCCCTCCTTGACATCTGTGAAAAAGAGCTTTATAGCTCATCAGATTCCTCGAGTATAGATACATTTGGATGATTCTGCCTTCCCGAGCTACAGAAACGAGTATCGGTGGTGGGCGTTGTCACGAGTGCAGGCGCTGGAGAAAGCGAAGGATGCGGGGCGCAAGGAGAGGACGCTGGTTAGAGAGCGTGAGCAGGCGGCAGCCAGCGACAACACTAACCTCGACCTCACCTACGCCGTGAGCACCGCACGCAGCACGTTCAGTGGGCAGCCTTCAATCGCTGCAGAAAAGGGCATGGATGACAGATGTGATCGCTCTTCTTTCATCGATGGATAATGAAGAACAGTCAGCTACATGACTGCTGCAGCTACTAGAGCCCACACTGCCTATTCACATACCGTGGATCACATGATCCAACACTGCCCCCACCGCCTATTCACAGACCATGAAACACATGATCCAGCACTGCCCACACTGCCGATTCATGGGTAATATCGCCGATATCCACCAAGCCTCCACAGAGCCTATTGAATGGCTAATATCATCGATGTACACGTCATGTTACTAGTTTCACCTTGCCATACAAAAAAATAAGTACGTTCGCTTGACGCAGCATGCTCACCATCCTGCACACACAACCGACACCCACGTCATCATCAATCTTATTAACATCGATGTCAGTTTATCAACATTTATCAACTCGGTTTGTTTTTGATGACCAAGTCGTGTCTATATTTGGCTGACCTCACTCAATGACTTTTGGCAGCCAGCGCTTTGAACAAATGACCAAAATAACTTTTGGTAGGGTCACACTTCAAATGTGGAGATCTTATAGAAGAAGCTGACAATCACCATTGGAACCTCTTTGCCAGTAAAAAATATGATAATTGTTTTTTTACCCTTCTATTTGGCAACAAAACTGACACCTTTTTTTACAAGGAGTCATGTTTGCATAGACCACAATACCTGCAGCGATAATGCAAACAAAAAACACAACTCTGATAATGTATGCACTGTCCTTGAAGTTGATTGGTCCACACCCGAGACAGCTTTCCTTAGAGCCTAGTCTCACATGGTGTTGGACCAGATGACGCCAAAAGGCGTCATCTGGTCCAACACTATGTCCAACACCATGTGAGACTAGGCTCTAAGGAAAGCTGTCTCGGGTGTGGACCAATCAACTTTAAGGACAGTGCATACATTATCAGAGTTGTGTTTTTTGTTTGCATTATCGCTGCAGGTATTGTGGTCTATGCAAACATGACTCCTTGTTAAAAAAGGTGTCAGTTTTTTGCCAGATAGAAGGGTAAAAAACCAATTATCAAGCTGACAATCATTTACGATTGGGATCAGATCCAGTAAGATTTTTGTCAGTGAATTGGGTGATCAATCTATGATGATGATGGAAATCAAAAGCAGATCACATTATGATTGGCGTATTAGCTTATATTCTTTCCTTTAAAATTGAGAGGTCATAACAGTCATTTCCATTGATAATTACCATGACTTCCTTTATTTTTTCAGATTCCAGATATGTTACACAATTGACACTTGACCTCTGTTATGCACACTACTCCCTATGTACGAAAAAGTAATCTACCTTCCTCCACATTGTCATCTCACAATCTTACTCGTGATGGAGGTGTAGGCACACCGCTCTCCGCTTAGCTTTGGAAAATCCCACCACGTATAAAATTGCCAAATGCAGCAGTTTTCCAGCCAAGGTCTTGGTTAACAAACCTGCATTGTCTGCATAATCCAAATATATCAAGGTGATTTTTTTAAATGTATTATTTTGGGATGTGGTCGTCACTGGTGTGATAGCGTTGGGTTTTCCCATCCCTCGTGCCGAGAAGGCGGTGGTGCCACCCTGTCTCCTTGAACTGATTGTTTTCGATTGTCCACTTGAAGGTTTTATTTTTTAAGGACAACTTGTGAAAATTCGCGATTGTCAATTCAGTTCTACCTGATTCTGCTCAAGATGTCCTCGATTATAAGGCTGCTTTTCTTGAAATTTGTATTGAGGGTATTTCGGCCAATATTTGGTGCGTCCGCTCATTCTCCACTTTGCTATCGACAGCTAGAAATGTGGATGTGGTAATGGCAGTGACACCCTGATTGATAGACTTAAGTAGAGGAAACAACACATGTCCTTGTAGATATGTTAGTTCTTCTATTTGGTACTGTTGTGAATTGTACTTGACGGACATTCATTTGTCATATCATAATTTGCTGCGATTGACTCGTGATGTTTGTGTGATTGTGAACTGTTTCTAATCGTACAGGTGATGTTTAACTTGGGTAACCAGTACGCTGCTAATGAAATGTACTCGGAGGCACTGAGTACCTACCAAGTAATTATCAAGAACAAGATGTTCAGTAGTGCAGGTGAGTGCCTCATTTGCCTTGTAGGTGTGTTGCCTAATAATCATTGGTTAAACATCGCTGACTTCGAGTTAATTTGCTGTCAAATACGGTAAGTCCTCACTTAACGTGTGTGCACATAACGTGTTTTCACTCTAACACGGTTTATCTATTGGGGAACACCTTTTGCGCAACGTGGAATGCGTCTTTTATAACGCGGAACGCGCCCCATTATAGCATGGTTTCTGAGCTGATCGACGACACAACTACTTTCTTGAGCTGCTAGGCTGAGCCATATGGGCATTACTGGGTAATCGTGTGGAATGACGCCGTACTTAGCGGCGTACCCTCATCTCAGTATTTTTGTTGTTAATTATTTGTATTGATCCAACCAGAGGGGGGTGGGTGTACAACTTCTGCGACAGGTGAGTGGTGCATAGCGGCATCGGTGGCTCGGACAGACAACCAACGCTGACGTGTAGGACCGTACGTAGCATTATGTAGTACGTGCGTCAGATCCCATTTTTTCCGGGAAGGAAGGGGGAAAGATGGGGGCGGGGAGTCAGTCTTATTTCAGGTTCAGTCAAGTCGACTCTGGGTCTCTGGAGTGGCAGTCACGAGGGGGGCCCAGATTTGGGTGAACTCCCCTTCCCTATTCCTCAGCTTCAGACTCAGGTGTTCTAACGCTGCTAGGGCGAATAGGGAGTTATGCCAGAGGGTTAATGAGGGGGCCCCATGATTTTTCCAGGAGCTCAGGATGGTTTTTCTCACTGGAATGTTGAATGCTTAGAGAAGAGTGTGTTGGTGCCTGGGGATGCCTTCGAGTTTAAGGCCCAGGAGGGAGGATTCACCTCATCTCAAGTCTTTTGTCCCACCATAGGAGGACTGCAGGCTCATTTTATTGTGCAAATGTGATTCACATTTGCATTGATTTATTTATGCTCCGCAATGTATTTACAGTAATTCCTCGCTGAACGCATTTATTCGCTTCACGCGCCACTTTTCAGGAACGCATCTACTGCATTAAATAAGGAACTACTCTAAATGTATTCTGTGGTAATCAGGTAAATAATAATATTTTGTCTTTAAATTTTGGGTAACGACAATCAAAGCATGTAGTTAACTAGGCAAGCCCTTTTTTGGGTTTATCTTTTGCAAGACGTCACATGGGCTTTCATAGCTACAAGGCTTCTTAAGTTTTATAGTCATGACAATGTTAAAGGCCACCCTAATCCTTTTTTTATTGGTGGCTGGATGAGGATGCTGATGGATCAGGGTACTGAACATAAATAATACATAGCCTCTTCTGGGCGAGCGAGTTATTGTAGAAATTCGCACAATACCATGCAGATTCTGTTTCAATTGTTAGTATTTGGATTTTATACGCGAGTGTGTCTACTCATAACAAGTATAGTATTATACAAATAACAGTCTCCTGGGTAATATCTCATGATTAAATGGTACTTCAATTACTATTTTGGTATGATTAACTAGCTCTGCATATTACTTGATCATGCCTTCACTACTTTTTTGGTAATTACAGATTTATTTTGTCACGGTGTTTTAAAAACTCTTGAAATTCCATGTATGGTTGTGTCTGTGTGTGTGCATCAGGTCGGTTGAAGGTGAACATGGCCAATGTTTACCTCAAGCAAAAGAATTTCCCAAAGGCAATCAAGTTCTATCGCATGGCCCTGGACCAGGTGCCGTCCAGCCAGCGAGAGATGAGGTGATGATAACTTATGAATACAATCGGTTATTGTTATTATTATTATTGCTACGTTCAGCCTCTGCTCTTGGCTGAGATTACTTATTATTATTACATTCCAACATCAAACGGCCGGTGCAAATAGCACCGTCAAAGATATAACAAATGAGAGTTAAAACATTTCTTAAATTGAGCAAGGTTTTTCTAAGAGCTTTGGAAAAAAGACCTGCAGTGTTGTATATTGAGTTGCCGAGTGGGTGGGTGACTGAGTTAGTGGCTAAGTGAACGATTGGATAGCTGAGTGAGTGAGTTGGTGAGTGAGTGGGTGGGTGAGTGGATGGGTGGGTGAACGTGTGTGTGTTTTGTGACCTGTACTGTGATGGTTGAACAGACTGTGGATGAGATGCAACGGGCAGTCTGGTATACCGAGTTGTCAGCGTGCGTGGAGCAAGCAATGAGTGAAGTTCACGGGAACAGTGACCATGGTTGTAGTAGCGATAGAAGAGTGATAAGGAGGTGACTGACCACCGGTGAGCGAGTGACTGAATTGAATGGGTGACTACCGGCTTTATTTGCATTGAATGCTATTGAGTGCAGCAAGGTAGGAGCTGTCTACTCCGTCTGAGCTAAGCATGATGGCACACCACTAGTCTAGAACTTTGGAGGCAAAGGTTGGTGGAACGCACAAGCAAGTAGAACACGAAAACCCACTGCGTTACAAAGGGTGTTCGTCCGTGCGGATCTTTGAGTATTACACCTCGTATAAGCTTCCTCATATTTAAAAATAAACATTATATTATGTTCTAGATTTGAATCTTTCGTGACTGCAAGGATTCATACTCTTAGGTTTTTCGGTAAAGTCACGTAGGTAAAAATAAATAATAATAAAAATACTATAAATAATAGAAATAAAAATGATAAATCACGACGTGATTTACTGTAACCAGCTGTGACGGTCCCACCTGATGACGGAGACTTGTGTTGCCTCTGAAACGGCGTGATATATAATTTTTATTTCTACTATTATTTATATTATTTTATTTTTATTATTTATTTTTACCTACGTGACTTTACCGAGAAAACCTAAGAGTATCATATTATGTTTTTAATATAATTTAGATGTCTAATTATTATTGTAATCTTAACAGGCTAGATGTAATGGTATTATGCTATCATTTCCAGAATCTGATTGAAAGCATTAATATGGTTGATTGTAGAGGAACCTTTTATAAACCCAGCTTTTACATATGGTCAGTTGGCCTATACAATTATATGTATGTACTTGTGTTAATCTTCTTTCGCACTGTATGTAGCCAACCGTGCTAATCGGAGGTGCGGGGGAAGAACAACAAACTAAACACAAAAATCTATTCTAAAGAAATGAGTTTCCAATATAGATGATTTAAAAGTGCATAGCTCCAGTCTCTTCCTAATATTGGAAGGAAGAGCATTCCAGATGACCGCAGAAGCGCATCTGAAAGCGCGCGATGCAGTGACCATATTTTTTCGATGATTAGCAAAGGCCGCTGCGATGGTTTTTGTTCCTTGACAAGATCAGCGAGGTATTGTGATTCATTTGTGACAAGCACTTTGTGTGTAATAAGCGTGACCTGTTGCAATAATTTTCAAGGACAATTTGTATCCATCTGATGAGTGGCTAATGGGTCTATAAAGCCAGTGTTATAATCCCGTATGCACAGAAGAACGATTCTGTGATCAAGGTATTTGATTTCAGTGTAAACATTTCGTAAATAATCTTGATTTGAAGCAAAGAATTGTATTTAGTAAATAGGTCCACTTATTTTGTTCCAACAACTGGTGTCACTTCTCTGATAATGTCCGCACTTACACCATCTGGTTACCCCAGGAGCTTTCCCCTATTATATAATTGCGAAGGGCAGCATTTACTTTCTCATCGTGAATCAAATACTTTTTTGCCATATCAGTGTCTTACCCATGCTTATTAACCCTTTTCCCATTGCGAGATGACTGCAAGTTGCAGGCTGTGGTGCCGTTCACCGCTGAATCTCGGAATGCGCAAGCGGTTCAGAGTTAGTTTTATTTAGAAAGGCATAGCGCCGCTGATTTTAAAGGCATTCTACTCACAGCAAAGAACTGTAGCGACACGACCACCGCACTCTATGATAGCTGGCGCCAAACTCTCACACGCCCTCCCGCATGGCCTTGTGGGATCCTCGGTACCGATAAAGTTATTCTATTTTAGTTTTTCTTCCGATTACGTTACATTTAAAGTTGTACATATTAACTTTACTCCTGTTAAAAAAAAATAACACGGTGTTGCTGCCTCGCTCTCAACCTCTGCGCCTCCCGCAGGATGAAGATAATGCAGAACATTGGCGTGGCAGTTCTTGCGCGTGGGCCATTACACCGAGGCGGTGTCGGCTTTCGAGCACATCATGAGCGAGAGCCCCGATCTGCGCGCTGCCTTCAACCTGACGCTCTGCTACTTTGCGCTGGGCGAGCATGAGCGCATCAAGCGAGCCTTCCAGCGCCTCGTCGCCGTGCCCCTTGGTGTCGGGGATGAGGACCGCTACACGCCACACAACGTGAGCTCAGCGCTCGCGTCGTCACTCACTCTTATAACTATAATCGTTGTTGTTACGCTTGTTTAGCGAGGAAAGCCTCAAATCCCCGAAACTCTGCCTCGAGTTTGCTTAGTTTTAGGTGACATGCGCAGGTGAGTGAACTGCAAAGTGGGGCTCAAGATAATTTGACCAAAACTAAAGTTAATAAATACAATAATGCACAAGGACACAACTGGAAAATACAGTGGAGTAAGCTGAAAATAAAAATTTAGAAAAATATACAATGCAACTGGTATGGACCAGACATACCTATGCTGAAAAAACACTCAGAAAATTGCTCAGTTGGGATTACACAGAGTAGGCTACTCGTACAAAAGAGTATTCAGACTCATTGAGGTTTTTCTGGACAAATAAGTGTGATAAAATAATGACAGAAATAATGACATGTATGCCTAGGGCAGTTATTGGAGGCACGAGAAGGGATGCCGTTCATTGGTAAACACTCACGTCAGCCAATGGAGGGAAGATGTGCAGGAGGTTCACTGTGGAGATAGAGCGTTTAATTAGCTCATGTGCAAGTTCTTGTTGTATTGATGCATGGCAGTAACGTGAGGGATGGTGATGACTTGGGAAGACTTTCATCCAGCAGTGGATTGATCATGGCTAGTGATGATAATGAAGTGAACACAGCTTACTTGCACATGCTGTTTTCTTGCATGTGTTTGTGGGTTCTTGTATGCATGTTATATGAGGAGCGGTAGTTGTAGCGGTTAGTGCGCTGCACCACAAACCCGGCAACCCGGGTTTAACTCCCACTCACGGCCGACACTTGTGTCGATTATCTGAACCGGTCCTGGACCTCCCCTAGATGGACTCAGCCACAAATGGGTACCTGGTGCAGTGTGTAAACATTACTACTAGGGAGACAATGGCCGTCGGGCATGGGGCTAGCCACCCATCCTCTTGTGTGCCGTACCGGCCTTCATAGGTGCTACTCACGAACAGCACTTGCCCCAAAAGTCTGTCAAGGCTATACGGGAAATCTTTGTTGTTTTTGGTTTTTTATGTGCGTGTGTCCATATCTGTGTGGATTGCAGGAAGATCCGCACACTAACTTGGTGATAGACGCCATCAAGAATGATATGCTGCGGCAAATGGAGAGGGAGAGGTGAGGTCGGAAAAATATCGAAAGGGAAACCCCCATGAAGCACGAACGACCGAAAACTAATATTTTGAGAGGTCGTGAGTGACCCTCGATTCCTCGCAGTAATCAAGGGGAGGAGTGGCATGGCTTAAATAAAAATATGTCCATGGGACCATTTTACCAGTATTCAAAATGAGTCCGCCTCCGCTTATATTGCCGCAGGCGCGGCTAGGCTCTGCCTTTGGCCACGCCCTCTCGTGGAACTTTCTAGCCGGTTCTCGGAGTTTCTCGGCCGGCCCTGCCCTTCACCTTTGGCCTAGATACCTCTCCCTTTGGGGATTGGATAATGTTTATAATGGTGCCTGTTCCCTTTTCCAACCAGTAGATGTCAATAAGAATATGTCACTATCTCATTGCAAAGGTTTAAAATGGCCGTAGCTCAAGTATCAGCAGCATGGGCGGGGCAGTTAATGTTAAGGTAAGTGATGGTAGTAGTGAGCAACGACGGCGCTGGTGGTGGGTTTCCACCAATGAAAGGGCTGCCAGGTAAAGGTTAAACATGGGTGTAAATCAGGTGTAGCAGCATGGGCGGGGCAGCTAATGTTAATGAAGTGATGGTAGTAGTGGGCAACGGTGGCGCTGGTGGTGGGTTTCCACCAATTAAAGGGCTGCCAGGTAATCATTGCACCTCGCTTTACACAATCACATTGTTGACGGTGGAGGTTGCTGCTAGAGGTGATGGTAGTAGTGGGTAATGATGGTGCTGGTGGTGGGCTTCCACCAACAAAGGGCTACTGCTAGTGGTGATGGTCGTCGTGGGCAGTGATGGTCCTGGTGGTGGGCTTCCACCAATTAAAGGGCTGCCAGGTCTAAAATGGAAACATTACAGCCAGTTATGACTTGAAATGGTTGATAACATCTTTCCAGTGATTGCTGAGTTTGTACTAGGGCTGAACGATTTGGGTAAAATATCTAATTGCGATTTTTCTGACATATTGCGATTTGATTTGCGATTCAATTTATGAAAGTCAAGCTTCAGTTCAATATTCACTGTGTAATAGATTTAAAACATGTGATGCAGCATTACCACATGCTACCATCGAAATATGAATTGCTCTATATATTTTAATGCAAGGATGAGAACTTTAAAGATATGAATTGCTTCAAACATGAATTTGTTTGAGTCCAACTGAGTCGCAGACGTTGCCTTGGGAGCAACACTTTATTTCAGTAACTCAACATAACATAACACAACCTACACTTGGGTGTTGAATGCCCATCTAGCCACGCTACGGCAGAACTAGACATGGTTCACTATCCTGGCCCGGACCACAAGCTGGGTCCCGGACCGCGTGGCTAGAGGCTTCTTTAACCCGACGTGGATCTTCTTCACCACCAACACGAAGAATCTCGAGCCCCTCACGGGCCCCCGATATATCCCCCAAGGCTGGGGCTGGCTCCGCCCTTTGCCCCGCCCACCTTCCAGATCTCTCGAGCTCTTTCCCGAAGGCTCCTTTTATACCACGTGACCGCCCAGCGGCCCCCGTCCACCGGTGGCCCCCCTCCAATATCATCCAGTCACGTGTCGGCAGGTCAACCAGTGTATCATGCCCCAACGTAACCCTGGCTGGCTGACACTCCCTCTCGCTCCCTCACCGGGAGCCCGTACCGCACACTGTACGTGGTGCCTCTACGCTGACCAGCGCTCGCACAAGCCCCGCTAGGGCTGGTACTACGCCCAGTAAGTGGGCTACACATAATGCCAACACATTATCCGCCGTGGCTTCGTCAGCTCGGCACCACACAGTGACATACACAGTCACTATAGATTTATTAAAATGTTTTAATTGAAATAGAATAATCAAACATAGAACAATTGTTCAGTTAAATAAATAGTTATAATAATTAAAAAGTAAACTATTCCAATACGAAAGTCATAGGACTTTTCAAATCGCAGCTTCTGCGATTTGCTTATCGCATTGTTTCAAATTGCTATTTCGATTTGAAATCGATTAATCGTTCAGCCCTAGTTTGTACCCATTTTCTCGGTTAAAATTGTGTCTATGTCTGTATATATGGATGGCTTCATGAACGAATCTTTGTTGATAGCCAGTGGGTCTGCAAAGTACCTTCGTCTTAGATAAATAAATTTTAATGATCAGCCACGGCAGAAGTATTGGTCCTACCGTGTTTCAAATCTGCCTTAGGTTCACGAATACGGTCCGAGACATGTCGTTTGGTTTCCCCATTGTAGCTGCTGCCGCAGATACAGCTTAGTTTGTAGACGCCGGGATATTGCATGTCAGGGATCTTGTCCTTCACAGAGGCGATCAGATGATGAATTTTATGTACTGTTTTAAATTGGACTTGGATCTTGTGTTTGTTCATGATTTTGGAAGTCTTTTTGGTTACCCCTGCTATGTATGGCAAGGTGGTGGTTTTGATTGGATCCTCAGATGGCTCCTTCCTCACGGTTGGGGTAATGGCTTTGCGGATTGTGTAGTCAGTGTAGTCAGAGTATTCATTCCCCTTAAGAGCGAATGGATAAATAACAAAATAACTCAACACATTTGTCAATAATGCTGCCTTGAAAAAAAAGTGTATAATAATAGTAATTATACCTCTCTGGCCCATCAGTGGGCTGTGAGAAAGGGCCATTACCCAGATCATCTCCTATTTTTATAATTTCTTGGTGTAATAGGTTTACTCGCTGATGTGTTGGCAGTCATGGTCACAAGGGCACTGAATTGTGTGTGAGGAGCAGAGAATAATTAAACCAGAGCATGGATGGGGATATTCGAATTATTCTTACCACAGGCATGGTTAATCCACAACCACGGATAATCCACCCACTAAGAATCGAGCGTTAACTAATAACATTCAAATTAATAATATGAAACAATAGTCACTCACAACTGTGTTTTCATCAATTGTTCGAGGGTCGGCAAGCTGTGGTTCCGGAGCCGCGTGCAGTGGCTCTTTGTCTTCCTCCTTGTGGGCAGCCGTTTTTTTCACTTAAATCTGAAACACAACTTAACATAAAGATAATTGATGAAATATGGCAGGAAATGGGTGCACTATAAAATGTCTTGGTGACAACAAACTGTACAACAGTCAAAACTGTATTGATAAAGAATAACTCAGGGGGGGGGGGGGAAACAAAATAGATGAAGTTTATTCCGTCACCTATTTTGTTGATTTAAGTCAGAATGTGTGTTGTCATCTGTGGTGTCCCTGCTGCTGCTGTGTCTGTGCACAAGCAGCTGTGCGTGTGATGTGGCTCTCCAACTATTTTGGTTAAAAAATGTCTCTTATGCTTTGAAAGTTTCCTACCCCTGGAGTAGATGATATTGCTAAATTCCAGGTACGAACAGCACACCCTTGACTTGACCATTGCTGCATACAATGTGCAGACCATCTTAAGAATCAAGCCTTGCCAATACTTATTTTACACAAGGCTTTCACAACCAATATGATTTATAACCTGGATCAGGAGGTCCTTTCATGCCAGAGCTGAGCTCTGTTTAAATCCAGTAACGTTGGATTTAATCTCCAGCTAGGCTGAGTCGACAATTTTACTTGCTTTTCAACCAATCAATTGGAATATATTTGACCACGTGACAACTTGAATTGATTTCCTTTGTCGAGTGGTCGAGGGTTATAGTTGACAATAAAAGGCAACTAAATTATGAATATTGCCAAATTGGAGACAGAATTGAGGAAACATACAATTAGACATTGTTAGCATTTATAAGTATATATAGTCTCAGTGTGTGTCTTCTAAATGGCACTATGTCATGGGGATGACAGTGTAATTGAAAAATGAAGACGAAGTTGACGAGGAGAAAGAGCTGTACAAGAGTGGTAGCACCAAATAAGCAGCAAGGGGTGAGTCAGTCTTATGAGGGAGTAGTTTCAAGTTAATGTCAATCCACCAGGTGGTGAGAACTCGAGACCAGAATGGGTCTCATTTGCAAGAGTGACGACCTTGGTGACAATGAGCAAAAACAGAAGAAAAAAAAACCAAAGTGCAGAAATGAAGTAAAGCAATTGGAACAAGAAGCAAACGAATCACCGTGTGAGACAAATTGCATATGTTGCACAAACATGAATCAAAAGTTAAATCGAAGCTAAATATTACATTCCTTGGAGTGCAACATTTTCCTGGCCAGTTTACCTTTAGATTGATCTCAGCACAAATTTCAAAACTATAGAAACGTAAATATTAAACAGATATAGGCTGAATTTCGATTTAAATCTTTCGTGACTGCAGGGATTCATCTTCTTGGTTCTTTCGGTGAAGTCACGTAGAAGGGAAATAATAAAATAATAATTTATCATGCTTTATTTTTTTTTATTTCCCTTCTACGTGACTTCACCGAAAGAACCAAGAAGAAGATATAGGCTGACTATAATGCTCTTATGTGCGCAAACTAGGAGTTATGTCAATAGCAGGCATGTTTGTCTATTGTGGATTTTGACTTGAAATCAGGGTACAACTTTTATGTGATTGTGTATGTACTGCTTTGTGAGCAGTGGTAGTGCAGAGGTTCACACACTGCTGTATGAACCCGGCGACCTGAGTTCAATTACTGCTCACGGCCAACATAGGTTACGATGATCTGAACTAATCATGAGCCTCCCCTAGGTCGACTCGGCCTCAAATTAGTACCTGGTGCTGTGTGTAAACATCACCGCTGGGGAGACAAAGGCGGCCGGGCGTGGTGCTATCCACCCACCCCCTTGTGTGCCGTGCCGTCCTTCATAGGCCCTATTCGCTAACAGCACTTGCCCCAACAGTCTGTTAAGGCTCTACGGAGGATCTTTGTATTTTGATTGTGTTGGCGATGGTGGCCACGGTGCAGCGTTGACGCATGATGCACTGCTCGGGGTATGCAGACGCACCATGGCCGAGCGTTTCATCATGACGGCAGCCAAGCTGATCGCCCCCGCTATCGAAGAGACCTTTGTGGCGGGATACGACTGGTATTGTTCACCAATTTGTTAACTGGCTTTTACGAGCAAAGCTGTTCACTTACAATTTCAGATACAGTCACGTCTGAATAAAAACATGCAATGCATTTTTTACACAGTGATACATAAAATACTTTATTGTTTTTTTAAACAATCAAATAAACATCAACCTCAATGAAGTTAAATACATTTTTACATGAAATCGTGTTGCCTTTTTAATGCTGGACCCTGCCATAGGATTGTTGCATTTGTACCATTCACTCAGGACCGTTGCTGATGTTTAAGTTTAGTTTAATTTGTTTACCCGGTGAGAACTCAAGAGACCAGGATAGTCTCAATGGCACGAGTGGCCTAGGGTATGAGTCTGTTCGTAGAGGGCAATAATTGCTATGGCTAGTCTTGATTCATTAGCGCGGTGGTTGCTAATCAAACCACCGTGCTAATCAATCAGGAGTAGCATGTTTGGTGCCTCTAATTAGTACGGTTGGCTATGTATGTTGCGAATGAAGTTCAACCTACATACATTTAGTAATTTGCGGGATATCTTAGAATTTGGAAAATGGCCTACTCTTGCAAATGACGTCATGGGTTGTTTAATCTCCACTGTGAGTGATGGCAAGTAGCGTTATGGTGGTTATTCCACACCGCAATAATAATCGGGGCGACCGCTTGATTTTAACCGTGATGCACTGCAACGAACGATGAAGGCACTACCGCTGGGCCATGTCACCACCAGTGGAGACGAGCATCACACATGTATGTGTGTATGTTGAACTTCTTTCGCACTGTACGTTGCCAACCATGAGAATCGGAGGTGCGGGGAAAGGACAACAAACTAAACACAAAAAGCAGTTCTAAAGAAATGAGTTTTCAATCTATGATTTAAAAGTGCATCGTGACAGTAGCTTCCTAATATCAGAAGAGCGTTCCAGACGGCCTCCGAAGTGCATCTGAAAGTGCGCGATGCAGTGACTCTCTTTGTCCGATGGTGTTTACACACGTGCTGCAGGTGTGTGGAGACGGTGAAGGCATCCCAGTATGTGGAACTGGCCAATGACCTGGAGATTAACAAGGCCATCATGTACCTCAAACTGAAAGACTTTGATCAGGTAGGAGCTAAGAGTGATGGAAGCACAACAATTCATCGTGATGGTGATTGGTGCTTGCACGTTTTTGTTATGTTTTTTTGGTATGTTCACCAATTAAATCTAGCTTTTTAGAAAAAAACTAAATATCAGATACTCAAGTAAACATTTGGTTTTTAAGTTAAGGGTGCAATGCCATTCAAGTAACGCAAGGATTGTATAGTACCGCTTATGGTTTGCGTAAATGGGTGTCAGTATGCCAGTGAACTGCACTGTTGCCGTTGGACTGTCCAAGCCCCTGCACGGGTTGTGTCGGTGTCTTGTGTGCAGGCTGTTGAGGCGTTGAAGATGTTTGAGAAAAAAGACACGCGTGTGAAGAGTGCAGCCGCCACCAACTTGGCATTTCTCTTCTTCCTGGTACATACTCTGTGGGGTCACGACCTTTCTTCGAGGTCAGCGCAGGGTGGTTACGTGAGCAGCATGAACGTTAATCAAGTAGCCTCTTGCATAATGTAAGATCGAAGCCATAACAAACCATCACAAGCTCTCTGTGTTGTTGCAGAGGTTACATTTACATGTAAATTACAGATTGACATGCTAATCTCTAATCTCTAGCAATACAATGGCCGCCTCTTCAGCACCGTAATCGTGAGCTATATCAGGCTCTCCGATCTTACATTTACATGCAAATTCCATCTCTAGCCCCGTCCAGTTACCCTTGGGTTGCACCCATCTCAAACCTATATAACCTCTTGCTGCAGCAGCTCTCCCGCGATATTTTTCCTGCCTCAGCAGTTTGCCTGCTGTATTGTTTCACCTGAAGACGATTGCTCGTGTTGCGATCGAAACGTCGTGATTTTTAAAAATATTTTTCTATCTACGTGACTTTACCGAAAGACCCAAAGAGTATGAATTCCTGCAGTCACGAAAGCTTCAAGTCAAGATTTTACAAATTGATCATCAAACCCTGCTGCAAAAACTTGGCAGGACCCTCCAGAAAATCATTCAATCTTTATTTTACGTGTTAATATCGCCCTCAATAAAGTAGGCATCCGTGCACATTTCAGCATAATGGAAACATTACAGGGGGCACAGAGCAACAGGGATGAATAACGAAACCCGTCATGACCTCAGTGGCTAACACCGACTGAGCAAAGTAAATTGTAACCACGCGCAAAAAATTAAGTGCAACCGTGCCCAACAAATATCATAAGAAAGGTGAGTAGTAAATACAAATTAATAAAATAAATGAATAAAATAAATGAAATGTAAAGAGTTTTTATTTTAGATTTTATGAGAAGGCACGTCGTGCACAGACCACAGAATTCCTGTTATGAGACTCACTGAGGCTTTGCTGTAATGATAATAATATAAATAATATCATCAACATCACAGCCAGGTCACGTGCTCCATCCAGACCTGTTCGACAGCCATGTGCTATGTCATGCTACATTCCGCTTTCAATTTAACTTCATATAATTCAGATAAACATCCTGAAAAACACAACACAAGTGGTGTGTTCCTCAAGGTCACTCTGCTCATTGTTATTCCGACCGCTGTTGCAAACCCCGGATGTGAACATTGTGTGCCGAGTCAGAGTAACCCACAGACAGTGTCTGAACAGCTGCTCACCATTTACTGCCTGCCTTTGTCTATAAGGGTATTTCAATAAGTCAATGTCAAAGTTATTTCCGCTCAAATGAGCATTAAGGTGGTGTTCATCCTCCTTTTACAGTGCTGAGAAAGTGGTGGAGGTTTTACATTCCTGTGACGGTGACAAGTCTATCCATGGAATGGCCGTTATCGACTTACACGCATTTTACTGACCCCGGAGGGATGATGGGCTGAGTCAACCCCCAACAAAGATTTGACTTTGCAACCTTCAAATTGCGTGCCACTCTACTCTTAAGGAAAGAGACGTCTAATAATTCAGTATCCTTTGGTGGTGCCATTTCAGTCAAAATTGCACAGTGAATGGTAATATTTTCTTTCTGTAGATTTTACCACGAGGTCATAACTTAAATTTGGAAGAGCAGCGAATCATTACATATGTTTTTGTCCTCTGAGGGAGTGAATACAGTATGTCCTCCTATACTGCCACTTGTTTTCACAACGCGAATTGGATATAACGCGAGGAATGTATTAGGGAACACATTTTTTAGAATGCGGATGGGAAGTGGATATAACGCAATTGAGCGAACAGAACTACGTCGCCCGAGTAAGCAGTTGTACGGCTGCCTCGGTGTAGCATCATAGAAGGTGGGATGCTGCTGGATGCTTCTAGATGCTACCCACGCGCATCAGTCTTTGATCAGCCTGGGTACGCATCTCACGTGTTACTGAGGACTGTGCTTTAGCCTACATTATAATTTATTATGACACGATTTTTCCATAAAGCGGTGTTCTTCAGGAACGCAACTGCCGCGTTATCGGAGGACAGACTGTATGCGTGAAATGTATTGAAAAGTGAAGCTGATGAACGGTGAAAACTGTATGGTTTGTGTGGCATGTCGTTTACATTTCCCCTGGCACATGAGTAAGAGGGGGTAATGCTGTGTGATTCTAATTATACAGTGTGACCATAGATCACGGAATAAATAGGGGGGCCGGCTTTGCTTATTGAAACATCCTCCTGTGCCTTCTCTTCTCCCACGCCCCCCCCCCCCCCCACTGCTCTGCCCAACAGAGGAATGACGTGGCCCAGGCGGAGAGATATGCCGATGCAGCCATGGCGGCCGATCGCTACAACCCGCAGGCGCTCGTTAACAAGGGCAACTGCTTGTTCCTCGGGGGCTCCGCGGAGCAGGCGGCCGACTACTACCGCGAGGCGCTCCGCAACGACGCCTCGTGCACCGAGGCGCTCTACAACCTGGGTAGCTCGACGCCCGCTCGCACGGGGGGGGGGGGGGGGGGGGGAGACACAAAACAAGCAAAGCGGGAGAGAGAGAGAGACCGGCGTGCAAGTTCGCACACAAGGGCATGTGGACGCGTTACTGTTATTAATGGCTGATGTTTTATTTTAGCAGGTAAAACCAAATGAGATATGAGCTCTTTTTTCAGAGGCCAGCTGGCCACACGTATGTATGTATATATGTTGAACTTCTTTCGCACAGTACTTATCCAACGGAGCGTTTCGGAGATGCAGGGGAAGGACAACAAACTAAACACAAAAAGCAGTTTTTAAGAAATGAGTTTTTAATCTAGATTTAAAAGTGCATCGCTCCATGGCTTCCTAATATCAGAAGGAAGAGAGTTCCAGACGGCCGCAGAAGCGCATTTGAACACGCGAGATGCAGTGACTGTCTTTGTTCGATGGTTAGCCAAAAGCTGCTGCTGCGAGGATGATCGGATGATAGCTCATCAAAGTGGCTTATCATATCTTGGAATTTATAGAAGGAGCTAAATAATCGAAATGCATGTTTCTAAATATGGAGGGCAAAAACCGGAGGATCCGGGGAAAATACTCACGACCATGGTGAGAGAGACCTGCAAACTCCAAATATGCAGGGGGTAGGCTCTGGATGGAACCCAAGACCTCCTGCGTACCAGGCGAGGAAAGTATTTCGCCACCACGGCAATATTCATTGGGAAATGGGGGGTGGGTGGGGGGCAAACAGATTGTGGATAATTTAATAATAATTTAAAAGTTAATGTATATAATGTATTAGTTAAAGAAAAACACAGCTGACGATAACAAACTTAAGCATTCACTTTATCAGAATCATAATTGAGAATCTTGATCATGATTTCCAGATGCCTGTATTTCAGCACTGTGGTGCCGAGGTTGCCATACCTAACTTGCCACAAGAGATGGCAGTACAACCAGTGTGGTCTAATCCCCCACCTCTATTCCATCTGTACGGGATAGAGTATTGTGCCTTCGCACACGTGTTTTTTGTCCAGTTTCCTCCCAACACGTAAACACTTGTGAATTGGCCGATAACACCTACCATGATGCCACTGTGGCGAGATGTTAACCACTTCGCCTGGTATACAGGATTTCGTGGGTTCGATCCTGACCCTGACGCCTGCTGTATATTTGGAGTTTGTCTGTCCTTCTCCCCGTGGTCGCATGGATTTTTCTCCGGGTCCTCCAGTTTTTCCCTCCACATTTAGAAACATGCGTTTGGAGTATTTGGCTGCGATAAATTTCCACGTGATAAGCCAATTCGTTGAGCTATCATTTGTTATCGCCAGGCCGCTTCTCAAAAAGAGCTGTATAGATCAGTGGGCCTTACATTGTAAAATAAAACATAGTTTCTATTTTCTTTTTTCATATAGAGGACCACAGAACGTGGGGGGAATTTGGTGCCGGTTCACCGCCTGGCTGCCTTTACCGCGTGTCTGTGGTTCCTTGAACCTCCGAGTCATTCTCTGTCTTTCAGAGTAAGCAAATACTGTGCAAGTTACAAGTTGAAATTAATTGAATGCTCGATTCAGGTCTCACCACATAATCACGGGGGCACCACGGTGGCGAGATGTTAATGACCTCGCTTGGTATGCAGGAGGTCGTGGGTTCGATCTTGACCCTGACGCCTGTTGTATATTTGGAGTTTGCATGTCTGTCTCTCTGCCCGTGGTCACGTGGTTTTTTTCTCCAGGTCCTCCGGTTTTTCCCTAAACATTTATAACATTCATTTAGAGTATTTGGCTGATTTAAATTTCCACTTGATGAGAAGCCACTTCGTTGAGCTATCATTTGTGATCGACAGATCGCTTCTGAGAAAGTGCTATGAAGCTCAGTGAGCCTTACTTGGTAAAAATTAAAATAAATTAATCAAGAAAAAAGCACCATCCCTTTTGGTCTTGTGATGCCATCATCCTAACTCCTGAACATAAGCTAATATTATCGCTCCATCTCCTCCTTTGTTGTTTGTTTCAGCTGTGCTCCTCCAACACTTGTTTTCTTTTGCTCGTTGAACTCTTTGTACGCGACTTTTGTTTCACTCATGTTTCTTGGATAACACAACACCGGTCGTGTTAGCTGACTCCATATTTCCATAGTTGTTTCAGTGGAGCAGATTTTGAAATGTTGTTTCCTACCCTAAATAAAAACCTATTTTGTTTTCTCTATTCTGACAATGGTGAGGTGTATTTGACTTTTGACATAGAAATCAATGGGGCTCATTCATGGAGATTGAAATGCACCCTCCACATAAAGCGTGTTGGATTGAACAAGCAACCTCCTTCCCAGTGATTCAATGAATTGTTACAATTCTACATGTCAATTATATTCAAGAATCAGGTCAGCGCGCTGCCCGCTTCGCTATGTCACACTGTTGGTTCTATGGAGAGGCCAGCACGTACCATGGAAGAGTGTGTACTTTCCACCTGTGGCTCAGGAACACGGCCACCCTCAGAGATGATCGTAACCCACTGGTTGTGTGTACAACAATGTTCTGTGAAGTTGTTCGTGATGTGGCATTGCTGCTGTGTGTGAAGACGCTGTGCTGTATTGTGCAGGCCTGGCGCACAAGCATCTTGGACGTCTCCAGGATGCGCTCGACTGCTTTCTCAAGTTGCACTCCATCCTGCGCAACCATCCTCCAGTGATGCACCACATCGCCAGCATGTAACAAAACACAAAGAACCCCCATCTCGCCTCTTTAATACACTGTTGGGGCAAGTGTTGTTAGCTAGCAAACCATGAAGGCCGAAAGAGCGGGCAAAGAGGGTGGTGGGCTCATACCACGCCCGGTTGCGATTGTTTCCACAGTGTTGATGTTTACACACTGCACCAGGTACTCATTTAAGGCTGAGTCGACCTAGGGGAGGCCCATGACTGGTTCAGATAGTCTTCACCGATGTATGTTTAACTTCTTTCGCACCATACGTAGGCAACCGGGCTAATCAGAGGTGCGAGGGAAAGACAACAAACTAAGCACAAAAATCAGTTCTTCAGAAATTAGTTTTCAAACGAGATGATTTAAAAGTGCATCGCTCTAGTGGCTTCCTAATATCGGAAGGGAGAGCATTCCATACGGCCACAGAAGCACATTTGAAGGTGCGCAATGCGGTGGCCATCTTTGTTCGATGCTAGCCAAAAGCCACTGCGAGGATGACTGGAGTTCACGTGATGGTTTATGCTCCTTGATGAGATCAGCAAAGTATTGTGGTTCATTTGTGGCATGTTGGCTGTGAGTGAAAATCGAACTCGGGACGCTCGGTTCGCAGTGCAGTGGGGTAACCACTGCACTCCCACTCCCCTAGAACACTCACACCCTCAGCCACATCCACCCACACAATGTGACTAAAATAAATAACCACAACTTAGACTCACACTTTTGAAACACTATTTATGAGGATGAGTACAACATTACCAGTACAACATACAAGAAGGTATTGTGTTGGCTCTTGTTTACCTAGTGCTTAAGTTGTGACGGCAAACATACATGGCTAATTTGTCTGAAGCATTGAGGTCACCCAGCGACCACCTAGGCTATCACCTGGGTAAGAAGGTAATGTAAAGGCCTAATCCATCAAATTAACTAATGTGCCCTGGTTGATAACAGTAAACCCTCCACAACAACTTTCCTAGAGAATAGGGTAAGATGAAAACTGAGCGTGTAATGATCTTTTCTTCTGGGCAAACCCCAGGCATTCTTGTAAAATGTCTGAATGCTTTTTGCAGAAGAGAGGCTGCCTCTCCTTTGTCGAAAGCTTAGAACAGTACTGTCTTGACCTCCAGGTAGTATACAGGAGGTCTGATGGATGCTTCCGGTCTGCTGTATGTCATAGCAAGTTTTTTTGGGGGTTAGATCATGTAAATAGAAATCTCGTTAAACCCGCCACCACCCGACACAGCCAATTAGTAACGTAAACAAATCGTGCAAATTAGTTACTACTTCAGCACACCGGTGTGTTGGAGAGTAAACCCTCAACATTCGAGTACTGTGACGTTTCACTGGTGATTACAACAATCAGCTTCATCAGGCAATAGCCAGAATTGTGAAGAAGTCCTCCTATTTCTGTCTTAAATAGGGGAGTAAAGGTGATGTCATCACTGTGGGCCTATCAGGTGTGAAAGCCTCCATTTTTTACTTTATGTTACTGGTTGTTGTAGACTCACCTTCCACACAACACAAAAAATGTAATGCATGTACAGTATTGCGAGCAGAGCAATTGACTTGATTCAATTGAAAAAATGGTTACATTTCTAGTGTTGGTTAAAAACATCAGTGGGGTCACCATCCGTGGACTAAAGTAGAGGTTCTGCTGCCCTTTCCTGCCATGTATGTATGTTGAACTTCTTTCGCACCATACGTAGCCAGCAGTGATAATTGGAGGTACGGGAGAAGGACAAAAAACTAAACACACAAAGCAGTTTTCAAGAAATTAGTTTTCAAATGAGTTTTCATGTAAATCTACAATGTAGAATTGTGGGAGCTCGATTGGACCCTGACAGGTGAGCTCTTTTAGGCCCCAGTGCCATATATACATATACTGGTGTAAATATTAATGAAAATAGACTAACATGTAAAGATTGTATTGAATTTATTTAATAAAAAAATGTCTATATATCACATTTGGTGTAAATTGACGATCATCTCCCAAAAGTTTTCCTTGAGATTAATTTTGTTGAATCAGCACTTTGATGTTGGTTGGGTTTTTGCATCTTGACAAAGCAACATAACAAAGTTGTCCGTGGGAAAAAAAGACCAGGTTCTTAGAGATATAGTGCAACATGCTAAAAAAACTGTCCTTGTGACTTATTGACAGTGATAGCAATGCAGGAATGATTGGAACTGTCTTCGCGTCACGTAGCCTGCACCGGTGTTACACACAGCATACAGAGTGTCAGGCGTTAGGCACAGATCGCCAAAACTATATAATGGAGAGCAGAAATGTTGCATTTATTGGGGAATGCTTTTGCAGATATGAAGCACTGGAGGAAGCAGGCCAAGCAGCGGAGTGGCTGCTGCAGCTGGTGACAGTGGTGCCCACAGACCCACACGCCCTCGCCCGCCTCGGAGACGTCTACGACGCTGATGGGGACAAGTCTCAGGCCCTGCAGTACCACTATGAGGTGTGCACACTCACCACACCGCTACCAGACATTTGTGCGTCCAGTCAAAACCCTGGACAGCCAGACAATAGGGGGCGGGGGGGGAGCCCTGGTCTGGATATATGAAAGGTCTGCTCGCAGCCACACTTTCAATGGAAATGTAATTAAAACAAAAGCAAAACCACATGTACTCTGCAGTTATGGTACACTACAGTACAGTATGTTGTGCTCGACAGTACATGGTACACTACAGTGAATGGTACTCCTTCAGGGAACCCTCTTCTCATTCTCTGCAATTTTGATGTATCTGTTGTTGCTGCTCACGCACTATGGATTCCCCTTGTAAAACAGTCGTGCAACTTACTAATTGGGACCATCTGTGTAACAAATCAAATAAACTCAAACTTATGTTAGTGTGTGCAGTGTACAGTCCAAATGATCACATTTGTGGTATCTGTGCAGTACAGTACTGTAGTTATGTCCTGGGACACTGCAGTGGCGAGATGTTAACTCTCTATTCATATTCTTAGGTTTTTTCGGTAAAGTCACGTAAGTAAAACATTAAAATTAATAAAAGTAAAATAAAATAAAAATCACGACGTTTCGGAAGCAACACAAGCTTCCGTCTTCAGGTGGAACCGTCACAGCCCGACAGCTGTATCAAGTAAATGAGAGATTACAGGAGATACCACTCCGTATATATAATGGTTGAGGGGGGGAGGGGGGGAAGGGGCAGGGATGGCCCACTCTTTATTATTATGGTAAGGTGCGGTTGAGACTATGAATAGACTGCATAACAAAAGACTGAGCCTTTATTATGGAGAGGTTCGGTTTGTGACTACGCCTAGCCTACATAATAAAAGTGTGAAAAAAGGAAGAAAGCTAAACCTGGTAGAAAGCTAAACCTGGTGAAACAATTGGCTGTCCATCAGTAACCTGCAATAGTTTTCTGTCAAATAAGATGGTTCAAATAAGTGTAGTTAAATCTTTTTTGCATGGTTAATCACATCTTTCCAATGATTAAAGGTGCGGCTTGAGACTATGAATAGACTGCATAACAAAAGACTGAGCCTTTATTATGGAGAGGTTCGGTTTGTGACTACGCCTGGCCTGCATAACAAAGTGTCAAAAAAGAAAGCTTAACCTGGTAGAAAGCTAAACATGGTAAAACAAAACTGGCTGTCTATCAGTAACCTGTAATAGTTTTCTGTCAAATAAGATGGTCCAAATAAGTGTAGTTAAATCTTTTTTGCATGGTTAATCACATCTTTCCAATGATTACTCAGTTTGTAACCATCATCACGGTTGAAATTATGTCTGTGTTTGTATATTTGTATGGCTTCGTGTACAAACCTTTGATGGTAGCCAGGAGGTTGGCAGAGAACCTTGGTCTCGGAAAAGACAATTTCATGAGAGCCCACCGAGTTGTAGCAATGATCGGCAACGGCCGAAGAATCAGTTCTGCCGTGTTTCAGATCTGACTTGTGCTCGCGGACACGATCAGAAACATGACGTTTCGTTTCTCCAATGTAGCAATCACCACAAATGCAACTCAATTTGTAGACTCCAGGATACTGTAAGTCAGGAACGACATCCTTCACAGATGGAATCAGTCATCCTCTCGGCAGACAAGGGCAATGCCACGGTCATCATGGATAAAGATTCATACAACAACAAAATCCTGGACCTTCTTAATGATGGGAGTTACTCCAAAATTAAAAACGATCCCACTAAAAGCCTCACGACAAAAACCAACAGTATCATCACGAGTTCGAGTTCCCTAATCGAACCAAGCAAACGTCCCTCTCTAAAACCATCGGCGGCTAGACCTCCCAGACTCTATGGTCTTCCCAAAATCCATAAAGAAGGCACCCCGCTACGACCCATCGTGTCGACGATAAACTCTCCTACATACAAACTAGCCCGTTTTCTATCAGATACTCTGCTCCCCTTCACAGGCAAGACCTCTTCGGCAGTACTCAACTCAACCCAATTAGTCTCTATGGTTAAGGACATGGTACTATCTCCTGATGACATCCTCGTCAGCTTTGATGTAGTATCTCTGTTCACCAAAGTCCCAGTACCGGACACCCTAACAATAATTGAGGACTTAGTCCAACATGGATTGAATTCTGATGTACCTGCGCTGGTTAGGCATTGCCTCACCAACACCTATTTTACCTGGAATGGCACCTTCTACAAACAGAATGAGGGTACCCCTATGGGCTCCCCCGTGTCACCAGTTATAGCCAACATGTTCATGGAAAAGTTTGAATCAGACGCCATCCAGACATCCACCCTGCGTCCTTCCCTGTGGAAGAGGTATGTGGATGACACTTTCGTCATCTGGCCACATGGCCTCCCAGCATTGAACCACTTCTCGGACCACATCAATTCTAGACAACCATCCATCAGATTCACCATGGAAGTGGAGAAAGATGGTAAACTACCATTCTTGGATATTCTGTTTGAGAGGAGGCCTGACGGATCCTTGGGACATTCTGTCTACAGGAAAGCCACCCACACAGATTCCTACTTGAAACCGGATTCCCACCACCACCCATCTCAAAAGAATTCTCTCATCAAAACGCTATACCACAGAGCCCATGGCATTTCTGACCAACACCACCTGGTCGGTGAATTAAGACATGTACATCGGGCCCTCAGGATGAACGGATACTCTGACCGCACTATCCGCCAAGCTGTTTCTTCCACCACACAGAAACAGCCACATAAAACTCCGACCAAAACTATCACGTTACCATACATAGCAGGCGTGACCAAAAAGATCTCCAAAATTCTAAACAAACATAAGATCCAAGTCCGATTCAGTACAGTGCATAAAATCCGTGATCTGATTCCATCTGTGAAGGATGTCGTTCCTGACTTACAGTATCCTGGAGTCTACAAATTGAGTTGCATTTGTGGTGATTGCTACATTGGAGAAACGAAACGTCATGTTTCTGATCGTGTCCGCGAGCACAAGTCAGATCTGAAACACGGCAGAACTGATTCTTCGGCCGTTGCCGATCATTGCTACAACTCGGTGGGCTCTCATGAAATTGTCTTTTCCGAGACCAAGGTTCTCTGCCAACCTCCTGGCTACCATCAAAGGTTTGTACACGAAGCCATACAAATATACAAACACAGACATAATTTCAACCGTGATGATGGTTACAAACTGAGTAATCATTGGAAAGATGTGATTAACCATGCAAAAATGTTTTTTAACTATTATTTGGACCATCTTATTTGACAGAAAACTATTACAGGTTACTCATAGGCAGCCAGTTTTGTTTTACCATGTTTAGCTTTCTACCAGGTTAAGCTTTCTTTTTTCACACTTTTGTTATGCAGGCCAGGCGTAGTCACAAACCGAACCTCTCCATAATAAAGGTTCAGTCTTTTGTTATGCAGTCTATTCATAGTCTCAAGCCGCACCTTTAATCATTGGAAAGATGTGATTAACCATGCAAAAAAGATTTAACTACACTTATTTGAACCATCTTATTTGACAGAAAACTATTGCAGGTTACTGATGGACAGCCAGTTGTTTCACCAGGTTTAGCTTTCTACCAGGTTTAGCTTTCTTCCTTTTTTCACACTTTTATTATGTAGGCTAGGCGTAGTCACAAACCGAACCTCTCCATAATAAAGGCTCAGTCTTTTGTTATGCAGTCTATTCATATTCTCAAACCGCACCTTACCATAATAATAAAGAGTGGGCCATCCCTGCCCCTTCCCCCCCTCCCCCCCTCAATCATTATATATACGGAATGGTATCTCCTGTAATCTCTCATTTACTTGATACAGCTGTCGGGCTGTGACGGTTCCACCTGAAGACGGAAGCTTGTGTTGCTTCCGAAACGTCGTGATTTTTATTTTATTTTACTTTTATTAATTTTAATGTTTTACCTACGTGACTTTACCGAAAAAACCTAAGAATATGAATCCTTGCATTCACGAAAGCTTCAAATCTAGAATGTTAACTCTCTCACTTGATATGCAGGAGGTCGTGGGTTCGATCCTGACCCTGATGCCTGTATATTTGGAGTTTGCATGTCTCCCTGTGGTCACTTGAATGTTTTTCCGGGTCCTCCGGTTTTTCCCTACACATTAAAAAATATGCGTTTCGAGCATTTGGCTGCTGTAAATTCGCATATGCTAAGCCACTTCGTTGCGCTATTGTTTGTGGCCAGGTCGCTTTTGAGAAATAGCTATATAGCTCAGTGGGCCTTACATGGTAAAATAAAATAATAAGTGTTTATAGTGTTCTTTACACAGTGCCACAGCCCCTCCCTACCATCGCCCACTACCCCTCCCCCACCACTAACTATTACCATAAGTACAATTCACGCACAATTACATATTTTACAAATTACACACAATTAAGCAAGTGTTTGTGCATTTTATTGTACATATTATAGTACATAAATATTCTAAATTATATATTGTGCAAGTTATTATTTTATAATAAATTTTTTTTTGTATTTAAAATACATTACAGATGTTTTTCTATGCAGTAATTGGTCCAGCTCAATGTGAAATATGGCCAGCCCACAATCTGGCTAGCTGTTGTCTTTTCCTGTGCGATGACATCCTTACGTGTGTAAAATGAGGACTGGGACACGTCGTTAATAATAATAATAATAATGCAAATGTTTCATGCGTGTTCCATCCTTGGATCCCAGTGCACAATGCATGAAAAGCAGAGAATAAAAACAGACGCAGGGCCAACTGACCAAACTAAAGAGGGACGGCCAGTTTAAAGAGATGGGTTTTCAAAGCAGATTTAAATATATCTACTGACTGATTTCCCGATTTCAAGTGGCAAGGCGTTCCATAGCTTGGGTGCCAAGATAACAAAAGCCCGATCGCCAAAAGAGCGCAACCTAGACCTGGGAGTGCTGAGCAGTTGTAGATCAGAAGATCTTAAGGACCTTGATGGACTATATAAATGTAGTAGTTCCTGAAAGCAATGGGGGTGAGCCCTTTTAGAGCCTCATAGGTTAATAGCAGTACCTTAAAAACCACTCAAAATTTGACCGATAGCCAATGAAGAGATAAGAGGACTGCTGTAATGTGCTCACGGAATGGTGTACATGTAAGCACTAGCAGCTGCATTCTGAACAAGCTGGAGTCTTCCCAGTACTTTGCTCGGTAATAAGGGCTCTTTATTGCAAGCCGGTAACGTAACGTGTAACACTCAGAGTCCCCAGAGAGCCCCGACCACATTCCCTTCCCCCCCCCCTTGCTCCTCTCCCTCTACGGTTCTTGAAAATTCTCACCCTGAACCTTCCCCTTAAGCCAATCAGAGCCTCATCTTTCCCAATGGTTATGTTACTCAAGTGTCCCGGCCGCCTTGCCATTAAAATTAAAATTTAGTACACTTCATGACATTTAGTCACATTTTTACTTTTGCATAAATGTCAGATAGGAACGCAACCCCTGACTTTAACACCATGTCTACGGGAAATTATAGTTCGCTTGAAGTCATTTCGAGTAAAGTAGCATTTCCCAGAAACGCATCCCTTATGTATAGCGGGGGATTCATGTATTCATAGTTTCTAGCATCAGAACTAAAAGGTATAGCAAATTGTAAATCAGAATACAAATCCTAATATTTATCCTGGAGGAATCCGATGAGCTGTAAAGCTCTTTTTCACAGATGTCCAGTATGGGCGTTACAACGACAAACAGTACAAAAACATAAGAGTCGTGCAAAGTACAGGAAAAGTAAATAAATCACCGAAACACATGTAATGGTGGTATTGAGACGTACGCACACCAGCTCCGGCTAACTCCCATTACTTACCTGTACGGGGCAATCGTGATATTCCTTGCCGGGGCCCCTCCCGGGGGGAGGGGGTTGTGGGGTGTTTGGATCCCCCGCGCCCCTCCCAACGGGTGGGGGCTGCGGGGTGTCCTGTGATCCCACAGAGCCCTGCCCCTCGGTGGGGAGTTTGTATAAAAGCCTGAGAGAGTGGGGCAGTACTGACAAGCCGAAGCCAGAAGAACCAGCTGAAGACTGAAGTCCAGCTAGCTAGACCCTGGGACTCCTCTGACCCGCTGCCCTTGTAAGGGCCGGGCAGAGCAAGCCAGTGGTGCGACACCAGAGCCTCGGAGACCGACGTCCTTGTAAGGGCCGGGTCCGTGTGGCTGGTGGTCGAGAACTGCGCCTTGGCTGGGCCAGGTCAGGTAACCTCCTTGAGAGGAGGGTCGAGGTATAGGTGGGGAGTAGGCGACTTAGCTTGGGAATACCTCCCTTGACAGCAGCGGGTGAAGAGGCCGTTACCTCTTCGAGTGTGAAGCTGTAACATGGCTAAGTGTTAATAAATAGTGTTGCCTCTACTTCAACGTCTCTTTCGTCAAAGAACCCGCTACACATACAAATAAAACTAAACCATCCCCATCTTTCCTAGCAAAGCCCACTGAGATGTTTCCTTATTTTTCAGAAGTGACCTGGCCACAAATGACAGCTCAACAAAGTGGCTTATCATTTGGACATTTACAGCAGCAAAATAATTTAAATAATCTCATTGCGTGTTTCTAAACACAAGAGAACTTCTTAAGTGAGTGATGAAGCAAGAGGCAACATTTCGTAGGCAACTGGAAGCATGACCACCTAGCGCGAGGTGCCGACACACAATTGCCCACCGCTAGTACGTGCTTATGCCTGCACCACAACGATGAGGAGTCAATATGGACCATGTGTTACGAAAAGCTTTCACAACTCACTTTAGTGACTTAACTGCACTCGCATGCGGCACCACTACCACTGTACACGTATCAGTTTAAACATACGTATGTATATAACCACATTTTTTGCAATCTGTGATGTCAATCCCCCTTCCCGTGTGCCTTGTGTGCAGTCGTACCGTCATTACCCGTGTGACATTGAGGTGATCGAGTGGCTCGGAGCCTATTACATCGACTCCCAGTTCTGTGAGAAGGCCATCCAATACTTTGAGAGGGCGGCACTCATACAGTAAGTACACACACCGGCATGCATCTTACCACCACCGTGAACATATGTCTAACAGAGGCTACTTGTGACACATTAGGCCACGGGGTACCCTGATAGAGCCCAAGAAAGTATTGCCATTGTCTCTGCTTGCTACTTCTGATTGCTTCTCAGGATCAATCATATTTTCCAGCATCCATTAACTGGACTGCCTAAATGCCAATTACTCATGGGGCAGTGGCCAACAACCACCAGAAGCAACAGTTTGTAGTCACATGTAATTGTTGATTAATGCCATTTCACTACATGTGTTGCATGTACTCTTATTCATCTACCGTGTTATTGAAGTTCCTGAGTGCTGTTGGTGAGTGTTAATGAGCACTGGTGATGTGTCGGCGAGTGCTGCGAACCTTCAATACCATACCAAACCAAGCACTCTAATCTGCGTGTAGCAGTGTACGTTTTGATAAGGGGCAGAACAGGGCTGTGAGTAGTCCGTGAGAATTTCACTATAACTTTAATATGGCAGTCCCAAGCAAACCCAGATGATGGCATGTTTAACTTGACAGTGTTTGGGATCACGCAATCATTTGGCGGCACTTGGAAGTTTTTTTCTACATTGTAGGTGTTACGGACAGATACGGAACAAGTTATGTAACTCTGCCCACCAGCTTTGTCGATGAATGAAAGCGACTAAACACAAAATACTCAATCACTTTAGAAACATTTAGCGACATGAGACCATAACAATCTAACCCAAAGTGGTCAGAATTAACTTTAAGTTGGAAATGCCATGCTCTAATTTCTATGCATGGTGACGAATACCATAATTCTTAATGCGAACCCTGATTGGATTAAAGATACTTCTTTCAGACTTTGTAGAATAGACCCACAGGACCCGCCAGCGTGTTCGTTAAGATGATTCTGCGTTGCCCAACTCTAGGCCCACGCAGGTGAAGTGGCGCCTCATGGTGGCAAGCTGCTATCGGCGGAGCGGTGAGTACAGTCCGTTATGTTTTCATAACGTGACAAATATATCAGGGAACACGTTTTTTTTCATGCGGATTGGATATAACGCGATTGAGTGAACGGAACTACGTCGTGCCAGTAGGAATAAAGGTTTGTACGGCTGCCTCGGCGTAGCATCACACAACGTGGGGTGCCGCTGATGCTTCTAGATGCTACCCACGCGCCTCAGTCTTTGTTCAGCCTGTGTTACGCATTTCACGTGTTATTGCGGACTGTGCTTTACCCTATATTATATATTATTTATTATCACGCAATTTTTACATAACGCGGTGTTGTTCAGGAACGCAACTACTACCACTTTATGGGAAAACAAACTGTACTGCGAGGTTAGATCAGAGTTCTTTCAAAACGCCATTACAGCCAATCTCGTCTGTGCCACCATATCTCTTCATAGTGTTCTTGTACGCAATCCTACAGCTATTGTTTCTGTATTTAAGTATGTTGAATTTCTTTCACACCGTATCTAGCCAACCATGCTAATCGAGGGTTCTGGGGGAAGGACAACAAACGAAACACAAAAGAAACGAGTTTTCAATTTAGATTTAATTGTGCATAGCTCCAGTATAGCCAACACCTGACCTCCAATATCTTCTTTCAGTGTTCCACCATTAGGCTTTATGTTTTTTCGTTGGTCTCTTCTTTTTTCATACGGCGCTACTGTGGTTGCTTTTCCAACCGAGCGGCTCTTTACCAGTGCATCGCTCCAACTTGGTGATGGTGTCGGTGGTGCTGAGCACTAACATTGAAGGCTGTTTGAAGGTTGCCATCTTCTCCCACCCCTTGGTATCTGACCTCTAGGTTCCCATTCCCATGACTGTTTCAGTAACCTACCCTTTTCCATCCTGTTTGCTTTTATTATCCTATGCTCGCCTAGCACACGTGCACATTCATCGTACAATACCTGCTTATCCATTGAAATCTCCTAAAATCAGTATAACGTGGTGCTGTACTTGCTTATCGTATCAAAAGACACACATCATTTTATAAAAAAAAAGCGACTTCTGGAATCCAGTCTTTATTTACTTTTCATTACAGCATTCCTTCACGCTGCTGACAGGCAGCGTGAGAGGAATAGAGAGAGAGAGACACGCGCGCAGTCACGTGGCAACTTGGACCTCCGCTCTCGCGTGGCCTCCTCCTCTGTTCATTCCAGTTCTGACCACGTGTTGTTCATCTCCACCCCTATTTAATACCCGGGTCACGTGGTACGTTTCCACCAATCCTGGTTAGCCTCTATGGAATCTTCAAGACTCCATCGTAGGCTCCCAGGACCACGCCCCTGACTCGTCTCCCCATTGGCTGTGGCTAAAGCCAGCAGAACCAATCCTCTACAAACAGCTGTCACCTTTCCATTACGTCAGGGCCACGCCCCTAGGCTTCCCCCCATTGGCTATGGACCAGGCCCGGCAGAGCCAATCATCGTGACGAGTTGTAATCCGTCAACGAGCCTGATATAACCTCACATTACATCACCCCCCCCCCCCCCCCGGTGTAAAAAGTCAGCCGTCTCGGCTGGGAAAAGGGGTGACAGGCCGAATCCCTTTGAATAAATCTTAGGGCGTCTAGACGCATTAACAAGGTAAGGGGGAGTAGGGGTCAACGCGCCGAGGAATGTAAAACATTAAACAACATACATTAGGGCGCCCCTGGAGCGCAGTAACACCAGGGTGACAGACCGCAAGGCAAGCAGTATTAGCGAAATGGGAGAGACTTCGACCGCGTACGCGACGCCGGACCCTCTCCTCCTTTCGTTCGTGGTTGCCTCGCCGACTGTTCAGCAGGAGGTGGTTGCCCTGGAGAAGAAGAAGTTTCGGTTTCCGTTGTATCTGGGACAGAGACCCCGTTGGAGGTGGAACGTCCGGGGTCTCGTCATCCTTCAGAACCTGTTCATCTGCGGGGGGTATAACACAGCCCCGCTGGGGATCAATGGGCGAGGCAAGTGGCACATTCGGCACGTCGGACCCCGGCAGGTCAACAAGTGGAGATGAAGGGCCAGCACGCGGGTCAACGTAGGGCTTGAGCCGCGACGAATGGACATACCAATGACGTTGGCCGTACTGGATGCGAACACTCTTTCCGAATGTCCACCAGCCTCACACACCCCCGCCAAGGCTTGTGCAGTTTAGGGGACGTACCCACTGGCACCTGAGGGCAATGGAGCCATGCCATATCGCCCACCGACCAAGGCATGTCAGTTCGCGATCGACGCGCATACCTCCCGTTTTTTGCCTGTGTACGGGCCGTCGCACATCTGGCGGCCTCTCGCGCCTCCGTAACCCGTTTAAGTGAGTCTCGCACGTGGTCAGGCAGGGAAGGGGGGGACGGTTGTTTCCCCACTGCACCAAGTTGCACATCAATCGGGGGTACATTCTCACGGCCATACATCAGGAAAAATGGTGAATATCCTGTGGACGCGTGCGGAACCATGCAGTATGCCGCCAGGACGCCCAGTATGTGCAAGTCCCAATCGGTTTGTTTTACACTGACCGTGTGACAAAGCATGGCTGAAAGGGTGAAGTTAAATCGTTCCACCATGCCATCCGTTTGCAGATGGTAAGGGGAAGTGCGGATTTTCTTTGTACCCAAAGCAGAGCACACTTCTTTGAGCATTTTGGAGGAGAAGTTACGTCCTTGATCTGTGAGCAGCCCTTCGGGTGCTCCTTTATCCATGACGTATCCATTCAAGAAAGCCTCGGTGATGGATGAGGCCGTTTGGTCAGGCAAAGGCCAGGCCATAGGCCAGCGAGAAAAATATTCGACCCCGACCAAAAGGTATTTATTTCTCCTAGCCGATGGAGGGAATGGGCCCAGGATATCCAGAGCAACCAGCTCATTAATACGGGATACCTCGATTGAACGTTGGGGCGGGATATAATTTTGACGAGGCGGTTTCCTCTTTGCACAATCATGGCATGAACGGATAAAGTTAGTGACATCTGCTGTCATGCCGGGCCAAAAGAAATCCTGCTGCATCGCGGCCAATGTTTTCTGCACGCCGAGGTGCATCAGCTTGTCGGCGTGCAGAGCGCGGACCAGGTCGTGGCGAAGGGATGTCGGCACAACCAGGCGTGAATGGTCAGACAATCCATCCGTACACATCAGTAATCCCGCCTGGCCCCGAAACATCTGCCATTTCCATCCCGCCAAATGAGATCTCGGTTTCCCGATCAGTTCCCGCAGCGGAGCCAGAGAGGCATCAGCCTCCTGCTCGTGTAGACACACCGAGTGCGGCAAATGCAGCGTATCGTCGGTGCCAACGGGTACATCCTGGCCTTCATCGTTTGACATCGCCCCCATAACCGGACAGGGCGAGGTAGGTAGCGCCCCACAGCGGTGCGTACCCGTCAGACAGGCGCAGGGAGGAGTCGGGGGCAACCTGGAGAGAGCGTCCGCGTTGCCATGGCGAGTACCCTTGCGGTACATGATATTGAAGGAAAACTCCTGCAATGATTCTAACCACCGAGCCAATTGACTGGACGGTTGTTCCAATTTCAAAGAATATTGCTAACAGTTCCCGTCGCGTCACGCAATATCGCGTCTCGGCAGGGGACAGAACCCTGCTGCCGAATGCCACCACTCGCTCGACCCCGTCTTTCCGTTGCGACAAAATGGCTCCTATGCCGATATCGCTAGCATCCGTGTCAAGGATGAACGGCTGGGAAAAGTCTGGGTAGTTGAGCGTCGGCGCGGTGGCCAGGTGATCCCGAAGAGATTGAAAAGAGCGCTCCTCTTTCGGGCCCCATTTAAATCTCTGATTTTCCCCCGTCAGAACATGCAGCGGCTTAGCCAGCGTCGCGAAATTTTTAACAAAACGGCGATAGTAGGATGCGAACCCTATAAACCGCCGTACATCGCCCACCGAAGTGGGCGTGGGCCACTCTCGGACACACGCCGTTTTCTGAGGATCCGTGGACACAACGTCAGAACTGACGATGTGCCCCAAATAGCGGACGGATCATTGCGAAAGGTGGCACTTTTTTGGTTTAAATTTTAGGTCAGCCGAGAGCATCCTCCGAAAGACAGTCTCCAGTCGTTGGAGGTGTTCTTCGAAAGTGCGGCTAAATACAATGATATCGTCCAAATATATGAGGCACGTTTCCCACTGCAGCCCCGCCAGCACTGGTTCCATCAGGCATTGGAACGTCGCCGGCGCCTTGTGGCGTGCGGAATGCCGTTTTCGGTCTTGACGCGTCATCGAGGGGCAGCTGCCAAAACCCAGATGACAGGTCGAGGGTGGAGAAAAAATTTGCCCCTGACAAAGCGTCCAACGAGTCGTCCATCCGTGGCAAGGGGTATGCGTCCGCCACGGATATCTTATTCAATTGGCGGAAGTCTACACAAAACCTCGTCCCACCATCCTTTTTCTTAACCAGCACCACCGGCGCGCCCTAAGGACTGTTGGACGGCGAAATTATATCGGCCGCCAACATGTCGTCCACCGCGACACGCACGTGTTCCCTTTCTGCAGGGCTCATGCGATGCGGGTGCATACAAATCGGTCCCGCCGCACCGGTGTCGATATGGTGCGACAAGAGCGAGGTATGGCCCAGATCCAAATCGTTTTTACTGAAAACGTCAGCGTACTCCGATAATAATGAATGCAAGGCGCTCTGCTGCGTGGCCAACAAGGACATATTTTCCCTGCACAAATCTGCGATCCATCGATCGTCTGAACGATCGGATCGTGGCCCGCCAGCGGCCATTTTTGTGGGTGGTTCACCCTCAAAGCTGGTAAAATCGGTAGTGGCGTGAGCCAGCACCGAGCCAGCCGGGGCGACGACCCGGTCCAGGCCCCCATTCAACACTTGTATAAATGGGGCCTGACCAGGCCGAACGATAGTTTGAGCCGCCACTAGGGAAAAGGATTTTGCCACAGAATTCGACAGGGACAACAGCACACCCGTCGCATTGTCCGCAGCTTCCAATCGCTTTCGGTAATGCAGCGGAATAAGCATTTGTGAGCCTGA